TAGATGCATTGTATTTATATTGTCACCAGTGGGGCATGGACATTAATATTGATAAAAGTAAAATTATTGTTTTCAAAATGGGAGGTCCATTGTCAAAATATGAAAACTGGTTTTATAATGGTCAAATTATGGAAACAGTTAACGCAAATATATATCTTGGGCTTATGGTTACCCCCAAACTGGTATGGACAAGAGCTTGTAAAACTTTTTCTGAGCAAGCAAGTAAAGCTCTCTTTCCAGTTAAGTCTTTAATAAGACGTTATGAGTCAATTAAAGATGCTTTTAATATATTTGATAAGAAAATTGTACCAATATTAACATGTGGAGCAGAAATCTTGAGTTTTGGGAAAAGAGAAAGTATTGAAATTGTACACCGAAAGTTTTTGTTACAAGCAGGGTACAGGACAGCCAATGCAGTAGCTTATGGAGAATGTGGTACAGCTCGATGTTCAATTAAAAATGATATATATATATATATATATATATATCATAGGTTGTGAATTATGTCTGCCCATATCCGTTCCATCAACATTCACGAATAGGATCTTGAGTGAAGGTGTTAATGATTAATGTGCCCCTAGCATTAAAATATGTTCCTTCCCCATCCATTCAATGTAGCTCACTTTTCGAATATGGAGGATGGTTAAGAAATGTGTATGCATACAATGTTACGTTTCGATAGAAAGTCATCACAGAAATCATTATGCAAAAGAATTCAGTGTGAAACCAACAAACAGCGAAGAAATGTTATACAATTAACAATTCTATTAAAAATATCAGCACGTTTTCGAATCAAATTCCGATTTTCCTATCAGAATCGAGGGGTGGTAGTTGATATTCTTCCGGATGCCCTGTCCGTGGTATCTGGTACTTGACATCATTGCACATACTATTCTTTTGAGAATCCGGGTATTCACAACTGGATAACCTTGTGGATGCCTTGACGGATACCTCACTATTGAGGATTTACTTTCAGGGTTTTACTTTGCCTGCTCAGTATGAAGTATTAACTACTCAGTAGTGATCAATTTTCCTCAATCAAGAATGCAGTCTGTTCTCTGATTAATTTTACTGAAAGTATCCACACACGTATATTGGTTCACTTTCTCGTGATATTAATCACTGGATTGTCTGGTCCAGACTCGATTATTTACAGACCGCCGCCATATAGCTGGAATATTGCTGAGTGCGGCAAAACCAACAAACCAACAAACTTTTATTTATTTGTTGATGTTAATGCATAACCCCAAAATAATCCATATCACCTCATATGTCTAGTATACCGCTTCTGCCAAAACATCAGTATTATGTCAAATTAATAGTTCATAAAGCCAAATATGTGTGAAAAGGGATGAAAATAAGACCTGAATTCTAAAACGTGGAGGTGAATTATAACCTAACAAATACTGACTAATGACTGATGATAAATTCCAGCTTATAATCAGTTCATAAATGTTGAACAGTAATTGAGTGAGTTGGGTTTAACACCGCTTTTTAACAATATTCCAGTTATATCACGGCGTGTCAGCTTAATGTGGGAGGAAAGCCCGAAGTGACGCAGGTCTCAGACGTTTACCACTTCGGTGAAACCCACGAGCACGGGTATGGTGCTGACAAACCTAGAAACATAATTGGGGCGAACGGGGTTCGAACCAACAATCATGGGCTTCTGGCGTGCCCAAGGGACGCAACTCTGCACAACGAATCGCGGCGCCTTAGACGACTGGGCCACCCGTGCCCCCTTTAAACAGTAAAGAAAATCTCTTAAAAACACAACACGCAGCATATGTCACTTTTATTGTCTAATAAAGCAAAGATGGAAATGTTGGAATCTAAATACATGTTATAATATATCTCGAAAGCATAAATTATAATTTATAAATCTTTTTATATGCATATTAAGTGTTCAAAACAATATTCCCCATTTTGCTCACATTTGAAATAAATGCTTCAAAAACCTTTCCATATTAACAAGAAATCTTTACCAAATGCAGAATCGATTGTACGATTTCGGCTATATTATGAGCATGTTTTTGTAAATTCACTATCAAATAGTGATGATACCAGGTGTTCGCGATAAGGTGAACGTATCCTGCCCCACCCGTGGCACCCGTCATAAACGCATGCAAATGCAAGTCAGTTGTTCGCCTGGGAAAACACGGCAACATATGGTACAAGTCAAAATAAGGAGTTGAATTGGACATCATTCTTGTCACTGAAATACCTTCCACATGTCAACCATATAACGTTATGAAAGCGTTACTGGGGCCTTGAATGTTGTATGATCAAATAGCTTATGAGCAAGAGTCGCATGACGCTCTTTGAAATCCTCGCATGTTCGGTTGTTCCTCAAAAGTTGTGCAATGTAAACACCAAGGGCTGGAGCTACAGGAATATTGCTTGAAATTAAGTAAACTTTTTGCTATTGGAAAGTTAATGTCATATCCCTCTTGTCATACAGTCTTGTGGATAGTGTTTTGTCACTCTGAATCTTTATGCACGGATCTAAATATGAAACAGATGAGGCGGTCTCACTGGTCTCCTCTTTTTCTAGTTCAGGTGGGTAAGTCAGTGGAAAGTAATTGGTTATTTGCTGCTGGTTATTGAACTATGTCAGATAATCGATAAACGTAAAGCTTAATTTCCAAGCAGAAACCCTGCTTCAGATGTATAAAAAAAGAAATCAGATACAGTAGACTACGGATAAAACGAACACGCTTATAACGAACTGACGGATATTACGAACTTACTTTTTGGTCCCGCCTATTTGCTGTAGTTATGCTGTATATATGCTCATAACGAACTACGGTTATAACGAACTAAAATTAGTAGTCCCTTTGAGTTCGTTATGACCGTAGTTTACTGTAGAAGTGTGCACAATTGGTGCCCATGGGAATGCCTACTTCTTGCCTTAATGTCTTAGCCCCAAATTTTACATATATTTTATTAATGGGGAAGTCCAGCATCTCACTTACTGTTTCTTAAGTGAACTTAAGGTGGCATTTGCTTTCATTTTTCACAACTGACCTGATCCCCTGAAGATAGATATGTACCTGTATCTACGGTCACCACGTTTTGTAACAAAAGCCCCATGGATCAAGGAATGAAGTTTTCCCCTTAGGTTTATCATGTGGGATAGTGGTGTACAACATGGAAAAATCCAATGTACTGACAGAACTGAACTTGGTACTTTTCTGAGATTACAAACAGTCAAACAAATCCTGTGAGTTTGGGAGAATTCACATGGTATTAAATCCACTCACTTGTCTCCAATACTTTCTGTGAATATATAGAAAGTCCTTTCTTGATTGTATTAAGGATAATGGTTAACATACTGGCCTACTATGTGGCATTTTGTGATATCTCATTTATACCAAGTTCTTTCATCAAATAATTAATGTAGTGATGCTTGTGTTTAATGGTTATGTTCAATGAGGTCTTATAAGTGGGAACAACTAGACACTTTTTATGTGGGGCAACCAGACTTTAGATCACAGCTGGCTGGGACAGAACACGTTCCTATAATCGAACAACCTGGATGAAATGGTGTTTGTATAGGAAAATGAAATTGTTGCTGGTTCCTGAAATTAAAATATTGAGGGACATTTTAGGTAATGATTTTTATCTGAGAATGTTACTTAAATTGATTGCATCGATTCCCTTGTTGGCAAGTTTAAAATTGAAGAACATGCGATCTTAGTCTGATTTCGTGGAGTCTGTTTCTGGAACTATTTCAAGAACTAAACTCTCTAGTCGATGCTGTGGGCTCCTGCTGTACGTAGATGCACCCATCAGCAAGAATCGCTGGAGTCGTTTCATTTCTCTCAGTGACACAGAATATAGTCTTGTTCTTACGTTGTGCAGTCCCATTGGTTCCTGGAGGAACAAATCTTCCAAATTAACTTTGCCTTCTTCCTTTCTTGTGACCATGGCTGTGTCGACGTCTTTGTGATGCCGGATACAGACCTAATACACTGACGTTGGCAGTTCGCTGGTTAGAAAGACTGTCAACGTCTTCTTTTTGTCATTACATCCATATTGCATTGTAGTACATAACATTCGAATCCAATCCAATCCAAAGAAATATCTTCTAAAAGCAAAGTCCATTCTACGATTCCAACTGAGGTAGAACTGAAACGTGTATATAAAAGCGACAAAAGCCTTCATATATTCATGAACAAAACAAGAGAAATACATGCGCGTGTGAACAGCTTGGACACAATCAGAGTTCAAAGTGCATGAACATTGGATATGACCATGAATAATGCAGCGTGAGCCATGTTACCGCATGTCAAGCGCATGACACCCTAGCATTGCGCACCATCATTACTACATATATAATTACCGCCTCCGTGGTCTAGTGGTAGAGCGTCCGCCCAGAGAGCGGAAGGTCCGGGGTTCGATCCCCGGCCGCGTCATACAAAAAGACGTTGAAAGATGGCACTTGTTGTTACCCTGTCAGGCGCTCGGCATGAAGGGGCTAAAACAAGGACTGGTCGGCTCGGAGTCAGTATACTGTGTCTGAGTGGGGTATTCATGTTAAACTGCGGCATGGTATCTCAGTGAGCTAGCACTATAAATCGGCATCGGTCCGGACTAGTACAAGCAGCCACACAAACACACACACGTACATGCACGTCGCTATATAAGTGCAATATTCTTGGACGCGACGTTCAACCCCATTTCACCTCACCTCACATATATAATTCATTGCTCCCGGCACCAAATCGTCTCAATTTCCCTCATATAGAATTCCTTAATGTTCAGCTACCGACGTTTTTTCATAATACATTGACGATATAATTGCATTCTTTACAAATACACAACAAACAAAGCTTAGCACTTCCTGTGCTTATTATTCTAACAAATAAGTTTTAAACGGCAGTCGACCTTGGCAACAAGAAAATCACATATCCAAGTTCCGATATCGCCCACTCAAAGCTCGACATTTCGTTAAATAATTTGATAGCCTCGTAGTGATGCAAATATCAAACATGCAACTACGCATATCCGGTGACCTCCACTGCATCCAGTTCAACCCAGTGCTGTGCAGGGCCGCAGTCGACCTCGATCCGCAGTTGATCAGTCTTGTAAGTTGGTGTCTGGAGATGAAACGAAAACAATTAAAAAACAGATATCACGGGAAACCATATAATTATTTAATCTTCAGAGTATGTAAATATAAGGCAAGACAAACTGGCTGAAAACGGCACGTGTCCAAAATTTAAAGTTGATTTTTGTTATAGTTGCATCGTAAAACCGCACATAACATCGGTGAGGGGAATGTGTCTATGTATTTGGAGGGAGTAGATATCTATGTAGACACATGTATTAGGAGAAGGTAGATATCTGTGTAGATACCTCTATTGATGGAGGTAGATATTTATGTATATACTGTTTTTGTGGAGGTAGATATCTATGTACATACCTGTATTAATGGAGGGAGGTATCTATGTATATACCTGTATTAGTGGGGTGTAGATATCTATGTACATACCTGTATTAGTGGGGTGTAGATATCTATGTACATACAATGTACCTGTATTGGTAGGGGGGTAGACATTTATGTACATACCTGTATTGGAGGGGGTAGATTACTATGTACATAACTGTATTGGAGGGGGGAGATATCTATGTACATATCTGTATTGGTAGGGGATAGATATCTATGTACATACCTGTATTGGAGGGGGTAGATATCTATGTACATACCTGTATTGGAGGGGAGAAGATCCTGCTGGCGGCGAGGACAGAGACGGTAGACACCTGCCACAACACATCCCAGCTGGACGTGGACGGGTTCCAGGCAGATACTACCTTCACTCCTCCTGCGTGGAAGGTCTCGTATATGTCCAACTTGGTGATGTTCAGCGACTGGGAGATCTGAACCTGCACATAAATTCGGAGAAGCTGATTCGGAACAAAAAACGTACTTCGGAGCAACCCTATTTCTGGCCATTAAAGTTTTTGCAAAAGAGATTTGGTACAGCGTACATGAACAGTGTAGGCACTTCAGTGTTACAGGTAGCTTGATATCATCAGACTTTATGACATCAACAATATAATGTTGCCGAACTTATATACACATACAGAATGAGTGATATATTAGTAGTAGTAGTAGTAGTAGTAGTAGTAGTAGTAGTAGTAGTATCCTGTGCAGTTAACATATTTTAATAAGTATTTTAATAAGTACTATCATTAATGCTTTTTATGAAATAAATTGTGATTGGTTAATATATGTCAATAATGTACAATATAAACCCAGTAGTTTGGGCCTCCTATGTTATTTGAACAGTATATGAAATTATACAAAAAAATATCCTTCGTAGGAAAGTCATGGAAACCCTGAAGTGGTGGAAGTGTATATGACTAGGATGATAGCATTGAGCATAGGTATCATTGCCGTGTATTAGGTATTGGAATACCTACGTACCTCTATCCACTCAATACCGGTCCACTCAGCTGATGCCCATGCGTTGGGGTTGTCGCCATAGGCGGGGTATACATCCGGAGGTCCTACTATTTTCTGGGCACTCCAGCTAATATTAAATACATGATTGAAATCGGATGAAAAAATTGTCTGTCTTAGACGGATAGCATATCTGCATAATCTGCAACATATTTCACCCAGATGTCTTACTGGGCATACCCTCTTTGCGACCACCTGGTGTCATTATTGGTTTTCGGTAATCCATTCATATAATTTCCCCTGCAATTTTGCCGTTTACGTACAATGGAATCTGTTTCGGCGGAATATCGAGACAGGTTATTTCCTGGCGCTGACGTTTCATATTTTCTGTATTCATCGAAGTAAGAGAGGTATAACTTGGTTTGTTGGTAGCATACACTAATTATGTAGTTGTATCATGTTGATGCGTAAAAAGGCGATGCTTGACAGGAGAAGAGGTAATTTTTGTACATGACGTTCTGTTTACGTTGCTTATATTTGCCTCGGAATCAGCATGGTAGGATCAGTGTGTGTCCAAAACAACACAAACTAGTGATACGTGTATACCACTGCCATTTTGCAAAATTCCCAAAATTTAAAGCATATTATAATGGTATTGTTATGACAATTAACAGGAATTATTGTTAACAGGAATAAGGTGAGGTGAAATGGGGTTTAACGTCTCGTCCAAGATTATTGCACTTATATAGCGACGTGCATGCACGTGTGTGTGTGGCTGTTTGTACTAGTCCGGACTGATGCCAGTTTATAGTGCTAGCTCACTGAGATACCATACCGCAGTTTAACATGAATACCCCACTCAAACACAGTATACTGACTCCGAGCCGACCAGTCCTTGTTTTAACCCCTTAATGCCGAGCGCCAGACAGGGTAACAACAAGTACCATCTTTTAACGTCTTTTGGTATGACGCGGTCGGGGAACGAACCCCGGACCTTCCGCTCTCCGGGCGGACGCTCTACCACTAGACCACGGGGGCGGTCTTAACAGGAATAAAGACTATTTGCATGTTTAAAGAAAATATGTTTTCCAGGACCCCTGGTGTCATCACTATTGTGTAGTTATTCAACACGTGTTCATGATTTGGTCGGAATCGTAAATCGGCTCTGCATTTTGCAGAGATTATTGTGAATATGGAAAAGTTTGTGGCATTAATTTAAAATGTGAGCAAAAGGGGCAATATTATTTCGGGATCGTTTAGTGGACTCTGCTTTTAGTTGAGATTTCTTATGATTATGGCGTTTCATTTACCTGTACTTCAAAGGCACCTTTGTTGAAGATATTCAGAATATGCTGCTAGGTCATTGGCATCGGATATCTCCATTCTCAGCAGCTTTGTCAGCTGTATGTTGAACTGTTGTGTTATTGTAAATAACACGTGCATTTGGACACAAAGGTGAAACGTTTCCGAACTTACTGACTCTAACTATGAATGGATTGTTTTTCGAAGATTATAGTTTCAGTCCCACTGATGGTCTTCGTCCCGCAATTTACTAAATTAATCAATTAATCTAATGCATATACGTCATTGATTCCATAGGCAAGGGATTATCGCAAATCAGTATATTTTCTCCATTATAGACCTGGAAGCTTGTTTCTTTTCTTTGTCACTTTTATAATGTTCTTTAATATCCATTAGTGCTTTACCCAAAGTATCACGTACAGTATCATCCCTCGTGTCATATTCTGGGTTTTTTTCATTCCTAAAATTAATGAATTATTTGTTCACATGAATCTTTAGTGAACGACTGTGAAGAAAATATCGAGCTTGCGTGCGAGTCAGATCGATATCGGATGTCCTGTTGTTTGCTCGCGCTGTAACTTAACATTTCTGCTAAGGAATTGAATGTTCTTTGCAGGTGCAATGTGTTGTCGAGAAATACCGAGTTCGTAATGGCTATTTGGTGACATGTTTTAAACATGTCCAAACGTAAAGTCATCGTTAAATTCATTTGTCAGGTGAGACTCATCTCATCAGCGACCGACCGCCTCCATGGAGTAGTGGATAGAGCGTCTGTCTGGAGACCGCCTCCATGGTGTAGTGGATAGAGCGTCTGTCTGGAGACCGCCTCATGGAGTAGTGGATAGAGCGTCTGTCTGGAGACCGTCTCATGGTGTAGTGGATAGAGCGTCTGTCTGGAGACCGCCTCCATGGAGTAGTGGAAAGAGCGTCTGTCTGGAGACCGCCTCCATGGTGTAGTGGATAGAGCGTCTGTCCGGAAGGCGAAAGTTCAGAGGTTCGCGTCTGGCAACGTCAGGCCAAAAGATACTTGTTGTTACCCTGCCTGGTGCTCGGTATTAAAGGGGATAAAACATAGACTGGTCTGCTCGGAATCTGTATACTGTGTCTGAGTTGGGTGTCCGGGTTAAAACGCGTCATGCTGACACTTTACATGGAATGTTTGTCCATCGTTGTTGGCATGGTCTGTAAACAACTCCTCTGAAACCACTGGACCAGTGATGCTGAAACATGCTGTTTGTGTTTGTTTGTTTGTTGTTTAACGCCGCACTCAGCAATATTCCAGCTATGTCTCAGTGGGCTAGCAGTATAAAACCGGCATCAGTCCGGACTCGTCCAAACCAACACGCAGGTACCTGCACGTACACTTATTTTGAACGCGATGTTAAACCCCATTTCCCCTTACCACCTCAATAGGGTCATGTAAATAAAAGCGACAAAACCCTTTCCATATTCAATAGAAATCTCTGCTAAAAGCCGAGTCGATTTACGATTCCGACTATATAATCAACATGCGTTTATGAATCACTATCAAATAGTGATGATATCATGTGTTCGCGAAAAGGTGAGCGTATCCTGCCCAACCGGTGGCACCCGTCACAAACACATGCAAAGGCAAAAAAAATCATGGGAGCATATGGTACAGGTCAAATACAGGGAATTGCACTGGACACCATTTTTGTCACTGATGCGTCAGTTTTGGAAATATCCTCAACATGTCTGCCATTTTGAAAGCTTTACTAAGGCCTTGAATGTTGTAACCTTGATCAAACAACTTGAGCAAGAGTCGTAAGTTACGAAATAATAAATCTATTAACTCGTGTTAGGTTAAGGGCACGTGGTTGAAAAGGAGTTTTCACTTTTCTTATTTTATTCATTTTCTAACAAATCAGCACGGTGAGGTCAAATCAAAATATAGCTGTCTAAATATAAAACCTCAACAACAGAGAATCTAGTACTAGTATCCGAAGAAACAGATTCCAGTGTACAAAAATAGCTGTGAAAATTATATGAATGGATGACTGAAATCCAGCGATTACGTCATCTGTTCACGAAATGGGTAAGCAGATCCTGCCCAACCAGCTGCACCCGCCACTCACACAATTTGCATAAAAGGGTGAGTAGAATTTTTTTTATTTCGTATGAGGATCTGTGCTTCAGGCTGTTTGCTTTAACTATTTACTGTTATATGTACAAGTATTTACTCTCAGAGAAAGCTGTAAAGGCAATGTTGGGTGCTTGTACTGTCCAGACTATACACGAGTTTTCATTATACATTAATTACATTTTGCTGCATATTTGTAGTTGTATTTGTATTTGAGAGATAGGGTGTTCGAGCAAATGTAACTAAATTCACTCAATTTACATTGATTGTGGCTCAAAATAGAGTTTAAGAAAGATTCGATGAGCTTTTTTTCACAGACAACATGGAATTAGGAAAGATTATTTATTAAGTCTTTCAATCATGAGATTGAGATTCAATCGGATTAGGCATTGACAATGTTTGTAGTTATACTGTATTTTTAAAAGTAATTACTAGTCGTTGTTTGAAGTTGTTTCAAGTTCACACTGTAGCTCACCTGGGTGTGTAGTTCAAAATGTCAACATGAACAGACACTATACAATTTTCTTTTACCTTACATCTTATCTTATCTTTTATCAAATATTCAGCTCCTTAAGTCTGGTAATTTCAGGGCAGTAGATGTCAGAAGAGTCAAAATGTCATTTGAGAGAACTTACTGGCAAAGTCAAATCAAGTTTGGACTAGACTCAAATGAAGATGCCATCAGTCATTGGAAGTAACATCTTCATTGGCTTGTTGTTTTCGTGGACAGTATATTTACAGTGCAAAGAAATGCATTTTGATAAAATATACTAGCATTGCCAATATGCAAAGTTTAAACAAACAAAAAGTCAAAATTTATGATATCGCAAAACAACGAAACATGTGTTTTGTCCAACTACCAACTACGGCAGTAGATGAAACAAGCCTATTATATTGCTGTGGATAAATTTATCCACCCCGTCGTGTTTAAGCTCCATATCATCCACAGCCAAAAGTGAGTACCATCGGAGGATAATTTATGCTCTTTCTTTCTTTTGAAAAACATGCGATCGAGGTGTTATGAAATGAAGTCGAATCGTTTTAGTAAAAAAATCGGCGAAACTCTTTCCATATTCACAAGATATCTCTGCCAACAGTAGAGTCGACTGTACGATTCCGATTACATATGAACATGAGCATGTGTCTGTGATGAAAGCCACAAGATTTTGGCACATGCTAGAACAAAGGCCCAAATGGCTCCAAATGTTACATACAGTAAACTACGGTTATAACGGACTCAAAAGGACCACTAAGTTAAGTTCGTAATAACCGTAGTTCGTTATAAGCATGTAACAACATATATACAACAAATGGCCGGGACTACAAAGTTAACTTAGTTCGTTATATCGGTCAGTTCGTTATTAGCGTGTTCGTTATAAACGTAGTTTACTGTAGATGTTATCAGTGAGGAAGTATAGCATTTCACCTGTTGTTTCTTCAGTAATCTTCGCATAACATTTGCTTTCATTTTTGCCAAAATTGTTCTGAACATTTAACAATATCTATTGTCACCACGTATATTGACAGATATCCCATGGATCGCGTTTTTCCTAAAGTTTGTCGTGTGGGAAAGTGGTGTACAAAGCTGGGAAATCAAATATTTTGACAGAATTAAACTTGGTTCTTCGAGATTGCAAAAATTCAAGCACCTTCTTTATACTTTTTGAAAGCCCAGAGGTATTAATTCCACGTATCTCAAATTCTTTCTGTGAATATATATACAAAGAGTCCTTCCCTGATTGTAGCTAGCAACTGATTGGCTCAAGAAGCCACGCATCCTTCATACATATTGAGCGGTCAGTGTTCTCTCGGGCTTTACCTGCTGTGACCTCAGGTCTTGACCCGGAGGGGTATTGCTGTGAAAGGTCGTCTTCCAATTAGCCAATGCCATAAATTGCCTGTGTGGTCATAACAGTGCAAAGTGCAAAGGTCAAATCAGGATTATCATTTTCAATATTGTATAAAACGGAACATATTTGTTGAACAGCACTACTAACTATACATTTACCATTTGGAAAACAAATTGCTTTGTAATGGCCATAATTAATTCTTTCAATATGGCTGCTGAGGCGGCCATATTAATAATTGGATCGGAACCTCTTGCACACGGTGGGGTGTCATCAATGGTTAAAGTTTCAGCTTTATTGGTCCAGTGAGAATATGTTCACGACGGAAAACGAACAAATATGCCATTACATAATCTCCCTTTGGGCCAGGTGAGCTAAACAGGAATCCAAGTTATGCCCTTTATGCTGGTCTACTTACCGGGTGGCCCTGTATTGAGAGGAGAATTGTACGACAGATTCCACCCACAGTGAGATCAGTGCAGGAGCAGTGCTTACATCTGTGGTCGTTGTCGTGGTAGTTGTAGTTGTAGCATTATCAGAGATCACTGTAGTAGTTGCAGCTGTCGTCGCAGTAGAAGCAGTTGTCGTGGTAGCAGGTGTCAAAGTCGTAGTAGTTGGGTTCGTTGGCGTAGTAGCTGTCGCCGCAGTCGTTGAAGCTGTCGCAGGAACAACAGTTGTCGCAGTTGCAGGTGTCACTGTAGTAGTTGCAGCGATCGTAGTAGTTGGGGTTGTCGACGAGATCAGTGCAGGAGCTGTGGTTACATCTGTGGTCGTTGTCGTGGTAGTTGTAGTTGTCGCATTATCAGAGATCACTGTAGTAGTTGCAGCTGTCGTCGCAGTAGAAGCAGTTGTCGTGGTAGCAGGTGTCAAAGTCGTAGTAGCTGGGTTCGTTGGCGTAGTAGCTGTCGTCGCAGTCGTTGAAGCTGTCGCAGGAACAGTTGTCGCAGTTGCAGGTGTTACTGTAGTAGTTGCAGCGATCGTAGTAGTTGGGGTTGTCGACGAGATCAGTGCAGGAGCTGTGGTTACATCTGTGGTCGTTGTCGTGGTAGTTGTAGTTGTCGCATTATCAGAGATCACTGTAGTAGTTGCAGCTGTCGTCGCAGTAGAAGCAGTTGTCGTGGTAGCAGGTGTCAAAGTCGTAGTAGCTGGGTTCGTTGGCGTAGTAGCTGTCGTCGCAGTCGTTGAAGCTGTCGCAGGAACAGTTGTCGCAGTTGCAGGTGTCACTGTAGTAGTTGCAGCGATCGTAGTAGTTGTGGTTGTCGACGAGATCAGTGCAGGAGCAGTGGTTACATCTGTCGTCGTTGTCGTGGTAGTTGTAGTTGTCGCATTATCAGAGATCACTGTAGTAGTTGCAGCTGTCATAGTAACCGTCGCAGCTGTCGTCGCAGTAGAAGCAGCTGTCGTTGTAGCAGGTGTCAAAGTCGTAGTAGTTGGGTTCGTTAGCGTAGTAGCTGTCGTCGCAGTCGTTGAAGCTGAAGTAGGAACATCAGTTGTCGCAGTTGCAGGTGTCACTGTAGTAGTTGCAGTGATTGTAGTAGTTGAAGGTGTTGACGAGATCAGAACAGGAGCAGTGGTTACATCTGTCGTCGTTGTCGTGGTAGTTGTAGTTGTCGCATTATCAGAGATCAGTGTAGTAGTTGCAGCTGTCATAGTAATCGTCGCAGCTGTCGTCGCAGTAGAAGTAGTTGTCGTGGTAGCAGGTGTCAAAATCGTAGTAGTTAAGTTAGTTGGCGTAGTAGCTGTCGTCGCAGTAGAAGCAGTTGTCGTGGTAGCAGGTGTCAAAGTCGTAGTAGTTGGGTTAGTTGGCGTAGTAGCTGTCGTCGCAGTCGTTGAAGCTGTCGTAGGAACATCAGTTGTCACAGTTGCAGGTGTCACAGTAGTAATTGCAGCTTTCAAAGTAACCGTCGCAGCTGTCGTCGCAGTTGTCGTGGTAGCAGGTGTCAAAGTCGTAGTAGTTGGGTTCGTTGGCGTAGTAGCTGTCGTCGAAGTCGTTGCAGGTGACGTAGAAATAACAGTTGTCGCAGTTGCAGGTGTCACTGTAGTAGTTGCAGCTGTTGTAGTAATTAAGGGTGTCAAAGTAGCTGTTGTCGTTGTCGTTTTCGTTACGGCTGTAGTAGCAGATGTTTCAGTAGTTGGCATAACAGTAGTAGGTGAAGTTGTCGCAGCAGTTGCGTCTGTTGTAGTAGCAGTTGAAGGTGTTGACGTGGTAGTTGATGCAACTTGTCTGATAGTGTCTAAAATACGTAGAACATATGGTTGCAGATTACTGTATGTAACATTAAATTGCAGCCTGATAAAAAGTCACGGTAGTATACACAACATTAAAAGTACAGTAAACTACAGATATAACGAACGTAAAGGGAAAACTAATTTTAGTTTGTTAAAAACGTAGTTCGATATAACCATATATATACAGCATAAACTGGGCGGCAAAAGAAAGTATAGGTCGAGTTCCATGATCGATAGAAAAATAACAAGAAGAGGTTTTGTTGTGAATTATAATATAATTTAGTGAGGGGTAACAAATGATTGATCAACCACAGTTTGAATGAAATTGTGCAATCACAGGTAATGTAAGCTCAAGGTAAACAATGGCGGGGTAAGAAATTTCATTTTCAAAAGTTGTCTGAAATGTCACCAAAAAATTGTCAGACACACTACAAGTTCATTGTCGACACAGTTGCCTTCAATAGCGTGTATGACCTCCAGCTGCCTCAATGCATGTTGTGATACGCCGCCTCATCGATGACGTCAGTCTTCTGATGACGTGGACTGGAATCCGTTTCCACTCGTCTCTCATGGCCTGCTGCAATTCTTGTCTGTTGACGGGAGGCTGATGGCGTGCTCTAATCGGTCTGTGAAGATTGTCCCACAGATGTTCAATAGGATTCATATCGGGTGATTGGGCAGACCAGGGCAAAACGTCAACGTTCTGCTGGTTTAGAAAGTTCCGAGTCTTGCAGTATGGGGCCTGGTATTGTCGTGTTGAAACAATGCCCCCTGCTGTTGGTTTTGTAAGAACGGAAGCAGTACTGTACGTTGGCTAATGGGATGTCCCAACGTTGTTGCTGCTGTCGCTGTCGCCGCTACGAATCTGTTTCGCAGGTGAATGAGCCGTATCTGACCGTCTTCCAGTGGTGTTGTCACTCGGGGTCGTCCGGTTCTAGGCCTGTCCTGTGTCCTCCCTGCCTGCCTGTACCGTTGAATCAGCCTGGCTACTGTCAATGGTGTACAACCAAACCTTCTGGCAATTTGGACCTGTGTTGCCCCCATTTCGGCCATACTCTCTCTCTCTCTCTCTCTCTCTCTCTCTCTCTCTCTCTCTCTCTCTCCCTCTCCCTCTCCCTCTCTCTCTCTCTCTCTCTCTCTCTCTCTCTCTCTCTCCTGTGCCAGTCGTGGCATTTCTTTTCTGTGCTTTCATCACGTGTGGTTATACCCTGCAGACGAACGCATTTATACAGCTAACATGCACGTGCAGTTTATGCCATAGGCGAGAAACATGTTTCACCATTTTCTTTGTCACCGCACGAGCGCCGTCAAAGGTGGCGCGTTCAGGTGAAGTGTTTTTTGGTACCTGTTCCTTGGCAGTCATATTCCCAAGACCCACTTTCCATCAGTTATCGCTGTTTTTAGGAAACTTGTAAATTACCAACCAGTACTTTCTTTTGCCGCTTAGTTTATATACAGCAAATGGACAGGATAAAAACACATTTCGTAATATCCGTCAGTTCTTTATAAGCGTGTTCGTTATAAACGTAGTTTACTGTAATAACTCTAAAATAGTTTATTTATCAAATATTTCAATCATACGGCATGTTATATATCCTGACACGCTTAAGGGACACAACTCTGCACAGTGAATTGGAAGACTTACCTGGAAGGTTATATCCAAGCCACCACATCTCTGACGTGAGATTTAACTGTGACACCGGTTCTGAGTTTAGGATGCACTTCAGAAGAGTTTGGTGATAGAAGAAAGCCGCACAGCTGGTCACGTTGACGCAGTTCACGGCACATTCAGCTAAACTGGAAACTGTCGTCATGGTCAGTATGCCGTTTAATGACCTCTCTCCGGTGGACACATGACGTAGATCGCGTATGGAGGTATTAAGACAGCCATTATAACCATTTACAATATTCACAAAAAAAACTACCATGACAAGCATGAATACACCCATGGCTGCTGGACCCGGTCTTGGCTTGTTCGGTAAGATCCTGTACCTGTCAGTTCTTTCTGTGCGGTTGATACGAACAGTTGATGTCCAGCACTAATATCATGCCAACCAGGTGGTTGACATTTCTTCTCTGTCAAAGTCGCTGTTAATCGCTGTTAGTCGCTGTTAATCCGAGTGTATAAATATATCAGAAAAATCAATGAAAATCATTACTCCATTTGTTAAATAACCATTGTTCTGTTGTCTTTGTAGTTCTCGAAATATGTCAAAACACGATACACGTTATGTTAAAACTGATGCCAATCAACTGAAATGGACCAAATGCTGAGAAAGGTCTGGCACAGAGTTGATATTGATTGGTGAATTGTTACTATACAATGACATGGAAACATCGTTATCCACCAGCACGAATCTGAGGAGAAAGGAAAGTGTACCTGCATCTTATTTATATGGGCCTCTGAAGACGTTAATGGGTAAATTGTTTGATTGGCTTTTTTTAGAAGTAGATGGATGAAAAAATAGTCAACAGTTTATGTATTAGAACTTTTTTATTATACTGTAATAGCGACCTTTTGGTATAGGTCCTTATACCGTTGTCAAGCAAGACTGAATAATGAGTGTGGGGGGGAGTTGGGTGTAACGCCGCTTTTAACAGTATTCCAGTTATATCGCGGCGTGTCGGCTTAACGTGGGAGAAAAGCCCGAAGGGATGCAGGTCTTAGACGTTTACCACTTCGGTGAAAACCACAGCACTTTTATGGTGCTGACAAACCTAGAAACATATTCGGGCCGAACCGGGATTCGAAACCACAATCATAGGTTTCTGGCGTGCCCAAGGGACGCAACTCTGCACAGCGAATCGCCATAGACGACTGAGCCACCCGTGCCCCCGACTGAATACTGAACATGGTACAGAATTATATTTGACAGGTGAAGGATTAACATAAACAACGATTATCATTTATATATGGGATATGAGTAGGTTAACACATAGCAACAGAAGGATAATATTTTAACAACATGACGGGCAGATACGAGTGACGACGAGAATTAAACGGGAAGCCAATCAAAAAGGTCGAATTACTGGGATGACTGAAAAAACTGATGCTTGATGGCGGGTGGGGTGAAATAGCCTTGATCTCTGTTGATAGAAGGCTTGTGGGGGCGAATCGACTGCGTCTGCTAGTTTCATTTGTGAAGTCACGGAGGTTGTTGCCAAGGATTTGGGTGTTTTCCCAATTAATGTTGTTGTGATTGGACCAGTTGCTTATATGTACCGAGATGGCCGATTTACTGTCTGATTTGATTGTAGACGTTTTGATTCTGGCGTTGATGGGGCGTGATGTTCCACCTGCATGGGATTGTCCACAGTTACAATTTGTGTACACCGTTGTGTTTAGGGGGTTAGGTAATGAGGGAGATGGAGCTGGTGAAGTAGGCATCTTCCCGAGGCAAGGGTGTTAACTGACTTTAAAAGTCCAGTTTCAAAACTTGCCGAACTAGGCTATTATTATGGAGTTACATTTGGGCTGGACTAACGAGTCTATGCATAGTCTAATCAAAATCGCGAAATCGAAATCCGGTTCGTACACTGTCGTGCAGATTTCGATCGATTGCAGCATTTGCAAAGCATGTGCACCGCCAAGGGCACCAGAAATGGGCTTCACACATTGAACCAATGTGGCAATCGAAACCGGATCTTCGGCGTGACGAGCGAACGCTTTAGACACCGGACTACTCCATCGCCCCTTTAAAACAATAAATAAAAATGCTGATAACGAACAAAATAAAGATCGGGTATTACCAACTGATTTTGAGGGTCCCATGGAATTTGTTACACACAGTTTGACAATACGTTAACCCATTTACCCTACTTTGAGAGTACGAGGTCGAGTCCTCCTTAAGGACAAGGAGTGAGTGAGTATTATTTTACGCCGCCTTTAGCAATATTCCACCAATATGACGGCGGGGGCACCAGAAATGGGCTTCACACATTGTACCAATGTTGGAATCGAACCAGGGTCTTCGACGTGACGAGCGAATTCTTTAACCACTGGGCTACCCCACCGCCCCTTAACGATAGGGATTTTGTTTTCACACAGTTGACTGTATGTTAACCCATTTACTTACTCACAGTGTACGTATGGCAACCTTTAACATGATGATCATGTGTATCTCAACCTCTTGGTGGAAGCACGGATGGCCCAGTCGTTTAAGGCGCCACAATTCGTTGTGCAGAGTTGCGTCCCTTGGCCTCGCCAGAAACCTAGGATTGTTGGTTCGCATCCAGGTTTGCCCTGTTTATGCTTCTAGGTTTGTCGACACCATACCCGTGCTCGTGGGTTTCACGGAAGTGGTAAACGTCTGAGACCTGCGTCACTTCGTGCTTTCTCCTGACATTAATTATTGATCAACAAATATAAAAATATTACCTCATTATGCTCTAAGATAAAGACGACGGTTTATTGACGTTGGCTGTGATGTGCCGGTGCTAGGGATTCTTCTGAAGGAATATATATTTATTTATTACAATACATAGAGAATCGCACCTGAATGACTTCCGGGGTCACATATTTCAAGACAACGTCTCGGCGCCTTGGGTATGCTTGGGTAAGACGGAAAACGAAATTGCCGGACATTTTAATGTTCATTGAAACATAATATCATCTTCCTGGAAACGATACAGACAACAGGGCAACATTCATGACTTGTCACGGGTTGTGTGACGTGGCGTCTACAACACGTCAACCATATTTGGTTGGTGCATCTAAGGAATCGACACCAAACTCCCACATTACTAGCTCGGACAATTCCGAGCGGCAGAACCGTACGTAACCGGTTGAGGTAGCACAACGCCCGGCCCCTAGGCCGTAGTTACCTTTTTTGACGGGGAGGGGGGGCAAATATTTGTACAAGTATCACTTTTTCCCAACTTGATTCAAATAAAACTGTTTTCTATTAAAAAAAAGTAGGGAGGGCAACCCCCATCCCCCCCACCACCACTTCGGCGTGACGAGCGTTGCACGTTTTGAGGCAGCATAACATGACTGTACCGTCATGGCCGGCTGTTTCTCCAGACCACTTCCCCATTGAACATTTCTGGGATATGGGTGGAACGATGTCTACGACAGTTACCAGCCGGTAACGCTAGCTCAATTGGACCCATCAGTGGTTGACACGTGGAACAACATCCCCCAGGCTGTTTCCAATCATCTGGTCTCTTCAATGCGCCAACGCAGCCTCGCCTGTATCCACGCGTGGTGGTCACACCTGATATAGAAATTGTTAATTAACTTGATACATGACCCCTCTTTTAGAGCCCCCCCCCGCTCCGTCTCCTGTTACCAGGAATGGGTTTTGCAAATGAATTTGTTAGGATAAAACATTAATCAGACGAATGACCAAATATTTTGCTGCTATTTTCAATAACATAACATTTACACCACTTTCTATGAAGCACAGTTACCTTTTTTCCGTTAGTACATATTTACAACGCAATGCTTGTTTAAGAGAAATGTACCAGCGCAGTGATTGAGTGAGTGAGTGAGTGAATATGGTTTTACGCCGCTTTTAGCACCAGAAATGAGCTTCACACATTGTACCCATGTCGGGAATCGTACCCGGGTCTTTAGCGTGACGAGCGAACGCTTTAACCACTAGGCTACCCGACCGCCCCCGCAGTGATTGCATTCGTTATACAATATATACTGCGTTGGACGACATCATATATATGGGCCGATGCCCCACTCCAGTTTGCGTATAAATTACTGAACACAGGCTTCCCCAATGCCCAAATATTTTTTCGGAATTATTTGTCTTTATTCATTTCTGTCGAAAAGACTTTATGTTTAACGTTTGTTCACTTGGGTCATGACCGGCAAGATTAAAAACATATATAACCCAATAAACATACATCATCACTCTACAGTCTGAGGTTTATGTTGTCAACCATTGTGTCGTTGGTTGTTGTGATTCTTATGTTGGCACGACATCATGTCGTCATGGAAACCACAGCCTGCCACCTCTTTGTTCTCCGTGTCAAGGTCTCTAGCTTCAAAGAAATATGCCTGAATTAGTCATGTGCTTGCTGTATGCTATTCCGATTTTTTTCTCGCCTGACTGAAATGTCAAGTGATCTTACATCCTAGTATGTTTGCCCGTCTTCTCAGAAACCTATGGACCAATTAAGCGGAAACTTCACATGCCTATTGAAAAGCCATATTTTCAAACAGCCAATTTATGACCAAAGTGGATTTAAATTGAGTACAGCAGATCCAGATATTTTTTCCGTTTTTTCGTGGCGATATCTTACATTTTAAACTTATTTTACCCGAGCACTTCGACCACACTGCAAAAATAAACTTTTGACGGTTATTTCTAAGACCATTCTATTTAAAAAATGTAATGACATTTGGTGTATGAGTTGTTAGTAGTTGGACTGAACACCGTTTGACGTTCCCGTTTTTTACAATATTTCACATTTTGACCTTTATTTGACCTTTACACTTTGACCCTGCTCATGAATTCTCCCACACTGCTTTTCTATCTCCGGGAGCCATTACACCAACGAAGCGGAAATTCCACATGCTTTTTCCATCCCATGATGACACACTAGTCTGTTCTAGAGGTTCGAATCTGAACTGCAACGGCAGCCATATGGCGCTCGGCATTAAGGGGCTAGAACAAGGACTGGTCGGCTCGGTGCCAGTATACTGTGTCTGAGTGGAGTATTCGTGTAAACTGCGGCATGGTATCATGAATATCCCACTCAGACAAAGTATACTGACTCCGAGCCGACCAGTCCTTGTTACAGCCCCTTAATGCCGAGCGCCTGACAGGGTAACAACAAGTACCATCTATTGACGTCTTTTTGTATGACGCGGCCGGGAATCTAACCCCTGGCCTTCCGCTCTCTGGGCGGACGCTCTTCCACTTGACCCTGGAGGCGGTCAGTATACATCCACAGTATACAGCATATCCACTCACTACCTCTCATCTAATCGCACTACTTGTCTCCGTTGTTGATAAACCAACATGTTATGACAATGCTAAACTACGATTTCAACTCGATCGCTACGTTGTTGATAAACCAACATGTTGTGACAAAACTAAGCTACGATCTGAACTCGATTTGTCTTTCTTCACTTGTGGCCAGCTGAAGTAGGAGATAAAACACGTTCTTAACAATGCCATAACACACGTTATCTCTCACCAGACGCCGAACTATCGCTGACAGTGTGTGTGGTATCACTCGAGAGGCAGGCTATCAAGATTCACAGATACACACTTATGAAACGCAAGAGTTTGTGTGATGATACTTATCCAGCGCTTGACACAGGTAGGTCGATGATCTCCTTTTCTCCTGTTTTTAGTTCATTTTTGTATAACTTTTGCAGTGTGTACAGCCATACCTATTTTGAAATCCTGAAACTGTCTCTGTTTTTGATATGTATCAACTGCGTATATCCTAAATAACATTGTGAAATTCAACGAGGTGGGATGGCGGTCCTTTTTGGCCTACTGGGAATGTCATAAGAATATCATCTTTGGTCAAAGGCTTGCGAAGTTCAAATCACCAATAAACGCTTCCGGTAACCTGCTTAGCATAAGCCTTTTCAAAACATTATATATGCTTGACATGTTCAATTAACGTTGTTCTAAACCTAAAACGGGGGGCACGGGTGGCCCAGTGGTCTAAGGCGCCGCGATTAACTGTTCAGATTTGCGCGCTTGGACGAGCCAGAAATTTATGATGGTGGGTTCGAATCCCTGTTCGCCCTGATTATGTTTCTGTGTTCATCAGCACCATACCCGTGCTCGTGGGTTTCACCAAAGTGGTAAACAAACGTCTGAGACGTACATCATTCCAGGCATTCCTCCCACATTAAGTTGACACCCTGCCATCAATATTAGAAAACATAATCCTGATTGAACATGGTGAAATGGGGTCAAAGATTATTGCACTTATATAGCGACGTGAATCCACGTGTGTGTGGCTGCTTGTACTAGTCCGGACTGATACCTGTTTTAACGCGCTCGCCCACTGAGATACCATGCCGCAGTTTAATATGAATACCCTACTCAGACACAGTATACTGACTCCGAGCCGACCATTCCTTGTTTTAGCCCCTTGATGCCGAGCGCCAGACAGGGTAACAACAAGTACCATCTTTTAACGTCTTTTGGTATGACGCGGCCGGTGATCGAACCCTGGACCTTCCGCTCTCCGGGCGGACGCTCTACCACTAGAACACAGAGGTCTAATAAGATAGAGACAGTGATGTGTATTGCCTCTGAAAATAACAATGCACTAGAATACATATATTATTGACTTTGACTTGACAGAATTACATTACAGATCTAACCGTTATATCATGGCTCGGCGTGAAAGGGTAGGGTATCACTGACCGATAATAAAGTCTGTCTAGCAGGCGCCCCAATTCATGGTGAAGAGTTACTTCCCTTAAAAATGCTAGGATCCTATAATCCTAATAATTATTATCCATGGTTTCCAGCACCATGCCAGCGGATTTCATCAAATACTGTTAAAACGGCGTAAAACCCAGCGTAGGTAAAGTAGTGAGTGAGTTGTGTTTTATGCCGCTCTTAGCAATGTTCAAGGAATATAACGGCCCGTTGTACCCATGTGGGAAATCGAATCATTGTTGTCGATTAAAACTATTTTCAGGAACCACTATGAACGAGAATGGGTCTGACAACGAGGAGGCGATACCGGAACGCTACTTACAATGTCGTCTCTGTGGAAAGCAGTACGGTCAGGACAACAGGTGCCCTCGACTCCTGCCCTGCTTGCACTCCTACTGTCTGGGGTGTCTGGAGCTCGGATGGGACTGGGCAGCGACCGGAATCACGTGTCAACTGTGCAGTGCAACATGGGACGTCCACGACAGCGTCTCGGCTACGTTCCCAGTCAACTACGTAGCCATGAAGCTCCTTACACTGGCGAAGGTTGAGAACTCCCGAACAGTGCATTGTACTGACTGTGATGACAGCAAACGGGCTACACATCGCTGTGTGGAGTGTCATCACTTCATTTGTAACGAGGGTTTCAAAGCTCACAAGCAGTTCGTGCAACTGCAGGCACACAGGCTTCTCAGTATTGGCGAGTTCCTGAAATCGCCGTCGGAGATGTTCACGAAGGAAGACATGTGTGACGTCCATGTTGGTCAGCCTCTGGACCTATTCTGCCTCAGTGACACGTGTAGATGTGCTATTTGTGCATCATGTGCCCTCGTCTCTCACACGGAGAGAGAGGGGCACTGTATAGGTAATTACACATATATATAGTCAACCTAATGACCTTATTGACTGGCTCACAACCTCACACAGCTACCCATTCATTGAACCTCTCACACAGCTACCCATTCACTGATACACACACACACACACACACACACTGCCTCTCATTATTGTACGCACACATATACAACTTGTTTTCAACCATATATTCATTGGCGTATGCAGCTGCTCACAAAACCACTCATTCATTCAGGCAGTCACTCATTTTTTGACACGCACACAACCACTCCCATAGTTATTTCTTTATTGACTTTCACACATACCACCCTTTACGCAATGACTCACACAACGACTAATTCATCCATTCACATAGTCAGTCATACATTCATTCACACAACCGCTCATTCATTCATTCATTCATTCATTCATTCATTCATTCATTCACATTACCGCTCATTCATTCATTCACACATCCGCTCATTCATTCATCCACACAACCGCTCATTCATTCATTCACACAACCGCTCATTTATTCATCCACACAGCCGCTCATTCATTCATCCACACAACCGCTCATTCATTCATCCACACAGCCGCTCATTCATTCATCCACACAACCGCTCATTCATTCATCCACACAGCCGCTCATTCATTCATCCACACAACCGCTCATTCATTCATCCACACAGCCGTTCATTCATTCATCCACACAACCGCTCATTCATTCATCCACACAACGACTAATTCATTCATTCACATAGTCAGTCATACATTCATTCACACAACCGCTCATTCATTCATTCATTCATTCATTCATTCATCCATTCATTAATTCATTCACATTGCCACTCATTCATTCATCCACACATCCGCTCATTCATTCATTCACATAGTCAGTCATACATTCATTCACACAACCGCTCATTCATTCATTCATTCATTCATTCATTCATTCATTCATTCACATTGCCACTCATTCATTCATTCACACAACCGCTCATTCATTCATTCACACAACCGCTCATTCATTCATTCACACATCCGCTCATTCATTCATCCACACAAGCGCTCATTCATTCATTCACACAACCAATCATTCATTCATACATCCACACAAACGCTCATTCATTCATTCACACAACGACTAATTCATTCATTCACATAGTCAGTCATACATTCATTCACATAGCCACTCGTTCATTCACATAGCCACTAATTCATTCATTCATTCATTCATCCAATCATTCATTCATTCACATAGCCACTCATTCATTCATTCATTCACATAGCCACTCATTCATCCACACAGCCAATAATTCATTCATCCATTCATTCATTCATCCATCCATCCATCCATCCATCCATTCATTCATCCATCCATCCATCCATCCATCCATCCATCCATTCATTCATTCATTCATTCATTCATTCATTCACATAGCCACTCATTCATTCCACCAAGTATTGTTTACTGTCTACCTGCCCAGGTAAGGTGCAAGAGGTGTACACGGACCAGACGGGGCGAACCCGGGCCCTGATCGATCAGCTGTGCATGAGGCTGGAGAACGCCAAGGAAGGGCTCAATGTCTCTAAACGTCAACTGAAGCGGCTGGAGGGTCGCGAAGCCGACATCAAGTCAGACATCAGAAAGGTCAGCACTAGACTGGATGGACAATGATTTTTGTTGGACACGGGGGAGGGGGATTCAGTCTCTGCGCTAATCTATACATTAACTTCTTTAAGTGGCATTTAGAAGTAGCATCAAGTGCATCAAGTGCATCAAGCAAGTGATGATAAAGGTGTTAGGATCTACACCGAAACGTCGCACTAATTGTAATAAAGAAGTTGTTCATCCATAGAACTTGTCTTACTTAATCTATACATTATTGTATAAGGTATAATTGCTTCTTCCACCAAGATCTACACTCCATATATTGTTATTTTAATTATTTTTCTGAAACAGATTTTCTTTTCTTTTTTGAAATGCCACCATCCCAGCAGGGTTCGCCCTGACGCAGAAAACCTGCGTATTTGTCGCATAAATAATTGAAAATACGCTAAAAATATTTTCTACTGCGTCAGTGTTGACGCAATGAAACAGCCATTAAAATTAGTAAACTGAGAACTTTCCGTTTGTCAGAAAGAAAATACAGTGATCCCTCGCTACAACGCTACCTTCGGGGTCCAAATAATTGATGAGCGTTATAGATGATCAGCGGTTAACTCTTTCAACACCGTAGGCCGGTTTTCGGCCAAGAAGCATCGAGTCCCGAGACACCGTAAGCGGGTTAACCGGCCAAGCCGTAGTCACGTCAAAATAGTATATATTTTTATGGACCTACCTGTAATATCATTCATTTATTAAATCTATCACATTTCACAATGTCTGAAATACGTATTCCATTTCAATTTATAATTTTTTATCGATAAATTAAAAAATTATTCACTATTTCCCCGCGATGTTATTGAAAATAACATTCTCGGACACACATTTCGACAACGGGTCTACATCGAACATGTCAAGGAGCAAAATAAAGGCGTGTTAAACAAATCTTTAAATATATTATACAAAGTAATAAATAAAATCAACAAAAATATATCTAAAAGTAATCAAGCTTACATCTAAGTTATTATTTCCATCTTTTTGTGCGATCGCGTGTAATATAAGACATCTCGGCTTTCGTCGCCTTGAATTCTCGGCTCGGACACGATGTTTAATGCAAAAATATATGCGTGAAAAATCTTTGTCACAGCTCGTAACCTAGCACGATACATTCACGAAGTTCCATATTTTTAATATGTATCGTGATTTCCTGCTTAAAACGTTCAGAATAACGATTTAACAAAAACCTTTCGCCAACTTCTGAAATTTATTAAACACGAGCTTGGTATCACAGCTGTAATTTGATTGGCTGCCTTAGGTCCCGTGCTCAAAATTGACCAATCGCGAAACTTGTAGCAGATTTCGGCAAGAAAGCGTCATTGGAAATCAATTTTATTCCAATGAAAATGCTTGTTATAACTACGAAAAAAAACAGCCGATGTTACGAGCGTGTAGATAAAGGAATAAGCTTTCTAGCGATGTGTCATTTGCCATTCTTCGACGAACGTGTTATTCATACGAAGCCTCGAAAACGGGGGTATTTCTTCATATTACTGAGCGGACAGCCGCTGTTATCGGGAAATGGGTATAATTCTTTTTAAAATGATTTTCCAATTACGTAAACAATGAAAATAAAACAGAAATAGGTAAGTGGATTTTATGAAATCTTATATTTGCCGAAAATCGTCAAGTTTTCGCTTCCTTGCTCCTTAATCTGGATGTTAACAACGTATTAGCTTACATTTTTTATTTACAACGAACTTAATTAAGTTGTAAATGCATTATTTTATATAATGTGAAAAACATAACTTTCATATTTATAAACCATAGGATCAGACCTTTCAAATGGTGTATAACATGTAGTGGCAAATATATTTTAAAAGCAGGTATTTTCTTTGATAAATGTTGGCTTCATCTATCACACAAGAGTCTCTGGGAACTCGGTGTCCCAGCAGTAAACACTTCTGTTTGACTGGTGTTGAAAGAGTTAACGAAGGTCGAGTCGCAGGTGGTAGACGACCAACACAACAGTATACATGCTCTGCCTAGTACCTATCACGATCTACGTTGCACTTTTCACAGTTTCCAAAAAGATTAGAATAGAAGTTATTTATGATTCATAGTGTAAAGATTTATCGAGTATTAGGCCCAATATACTTGACTTTGTGAATCAAAGATATTTATGTTACAGTTGAAATAATGAAGAATATAAAAAGTTAAAATCTTCCCTTGTTTATGTTTACTTAATTTTTCATCCTGATAGCGAGATTCTGAGATTAGTTAATATGACTCCCAAAAATTGATGAATGACTCCTAATCTGAAAAGTTGGGGGTCATAATGACTCCCAATTTTTAATGTCTAGGGCAAACCCTGCATCCCACCGTCTGAATATCAGTTGTCGGCCACTTCACTATTCACACCACATGCAGCTTCAGGGGGCGGTGTCGTAGCCTAGTGGTTAAAGCGTTAGCTCGCCAAGCCAGGAACCCGGGTTCAATTCCCTTCATGGGTACAATGTGTGAAGCCCATTTCTGGTGTCCCCCGCCGTGATATTGCTGGGATATTGCTAAAAGCAGCGTAAAACCAAGCTCACTCACTCACATATAGCTTCGGTGGTGTGCTCCCGACTCAGATCCAAGGGGCGTTTGCTCAAGGTTTTCACGCCGGGTCCATCATCCAAAAACGTTGCGGGTTGATCACCAATTGTAATAGATGTAATTAACACCTCAACAGCCACTGTCATGCCCCGATCCCCTTTCTATTATCAAAAACCGCCTCCGTGGTCTAGTGGTAGAGCATCCGCCCGGAGAGCGGAAGGTTGGGGCTTCGTTCTCTGGTGCTCGGCATTAAGGGGCTAAAACAAGGACTGGTCGGCTCGGAGTCAGTATACTGTGTCTGAGTGGGGTATCCACATACAACTTAGTCATGGTAAAGCTTTTGTCAAGCATTGTTCTGCCTCAGAATTGCTACATGAAGACACGTTTTCCAATTTCAACTCCGGTGTCACATCCGCCATTGCTTTTGTCGTTGTCAAAATCTTTATTTCGTCGCCAGGTATTTGAAAGTTTAATGGAGGCTTTGAAATCGAGGCGGGATGCCATCATCACAACTGTTGATGACATCATACAGAGAGAACGTGCTGATTTCGAAGGCGCCCAATCAGAGACGAAATCGTCAGAGAAGCGGATGTTGGAAGCAGTTGAGTTTGCCAACCAGGCTCTCTCTGTCTGTAGCTATGCGGAGTTCATGGAACTCAGCTCTCTGCTCGAGGTGAGTGTCATTAAGTGTGTACGTCATCCTCCATATCTCCAGGGCTCGCATGTCGGAAAACCTACTCCTGGATCCATTCCCGTGGTTCTCGCAATCTTGAATTACCCGCCCTTGATTTTCATTAGCCAATTTGATTTGCTACGCTAACGGACCAATCAGAATGCGAGTTACAAACCAGCCTGTTTGTCTTGGCGATATAAACAACATGGCGGCCAGTAACATTGATTACGATAGAGTTTGCGAGGAATTCAACATTGAAAACTGAATCACACGCAAAAGTAAGAAGCACAAATCTTTTTCATGGAAAGAATGTCTCCATGTCCCCTTCCTTCACCCATTTACTTTTTCCTTATCTCGACGTTTGATTGGTCGGTAAAATGTTAATGACAATCAAGGGCGGGTAATTTGAGATCACGAGAACCACGGGAATAGTGTAGGCTTACCGAAATGAGAGATAGAGAGGATGTTCATACGTCTAGTTAGATAATAGTAACAGCAGCAGTTGTTGTCGTCGTCGTCCTCGTACTCGACGTCGTAGGAGTAAGGGTTTGTTTGTTGTTTAACGCACTCCGCAACGTCCTTCATCACCGGGTTACGACGACAGAGAGGACATTTGGGCACTTCGGGTATACTCGGGTATAGTTGGGTATACTCGGGTATTCTATACTGGACAGTCGGTGTTGAATAGTACTGCGGGAGTTGGTAACCTGGGTAAGACATGGTCTACAGTTAAATTTTGGGGGGAGTTTGGAATAATAAGTGTGAGGAAGTATTGTTTTACGCGGCTTTAAGCAATATTCCACCGGCGGGCGTCACAAAAAATAGGCTTCACACATTGTACCCATGTGTCGAAACGAACACGGGCCTTCGGCGTGACGAGCGTCTAGTTTCTCAATTGAGTGGATCGACGTTCATGACGTCAATCACTGGATCGTCTTGTCCAGGCTCGATTATTTACGGACCGCCGTCATATAGCTGGAATATTGCTGAGTGTGCTTTAAACAACAACGAAAACAAGTTTGTAGCTGATGTTCTCTGTTTGAACAGGGCACGATGGTCAAACTGCAAGAAAATGGTGTTGAGCTCCGCTGCGTTGAGAAGGACTTTCAGATGGATTCCAGCCGTCTGGACAGCATCAAAACCAGTATTATCAAATTTGGCGATATTATTGAAACCTGTACCAACCCACACACGTGGCAACCAGTCGTCGAGGTAGTCGATGCACATCCGGGCCACGAGGCTAACATAATGGAAGTCAAGTTCATCAATGAAATAAACAAAATGGCGGCAACGGAAGTACCCAAGATCGGGGTGAAGGTCGAACGATGTGATCCACAAAACAGCGCTCGCGTCATGTGTCTTCGATCCCACGGTGAAAGTCGAAAAGTAGGATACCAGGTGAAGTTTACCCCGCCTCGTGACGTCAAGTATCGGGCCAAGCTGACGATTACCCACATGAAGCTTGCACAGGACGTGTTCAGTTTTCGATGTAGGGATGAAAGAGGTAAATAGCTCGTATTCAGTTGACTGTGGTTGTTTTAAAATAACTTTTAACTTTCCTCACATAGTAAACTTCAAATAGTAAGATCTGACGAACGATGGCTTTTTAGTGTTTGTTTGTTTATTGTTCAACGCCACACTCACCAATAATCCAGCTATATGACGGCGGTCTGTAAATAATCGAGTCTGGAACAGACAATCCAGTGATTAATATCATGAGCATCGATCCACGCAATTGGGATAATATGACATGCATCAATCAAGTCAGCGAGCCTGACCACTCGATCCCGTTAGTCGCCCCCTCCGACAAGCATGGTCGCCTCTTATGGCAATCATGGGTTGCTGAAGACCTATTCTACCCGGGATCTTCACAGGTCTTTTATTGTTTGAGGTCTATAGTTATGATATATTACAGCGGGAAACACCAAGAATCATCATCGATTATCCAGAGTTTTATCTCCTTTCTATTAAATACCCTGGATCATTTTACAACCATAGCTTTGTTTAAAGCCCGAATGACATTATTTAGCAATGCTACCCGACTTGCTGTAATGCATGAGCGACTGAAGGGATCGGGTGGTCAGGCTCGCTAATTTAGATGACGCGTGTTATCGTAACCCAATTGCGAAGATCGATGCTCATGATGTCAATCACTGATTTTCTGGTCCAGACTCGATTATTTACAGACCGCCTTCATATAGCTGGAATATTGCTGAGTGCGGTGTTAAAAAAATAAGAAAAGACACACAATGCATGATATAAACTAATTATTACAAAGTTCTATGAATAGACACATTGTTGAATACTAGTTTATAAGTGCAATCATATATACATATACACGTGGATGTTCAGTGGCAAATAGATACCCTGTATATAATGTCTGGGATAAGAACCGACTTCACTGATAATCGAGTGGTGAGTGAGTTAGTTAAAATCACATCGGTAAAATTTCAGCCATATCGTGACTATCAAGGGTTAAACATAACAAATACATTTAGACTATATGAAAACCTGGCAACGAAGGACAGAAAAAATAACTAGCCTTTTTACAGAATGATAAGGATAATAATAAAAAGGATAGAACTTTACATAACAATACATGATACAAACGGGCTGTACATCGCCAGCAACTGAAAGTAGATCACCACACTAGGGACCATGGGGACTAACCGTGCTTTTGCTACCTTCATGGATCCTAACTGGACTTACATCATCCCTACAAGTATTGGCGATTATGGACACATTTAGCCAAGATATAAAACAACAGATATTCTATCATTAAAAAAGTGGCCGAAATAAATATACATGTACTTTGAAAAACGTGGTCTTACATAAATGATTGATAGCCGATCGGTGACGAAGTATGGCATCGTACCTTACAGAGTGAATCGTTGCTCATAATATAAACAGCTGACTTTTAACTCACTCACTCTGTTTCAGGTGAAGGTCGGGATAGAACTATTTACATCGCGCAGCCGCAGTTGGGAGACTCGGATATGTGGGACTTCCTGGTCATCAAATGTAAGTGATCTATGGGACCTAACCCTGTCCCAGACGACCCGTGAAGATTCCGGGGTAGAATAGGTCTTCAGCAACCCAGGCTTGCCGTAAAAGGCGACTATGCTTGTCGTAAAAGGCGACTAACGGGATCGAGTGGTCAGGCTCGCTGACTTGGTTGATGCATGTCATCGATCTCAATTGCGTGGATCGATGCTCATGATATCAATCACTGGATTGTCTGGTCCAGACTCGATTATTTACAGACCGCCGTCATATAGCTGGAATACTGCTGAGTGCGGCGTTAAACAACAAACCAACCAACCAACCATGGTTAGGTTTACAAAATACACTCAAAGAAATAAAGCGACAAAACACTTTCCATATCCAATACAAGTCTCTGCATAAAGCAGAGTCGATTGTACGATTCCGACTGTGTCATGAGCAAATGTTTATGAATCACTATCAAATAGTTATGATACAAGGTGTTCGCAAAAAGGTGAGCGTATCCTGTCCCACCGGTGGCACCCGTCACAAACACACGCAGAGACAAGTCAATTGTTCACCTGAAAAAAACACGGGAATTGCATCGAACATCATTTTTGTCACTGATGCGTCAAAGTTTGAAATGTCCTCAATAAGTTTACCATAAAACTTTTTGAAAGCTTTACTGGGGTCTTGAATGTTGTAACCTTGAAAGAGATGTCTGTTTCCAGGTCCATACATCCGCCTGTCTGAGGACACTCTTAACATGGACTGGTGCCGGTTGCGAGACCGGACTCTACTGGTCAACAAGCCATCCCACAAGCAGCCGTCAGACAGCACACTGAGGCTACGCTCCTACCCAGGGGCCGTTGGGGCAGGGGCTCTGAGGGAGGAGGGAAAGTGTTACTGGGAGGTCACCTGCAGAAGTCAAGTCAAACAGAGATGGTGGGGGTCCATATTTGAGACAGGCTTAGGTCGGAGAGTGGCATTGGACACGCCCTACATTGTGGGCTATAGCCCCTACGGCTGGACTCTACAGATAGTGTATTGTACGGTTCATAAGAACGTATGTGCACAGGCAAGGAATAACCGCCAGACTCTGTACCATCTACCTCTTGTTGCAGAGGAGTTGACCAGCGTCCTGGACGTCCACGTGGGCTTCCTGATGGACTTCGATACCAACCAGCTCCACATTATAGACGTCACACAAGCACTGTTGTTGTACACGTTCAGGGACGTAGACGACAGCAAGCAGCTGTGGCCTTTCTGTGGGATCTTCAACAACAACTGGTACAGCACGGAGCTCAAGATGATGTCGGGGGCGGAGGTGGTTCTGAAGCAAAGTCATCTGAAGCTGCTCCAGGATCTGTGTGAGATGATCTAACGATCTGGAACCGAAGACAAACGTTGAGATGCATTTTGAGATGGTCTAACGATCTGTCATTTAAGACAAGGATGAGATCGTCGTTGAGATGGTCAAACGATCTGTCTCAGAGGACGAAGGTTAAGATTGTCTGACGATATTTCATTGAGGACGAAGGTTTAGATTGTCTGACGATATTTCATTGAGGACGAAGGTTGAGATGGTCGTTGAGATGCTCAAACGATCTGTATCAGATCGTATCAGAGATGGTCTGACGATATTTCATTGAGGACGAAGGTTAAGATTGTCTGACGATATTTCAGTTAGGACGAAGGTTAAGATGATCTGACGATATTTCATTGAGGACGAAGGTTGAGATGGTCTGACGATATTTCATTGAAGGCGAAGGGTTAGATGGTCCAGCAAGCTGTGTGAGATGGCCTAATAATCTGTCATTGAGGACGAAGGTTAAGATGGTCTGACGATATTTCATTGAGGACGAAGGTTAAGATGGTCTAACGATATTTCATTGAGGACGAAGGTTGAAATGGTCGGGCGATATTTCATCGAAGACGAAGTTTGAGATGGTCTGACGATATTTCATTGAGGACGAAGGTTGAGATGGTCTGACGATATTTCATTGAAGACGAAGGTTGAGATGGTCTGACGATATTTCAGTTAGGACGAAGGTTAAGATGATCTGACGATATTTCATTGAGGACGAAGGGTTAGATGGTCTAACAATCTGTGTGAGATGGCCTAATAACATGTCATTGAGGACGAAGGTTGAGATGGTCTGACGATCTCTAATTAAAGACAAATGTTGAGATGATCTGCAGACCTCTAATTGAAGATAAATGTTGAGCTGGTCGACGATAATCTTCCAGCACGATATGGGGGTAGTCGTAGAGGCTGTGCTCAATGAACAATCCGACAGTAAAGACTCGATCGATGGAAGGAATAAAAACATTATTTTTTTTAAATGTCTCGATAAGTCCAAGAGTAGTGTCATCTTTATAATCGCATAGAAAATATAGCATGGTATTATAATAAAATGGACAATATTAAAATCAAGAAACTCCCTTAGTTGTCTGAGATGTAGTTGTCAGTTTGGTGACAAGTTGAGGATCATTGTCCCGTTGCCGTCGACATGCAGAACATGCCTGAAGGAATTGTGTGTTAATAACCAATATATTTACGACGTTATCAATGTTTGGTGAGGTGGTTAGGTGAAATAGGGTTTAACGTTGCGTTCAAGATTATTGCACTTATAAAGCGACGTGCATGAACGTGTGTGTGTTTGTGTGGCTGCTTCTACTAGTCCGGACTGATGCCGATTTATAGTGCTAGCTCACTGAGAATCCATGCCGCAGTTTAACATGAATACCCCACTCAGACACATTATACTCCGAGCCGACCAGTCCTTGTTTTAGCCCCTTAATGCCGAGCGCCAGTCAGGGTAACAACAAGTTCCACCTTTTAACGTCTTTTGGTATGACGCGGTCGGGGATCGAACCCCGGACCTTCCGCTCGCCAGGCGGACGCTCTACCACTAGACCACGGAGGCGGTCTATCAAGGTTTGGAGTCCAACGGATCGGATGCACCATCTGTCAGTCTTACTGTGCCCGTGACCTTATGGTGTTCTTATTTGAAAGCCCAGATAAGGCACATGGTATTGATATTTGCTAACCACGATAAGGACATGGCAAAAATGGCATACCATGCCGTTGCCTTTCATCTCTTAAAGCCTCGTACCTTCAAAATAGTATAGCCATCCGTCCTTGTAGTTTGTTTGTTTGCTTGCCTGGTATTTAGCGCCGCAATCATACCACCGATCCTGACCACACAAACCTGTTGGCCTGTTACAAGCGTGGGTTGCTGAAGATCAATTCTAACCCGATCTTTACAGGTATTCTTGTAGTATATATGTGATAAAAACAGGGACACTTGTTAATCCGCAAGGTGCTGTTCCCGGGGAATTCGGATTAAAAGGGTCCGACACTGCATCTAATATGTATATCAAGGCGTCATTTAGACTATCACAGCTGTATATCACGGCGCAATCTGCATCGTCTCAATTATATATCTCCGCGAAATCTGCAATATCTTTAATATCACAGCTATATACCACAGTGCAAGCTCTACTGTCGCAGCTCTATACATATATCTACCACAATATTCAATATCATAGGGGGGTTGGGTAGACTAATCATTAAATTGTTCGGTCGTCATGCAGAAGACCCGGGTTCGATTCCCCACATGGGAACAATGTATGAAGCCTATTTCTGGTATCCCCGCCGTGATATTGCTGGAATATTGCTAAAAGTGGCGCAATACCATATTCACTCACTCACTCACTCACACTCACTTACTCACTCACTCAATATTACAGCTATGTACATATATGTACCACTTTACAATCGTCAGTATCGCAGCTCTGTACATATATGTACAATCTACAAAATCCCAGCTATATACCACTCTAAACTCTTCAATATCACAATATATACACTCTACTATATACCACTCCGCAATCTTCAATATCACAGCTATATACCAGTCTACAATCGTCGATATCACAGGTATACACCACTCTACAATCCTCAATATCACAGTTGTACACCAGTCTACAATCGTCGATATCACAGCTATGTACCACTCTACAATCGTCGATATCACAGCTATATACCACTCTACAATCTTCAATATCACAGTTGTACACCAGTCTACAATCTTCAATATCACAGCTATATACCACTCTACAATCGTCGATATCACAGCTATATACCACTCTACAATCATCGATATCACAGTTATACACCAGTCTACAATCTTAAATATCACAGCTATATACAACTCTACAATCGTCGATATCACAGCTATATACCACTCTACAATCGTCGATATCACAGTTATACACCTGTCTACAATCTTAAATATCACAGTTATATACCACTCTACAATCGTCGATATCACAGTTATACACCACTCTACAATCGTCGATATCACAGTTATACACCATTCTACAATCTTCAATATCACAGCTATATACCACTCTACAATCTTAAATATCACAGTTATACACCACTCTACAATCTTCAATATCACAGCTATATACCACTCTACAATCGTCGATATCACAGCTATATACCACTCTACAATCTTAAATATCACAGCTATATACCACTCTACAATCGTCGATATCACAGTTATACACCACTCTACAATCGTCGATATCACAGCTATATACCACTCTACAATCTTAAATATCACAGCTATATACCACTCTACAATCGTCGATATCACAGCTATATACCACTCTACAATCTTAAATATCACAGCTATATACCACTCTACAATCGTCGATATCACAGTTATACACCACTCTACAATCGTCGATATCACAGTTATATACCATTCTACAATCTTAAATATCACAGCTATATACCACTCTACAATCTTAAATATCACAGCTATATACCACTCTACAATCGTCGATATCACAGTTATACACCACTCTACAATCGTCGATATCACAGCTATATACCACTCTACAATCGTCGATATCACAGTTATACAACTCTACAATCTTCAATATCACAGCTATATACCACTCTACAATCGTCGATATCACAGCTACCCGTGTTACCCGAAAATATAATCTTATGTTGTGTATTGAATAGCCAATATTATTTGTAATTATTCCACAAAAATAAACCTATACAAATTTGTTCAAAATATTTCTGCATAGCACACATAATTTATAAATATGTTATTTACGTTGAGCATATGCTATAAAAATAACATAACAATGTGCTATAAACTTTATGATCATCTTCCTTCCTGACATTGAAGGATTTTAAAAAGCCAATTTTATAAAGTAAAACGTATCGTTCTCTGCGAGAACTGCTCAGAATTTGTAAAAGTGTATTATTCAGTTCAGATAAGTGGAAATACGTGAAGGCCAATTAATTGTGGCTGTCAAATACGAAACAGAATTATAATAATGTCATAATAAAATAACAAATAACGATAGATCATACTTAGCTGTTTTTAAACAATCAGGTCAGACATGTGACATTTGTTAAGAGCCAAGTGTTAAGCACACTGACCCTGACAGTGACCAATGACAAGTGACCTTAAACTTTGACCAATTCATATATCAATATTCCCGACAGCGACGATATCAGTTATCGTCATACGGCTGAGATAGGGTATATAGTTATCGCACTGTTCGATTAGGTTATCTCACGTCCAAGTACATAACGGGCCCAATCTCACTCTATGATAAGGATGTCTCAAGTACATAATAAAAAATGTGTATTGTTGATTTATCATCTATAAGAGATGGCTTGGATGAGACGAGTATACTTAAGATTTCCTTTTTTAATAAAAAAAATAAAGTAATTTATTATCACGAAAGTCAAGATAATGTGCAACGGCAAGCTAACAATAAGTGACTACACCTTTCCCATGACATCCCCCTAATATGGTCACAGCTAGTCTGTTATACAGACCCTGCAAAAAATCTATCCAATAAAGCCTATACTAATTGGCAAGTCTAGATTACTGCAGTTTCTGCTAATGAAGAGAGTCCCTGAGATCCCTTTTATTCTATTTTATTAAGATAATTTAACAACTGTGTTTTTGCTGTAAAATATTTTCATTTCTGAAACTAGATGTTAGTTATGGTCAGAAAAGGTCATGCCAAATGGCTACAAACGAAATGGAGCCTGGCTTGGCGTGACCATAATTTCATATTGCGATTTTACAATGATAACTACTTATTACCATAACATAAGTATTTCATATACTTAATTATATATACTTCAGTGTGAAAGACTGAGATTTAAGAAGTTGGTAAAAGTGATATTTTCATTGCAGTAAACAAAAGACTAGATATTTCACCGCAGTGAACATAACACTTGGACGGCGCTATTGTCATATAAGAGTTACCTCCCCGCAAATTGTCTCCCTTTCTCGTAAATGTCTAGCCGCTACACAAACTGTTGACTTCCTCTTCACATTAGTTCCACATCCACAATAATAAAAAATGGTTATTTGTGGAGTTGATGTCACGTTATGCTGTTTGTTATTCTCTTTAAAATGTTTCGTTATAAACTATAAATTTCTCATTTAACTCGACAATCGAGACTGTTCGTTTCGCAAAGCGCCGTTTTTGTTACTTGACAGGCGTGTTTTCATTCGCTTCCAGCGGCGGTCTCGTATGTTTCAAGAATATCATTAGTTGAAGTTGATTTTGTATTTTATCAATCCAAATGTATGTAAAAGAATGTTAGTGACCTCAAATATTTTTTTATTACTTTTGCAAGATTTTGCAAACTCGGAACTACTTTTTAGGTGAGGTGAAATTGGGTGTACCGTCGCGTCCATACTACTTTTTAAGTCGCAGTAACAAGGAATGGTGATTTGCTCCTGCGTAGGGAGAATTTACGTTTCAAGGTTTAACATTTCTAATGAAAATATTTAATTTAAAACTATACAGTATGTGATAAATGGGATATTCCATGTGTCTCGCGAAATATTATTTGATTTAATACTTTTGAAAAAGAATAATTTTCATCACATAGCATACAATTGCTGATGTGTATCCTGGACATCATTTCTTTGAAAATCAATAAATTTGCATTTTTCGCCACACATTTTCATTATAAACATGGCGGAGGTTTTGTGGTTGCAAATGTATTTCTTACCTCATTGAATCAATTAATTGTTACACAAAATTACCCAGTCACAGATTACATTTTAGAAACTGTTGCAGGAATGAGTGATGGTTACATAGACACAATCAAATTTAACAACAGTTCTTTCAATTTTCAGTTATATGAAAACAAACTCTATACTCGTGTACTTTCTTTTGCCCCTCAGTTTAAAAGTAGATTCTTTATCAATATCACCTGTGCGTTTCCTTTTTCAGAAGTATATGTCAGAAAATTGTTTCGATCTCACAACTAATCTGCTGAATGGTGTAAACGGTTAATGTGTTTTAAATGAGTCGACACCCTCCCGTGAACTTGTCGTATGACCGTCCAATGATGGATTTGAGTAAGTGTTGGAATGCCTGATACTGCACTAATCTAAACTTGCCAAACATTATAGACTTGCGTGGGCTGTAATTGGGTCTATTCGTTTCAGGGTCTGTATGACAGACTAAAATGGACGTTATGTGAGAGGTATAAGAGGTTCTCACAATGCAAGGAACGGTATATGAACGCTGTTATACATATTGTAAATAGTTAGTAGTATCATGGGAATTATTATCACCTCCGAAGCCTCCATGTTTTTATTTCTTGTCCTTTCACGATTCTTACCAGCCATTTCTGGATTCTGCATCGTCACATTATTTCATAAATAATTGTTTAGTGCCGACCAAAAATAAGTCTCTATATTTTACTGTTCAATATCTGGGGGTCTAGATGACTCCCTGACAACATATCCCCACATGGGAACAATGTGTGAAGCCGATTTCTGGTGCCCCCTGCTCTGATATAGCCGGAATAAAACGGTGTAAAATTCACTCACTCCCTGAGACTATATATTGAAAATGTTGAATGCACGAAACGCCTACCTCCTATCCTTATCATAGATTAAAGAATAGATTCATCGTTGACTAAATGTACCACTGAAACGAAAACACTCTAAAATGAACTTCAACTTATCTTCAAAAATGCTAGTAAAGCCTTATCAAGTCTAGAATGAAAGCGGAAACCAAATTGTCATGTTCCGGATTTTACAGTGTTTGTTCTCAAGTACTTCCGGTCATGGAAAACATACCCGATTTGTGTGAGTGTACATTGTTTCAGACGGGATAGGCCTAGTGATTTTATTATTGTATAATTTTATTTGTTTTCTTGTGTCGTTTTGTTCTTATTGGGCGGGAAACGTTGAAGATTGGTGATGCTATCCTAATCTAATTCCCGCTTCGTCTCGGTAGCTTCCCGACTCAGAAAAAAAACATGAGGGCCTACCTCAGGTGATCCTGAGTGAATCATAGTCTATTTATTGCCAGGAATATTTTGTACTTGGCAGCTTGAAAGAGCAAGAAATATATGTATGTATATTAATTCCCTCAATTTGTTCAGCATTTTGTGTTGTCAAGGTGGAAAGATATCCGACTGTAGCCATGCTTCAAATGTTGCCGGACAGGGTTAGGGCAACCTAACCTTACGCTTACTCTAACTCTACATCTATACATGACTTTTTGATATTTTAGGCAGGGCTTGTGATTATTTAAAAATTCGACGCAGGGGGTACGTGCGAAAATTTTCCATCGTTTCAAGGATAGAGTAAGACCAGTGGAAGCAGTGAAATTTCCTACTCGATTGAGATGATAGTCAAAGTCAAAATTAGTTTATTTGTGTGTAGGCCTTAGGCCCATAGGCCTATACATGAAATGCAATGACAATGGTATAATGTGAAACATGTTACATGGATTTTACGATTTTATGGTTTTTTTATGCATAATATACATAATATTGCAGACGTTTTAATAAATCATCCTTAGTTGTACACAAGAAACTTTTAAATTTTTATGTAGTTGGAAATTTCCAATACAATTCTGGCAAATACACTTTAAATAGTTCAATATAATGTTTACAGATCAATACGAAATGATATTCATCTTTAACAGACATTGCTAAGAGGACACATATGTAAACATGATTCAATAGATTGCCATCTACATGATCTACCTTCGTTATGTCGTAAAGGTAAAACATTACATCTTAATTTCATAAAAACACTGCGTACATGTTTACTATTGTAAATACTCAAATATCTTCAGGTTCAAACAGTGTTTTATATTCTTTATACATCACATATTGGGTACTGTTGTTGAGTGTTGACATCCAGTTTTGACAAAATTCATCTAGAAGATGAATACCCCAATGAAAGCTATATTGTCCCTTAACTGTATAGCAAACTGTATTTGACTAGTTCAAGCATGGTACAATGAAAGAGAAATTATGATCAAAGAACATGTGTATTAGACACACAAAGCATGATTAGACATTAGATCAGCTGTTTGAACTTCTCAGACATCAAATAATGATGAAATGTTGAGGGACCAGTCATTTAATTTTTTATTTTAACAGGGTGAAAAGAGAATCAGGGCAGGGTCGCAGAAAAATATGATAGTCCCTAGGGGAGGGTCATAAAAAATAATGCACATACCGTTATTTTTGGAGGGTCATGAAAAAAATGAACACGGAAATATCAGCAATGTCATTTAACCCATCAAATATAGCGTACGTGAATATATGTAGGTAAAGTTAGTCTAGTGAAAATGATTGAGTTCAAATTTCACATCACACCAGCAGTGTCCCAGCCATGTACAAGATACAGTGGCTCTAGTGAAAATGATTTGGATTTAGTTGAATACAGACCAGTAGTTTGAAATATTTTTGTCCAGTAGCTTATAGACTTAGTTTATTACAGTATATATGTTGGACAAACCCAAAGTGATGCAGGTCTCAGAGGTTTACCACTTTGGTGAAACCCACAAGCAAGAGTATTGTGGTGACAAACCTAGAAATATAATCGGGGCAAACCGGGATTCGCACCCACAATCATCTGGCATGACCCATGAAATCTGACATCAATTAATATTTTGTAAAAATGACCCCACACAAAGACCCATGACTCCCTGTAGCATAGCACAGTTTTGAGAGACTAAGGCAAACCCAAGTGTTTATGTTTGTCTACTAGCCCAAGCCTGGCTCTTTGCATCTCCCCGAGGCAAGAGAGTTAACTGACTTTAAAAGTCCAGTTTCCACCCTTGCCGAAGTAGGCTGGAATTCCTGGGTGCCACCAGTGGTTTTTATGAGTTATGTCCCTTCTGAGCCTCTCCTACAAGCTCCTCACAGCGATAGCCCGTTTGCGGACCTCTCTATACTATCGCTGCCACCAGTCAAAACTCCCCACTGTGAATAGGTGGCCCCAACAATGCTTGGAGTTGAACTCGCAACTAAATGACTGTTATGTTTACAAACAAGTGACGACTGTCATGAAGCCGAATACACTTATCGCTGCTAAATTACTTTCTTCGTTTGTCAATTTGAATTTCTGTTTCATTAAAACATTCGTGTTGTTGATATAGTAAGAATGTAAGGGAGAAGTTGGTTGATTTTCCGTTAGTCTGCATTCTCGAACCACTCTGATTATTAAAACAAGAAAGTAAATTCATCTGGAAAATATGGTCAGTCGTAAACCTTTTCAAAATAAATATGATGGCATTCCCAAAGACAAACAAAAGTATAAACGTTACTACATTTGGGGTTAGAGGGCAAATTTCAAGATTCTTGTAATGGCCGCTCCCACACTGGTGGCAGCGATGTCACCGAGAGTATAACGAAGGTGTCACACGTTGGGAAGGAGCTTGTCTCTCCTATCGACCAATCTGATTCCATCACTTGCATTTGTTTCAAACAAAATGGTGGCGCCCAGTCAAGACGATCTGATCGATAATCAAGATCTATACTGTGATAAAACAAGTATTACATCACGAAGTGCATCAAATCACGCGAGCACCTTGATTAAAAAAATGAAAAAGTTTGGAAAATATCTGTAGACAACGAGTTGGCGGTGCACATGTTTTGCAAATCCTGCAATCCACCGAAATCTGCATGACAGTTTTACTGCTCTCGGAGAGACAATAATTAGTTGAGCTTACCTGACCAAAAGGAATGTTACTTGTCTCAGGCTTGACTGGTGGCTGAAGTCGCTGATTGTATCTGTGGTGTTTGTTGCTGGTTATATTCCAAGATGACTAGCTGAGACTACCATGTTAGAATGTTACTTGACTCAGGCTTGACTGGTGGCTGAAGTCACTGATTGTATTTGTGGTGTTTGTTGCAGGTCATATTCCAAGATGACTAGCTGACACTACCATGTTAGAATGTTACTTGACTCAGACTTGACTGGTGGCTGGAGTCCCTGATTGTATTTGTGGTGTTTGTTGCAGGTTATATTCCAAGATGACTAGCTGACACTACCATGTACACGGGCACACAGCTGTGGGCTAACTTGGTCACGTGATGATGCAGTCAGTACGGGAGAGGGTGGCACAGATCTACTTTACCCATGGACTGTTCTGTGCCAGTCATCCCTACTCAATCATCGTCTCTGTCATCTGTGTCATCATTTTTACATGGTAAGGCCACAGCAGTACATTATTTCATCATTCTCCCAAAGTAAGGAGGAGGAGGAGGGCTGCCGTCATCTGCGTCACTGACTGATTGTTGTAATTGTACGACACAACAAACACTTGGAACCCATTTTAACACACACACACACACACAAACACACACACACACACACACACACACACACACACACACACACACACACACACACACACACACACACACACACACACACACACACACACACACACACACACACACACACACACACACACACACACACACACACACACACACACGTGATTTTGAACATTCGTTAGTCCAGCCAATATGTAACTCCGAAATTCCAGCCTAGTTCGGCAAGGATGGAAACTTGACTTTTATAGTCAGTTGACGCCCTTGCCTCAGTGAAGCCCTTGCCTCAGTGAAGTTGTGAAGCTACTCAAGATTTACCAGTCATCATGGCAACATTTGAATGGTTATTCCCATGTCTTAGGAGACTGAAACACACATTAGAATTAGCATGACCCAGTAAGTTCTCAACAACATCATGCTGAAGTCTTTCATAGACATTTAGAAGAACATGAATAACACTTTCTATGGATAGCAACTTCTTTTATTCTTTGTCATGCCGTTTCAGAGCTACTTCTAGCTCCTTCATCAGGTGAATGCTTTCTAGCCTTTCTGGCATTCCCCGGACGAAGGAGCTAGAAGTAGCTCTGAAACGGCATGACAAAGAATAAAAGAAGTTGCTATCCATAAAAAGTGTCATGTATTCTACATCCTGCTTTTGCACATTCCCAAAGAGGTAACTGATGCCATATGACTACAGACATTTCCAAGACATTTGCACATGCAAACCAGAGACGTTGTACCTTTTCTTGTGGCTTTGTACTGGAACTGTCCTACCTAACCCACACTGCAATGAGTGAGTGAGTGAGTTGGGTTTAATGTTGCTTTTAACAGTATTCCAGTTATATAGCGGCGTTTCAGCTTAATGTCGAAGGAAAGCCAAAGTGATGCAGGTCTCAGACGTTTACCACTTCGGTGAAACCCACGAGCTCGGGTATGATGCCGACAAACATAGAAACATAATCGGGGCAAGCCGGGATTCGAACCCACAGCACACTGCAATGAAGCAAAGCATGTGAATATGGAAGAAACTGTTTTGATAGATTTCAGCTTTTAAACCACTTAACAGGTGTCACTAATTGTTTGACTTTCAAAGGAGAGATGTATTTATAATAAACAGCCTGAACCCAGCATTGTCGTTTGTGTTTCATTTTGAATCTCTAAACTATTGTTTCAAGAACGCAATCCATACATATTAAGAATCTGCCTAAATTAGACGATATTGTCTTGTAAAACACACCACACCACACCACACCACCTAGACCCAAATCACATACCACACCACACCACACCACACCACACCACACCACACCACCTAGACTCAAATCACACACCACACCACCTAGACCCAAATCACACACACCACACCACACCACACCACACCACACCACACCACCTAGACCCAAATCACACACCACACCACACCACACCACACCACACCACACCACACCACACCACACCACACCACCTAGACTCAAATCACACACCACACCACACCACACCACACCACACCACCTAGACCCAAATCACACACCACACCACACCACACCACACCACACCACCTAGACTCAAATCACACACCACACCACATAGACCCAAAGCACACACCACACCACACCACACCACACCACATAGACCCAAATCACACACCACACCACACACCGGTTGTTGGCCTTGCACTCACCATCATGGACAAAGGACAAAATACTACTACTGCCCCTCTGTACATGCTGTAAGAAAAAAACAGTAAAAAAAACGTCGGTCACAAATATTATTTTTTTTGCGTTCTCAACAAGGCAAGGTGTTCTGACGCCACTGATTTATTTAAAGCGCTATTGATCGCTGAAAAGAGTAGTATGTATTATGGAAATGACATTTGTGCTTTTGTCCTCAGTTATCCCTTATCCAACCTACCTCTGCCTGGCAACACCCCCCTGGAACATGGCATGGCCCTCAGTGAGTTCAAGAAACACCCCGCCCTGGGCGTGTCTCCCATTGCAGTGAAGAAAGCACCCCGAACACCAGGGGAAGACATGAAACTCCCTAGATGGGTAGGTCACAGTGTCGCAAACAGTCCTCAGGAAGCATTCGGAAAAACAGCATATCTAATTTCTGTTTGTCGTAAATGAATGTAACTGTCAGTTCTGAATGCCATGTTGTGGCTATTTTACAGCCTGTCATTTCTAAGCACCATGTCGTGAACAAGCAACAGGATGTACAGTGCAAGCGAACATTTGTGAATATTACAGTTTGTGTCGTTCGCAATTCCGAGATTTCTGAGTCTGCGACAGAAGTCGTATAAACACATATAAATGTGACTCTGCGACTGACAGCTTGTTGTGTTCATAAAATTAGAATGAAATAGGAGAGAGTGATCATTGCTGAATCACTAAAACAAATAAACATAAATTACGACTTACGTTTCTTTGTACAGATTGTTGGGGATCCAGTAGGAGTTGTCCAGCAAGTGGTTGTCAAGACAACAGTGTCGCCGTGGCAACCACAAAATCATATACCAACAGATGCATTCCGTCCAACCCTAGCTAAAGTGTTTGAAGTCCTAGAGCATGTTGAGCATGCTAGAGTTGTCAATGGGTACGGTACACACATAGTATATGCTGGTCATTGGCTAGGAAGTAATAACCTTGTTTTTGGCACTGCCATCAGCACGACCTTTGAAGATCCGGGGTAGAATAGATCCTCAGCAACCAATGCTTGCTGTAAAAGGCGACTATGCTTGTTGTAAGAGGCGAATAACAGGATCGGGTGGTCAGGCTCACTGACTTGGTTGATGCGTGTCATCGATTCCAATTGCATGGATCAATGCGCATGATATCAAAACACTGTATTGTCTGATCCAGACTCAAATATTTACAGACTGCCGTCATATAGCTGGAATATTGCTGAGTGCGGCGTTAAACAGCAAACCCAACCCTAAACACTGATAGACTCCTGACATTCGTAAGATTGAAGTCACTTTGTGGAATGGGTCAAGAGCATGGTACCTGGATAGCCCATCCAAGCCTGGCTGAGGCTGAATTACTTGAAAAACTTGGAGGTTGAACATTTGCCATTTGGTCTGTCCGCAGTGGTGTGGAGGTGTCTCTGTCCAATGTGTGTCTGCGTGTGGCCGAATCGGTCAAGTGGATCAAGTTCCGCCATGTCCTGCCGCAGTATGACTGCCTAGTTGTCTCCCCTGCCAACTTGTGGATGAAAGACAAACACAGGTAACTTCAAAGTACCAGTATATCCTTGTAGAAGTTCTGGTTTTATTCTTGAATGTGTTTTGATTTAATCATTATGTAAGTGCTGCTAAAATCCTTGAATTAAGTGCTGGTTAAATCCTTGTATTAGCATGACAAGTGCTGGTTAAATACTTGAATTAAGTACTTGTTCAATTCTTGTATATGTGAGCATGATAAGTGATGGTTAACTGCTTGAATTAAGTACTGGTGAAATCCTTGAATAAGTTCTGGTTTAATCCTTGAAAAAGTTCTGGTTTAAACATTATGCAAGTGCTGCTTAAATCCTTGAATAAGGTGCTGCTTAAATTCTTGAATTAAGTGCTTCTAAGATCCTTGTTTTAGCATAAAAAGTGTTAAGTTGAATTAAGTGCTGGTTGAATCCTTGTATTAGCATGGTAAGTGCTGCTTAAATCCTTGAATTAAGTGCTGCTTGAATTAAGTGTTGCTTAAATTATTGAAATAAGTGCAGGTTGAATCCTTGTATTTGCATGATAAGTGCTGCTTAAATCCTTGAATTAAGTGCTGGTTAACTCCTTGAATTAAGTGTTGCTTAAATTCTTGAATTAAGTGTTGCTTAAATTCTTGAAATAAGTGCTGGTTGAATCCCTGTATTAGCATGAAAAGTGTTTGTTAAATGTTTAATTAAGGGCTGGTTAAATCCTTGTATTAGCATGATAAGTGCTTGTTAAATGCTTCAATTAAGTGCTCATTAAATCCTTGAATAAGTTCTAATTTAATCCTTGAATAAGTTCTGGCTTAATCATTATGTAAGTGCTGTTTAAATCCTTGTATAAGCCGACAAGTGCTGGTTAAATGCTTGAATTAGGTGCTGGTTAAATCTTTGAATAATAGTTTATCTTTTAATATACACTTACAACTGTCTTAGCTGCGAAATCTGCTTGTGAGACAGAGGTCTGATGTGTACGTATCATTACTTCAACCATGACAACTTCTTCTGTTCCAGGTATCATAAAGATGCTGAAATAATTAAAACAGTTTATCAAAAATTCGGACAAACTTTGGAATCATCTCCAACACTGAAAGGTAACCATGGTAACTGACATAAGACTAAACACGAGACACTGACACTGTCACTAGACTTGATTTTGTCTGTAAGCCTTTCAAAGATATATTTGCATTGTTAAAAATTACGTATTTGTTATTGGATTAGATACTTGTGAGAGAAAATTCATTTATTTAAAAAAAAAAATTCAAGAGAAATAACTTTCTGCATTGCCCATCTCTCAGTGGATGGTTATTTACATGCTGCCATTAGGCTCAGAAAATAATAGTCTTGGTTCTCAGGCACCGCCTGCATCATCATGAAGTCTGCCGCACTTTTCGTTTTTATTTCCATTTTCAAAAAATAATCCTTATACTTAAAAACAATGCGATCCAATATAGCACACAGTTACTTCCCTTTACATGCGCACTGCTTTACTGCACGTCTCATGTTATGGTCATGGCGGCAATAGGAGTTTGTGTGCTTGTTTATGTAGAGAGGCCCTTTCCCAGGTTGATGGTACACTGTTTATTTGGTTACATACTATTTTGAATAAGCAAAATAACAAAAATGAAACACCACCCGCCCGCTCTATATTTTCAAAAGTCATTGCCTGAGAACCAATTCTTTTATTTTTTCAAGCCTTATATTGTAGTAATATTGCTGACTATAGCATAAAGCAATACAATTTTATTGAAATCCGAACACTCTCCGTCATCAGAAACTGACAACAGATTGTGTTGACAAAGTAACAATGTTGTAGCGCCGAATCGTCTAAGAAAACCAACATCTGATTACCGGTAGCAGTCAAACTTGTGCAACTCTCATTTTGGTTGATTGTTCAAAGTTCATTGAGAATATTGCCAGTTTAAGGGCGGATCCAGCGTTTTCTAAAGGGAGGGGTCCAAAAAATCAAAATCCTCTCTCAGTCAATTTTACTGCTGTCAATTTTACTGCCTTCAACATACAACATTTGGTTTTCAAAAGGGGGGTGTCCAGATTCCCAGGAATACCACCCCACCCACCACCCACCACCTCCCCTCTCGACCCACCTGTGCAGTTTACTTTCACTTTCAGTATACAGATATTAGATATGCTGTTCTGAATGCTTGGCTTTTTGAACAGATAAATTAGAAATCTCTCTCTGACTAGCTGATTTGAAAGATCAACTGACATGATCTCACTTGGAGGATGTGTCCGATCTTGACAAAGATATCAAGTTGAGTAACAGACCTGATTCTAATTAGATTATGACACGTATGACTCATTGCCAACATAAGCAAGGGATGGTTGTTTCAGATGTGTTGTTCGGAGTGCCGTGGAAGGAGACGGGCGTGTCCCGGTACTTCATCCGCAATCGGCAGAGAGTTATAACCTTTGCCATATCCATCATCATGAGGAACTACAGTGCAAGGTAGGCAGCCCAGTGGGAGCTGACGCTTAGTTTACCATGGTGATGTTTTGATGGAACTAGGTGAGATAACATCTATTATACTTAAAATACAACAGGTACTGGTTGTGTGGTTAGAATAAGGGTACCGCGCAGTAAAAAACGGTTATTTACAAAATATTAAGTCCATTTAATGAAGAGACTCATGAAAATGATGATGATGATGATGATGATGATGATGATGATGATGGCTACAGTTGGGTAGTACCATAGTACATTATCAATGTTGTCATTGCATACAGCATGTACAGTGTGTTCGTGAATTTTAAATCTTACATGAATCATTGGTCTTAGTTGTAGGCTAACATATGGTCAATTTTACTTACAGACCAATCTGTAAGTAAGCTTTTAAAGTGCCCTCTACCAAGACCAAAAATATGACATTGTATGTCCGTATTTTTTGTGTATATTACAGAAGGTTTTGGGAGAGAAGTGTTGAAGGTGTATATAATTGTTTAGTGACTATTAAATGATGTTGAAATTTCTTTGACATCTGAACTTAATTTGTTCACAACTGCACGAAAAATGGATGTAACTTGGTTTTTAATGATTATGGTTTTAATATGTACCCACTTTGTCAGTTATTATGGCAAATATGGTAATTACGGTGAATAAGAGTGACTGTTTGTATTCTCTCCAATTTTTTTGCATGAGTAAATTATATAAGCTTCATCAATGAATTCTACTAGCATGTAGTGGTACTTATCTGCCCTTAGTTTTGTGGATTCCCTGAAGAGGGAGCTGGAGCATCACTACCCAGAAACATCCCTCCATGGTAACGTCAGTGACAGCGACCGGGTCGTCCACCTCCACTACCGAGACATCAACTACTTCGTGGAGTACACCCCTCTCCTCGTCACCTACTTTGTGATCCTCATGTACCTCTACTTCTCTGTCCGTGAGTAGCACTGGGGGGTTCGGGGGTGGGGGGGGAGGGCGCTGTGTCCAGGGTGGCCAACCCATGTAAAAGGTGACTATGCTTGCCGTAAGAGGCGACTAACAGGGTTGGGTGGTCAGACTTGCTGACTTGGTTGATGCATGTCATCATATCGCAATTGCATAGTTCAAGGCCCATGATGTCAATTCACTGGATTGTTTGGTCCAGATTTGATTATTTACAGGTCGTCGTTATGCAGATGTAATATTACTGAGAGCGTGAGAGGTGTTAAACAACAGAATTTTTACTATCAAGGACATCAAAACATGGTAGTAGAGTTGTCAGAAACAAACAATATTATTTCACCAACTTCTGTGTGTCAATCAAAGACTTTATTTATATTTATGAATACTTGTGTAACTCTGTCTAACTTTGTGTATTTCTTCAGGGAAGATCGAGATGGTGAAGTCAAAGATCGGCCTGGCCATCAGCGCTTTGTTCACGGTTGTAGCATCACTGCTTGTGTCCGTCAGTGTGTGCTCTGTCTTTGGTCTGGCACCAACTCTAAATGGCGGGTAGGACTAGCTTTGGGACATGTAGTTTTATCATGTTTATTGTATGTTTATTTGAGGTAGTCAGGACAGGCTGGAATAGGTCCACAGTACACCCATCTCCTATGCACAGTGTGGGACCAAAAACATCATTGCCAAAAGTCATTTTATTTCTTTTTTTCATCTTAGTTTTTTATGTTTCTTGGTTTTGTAAGTCAATCAATAAATATTAAGAGGCATTACTGGAGGTTTGATGAGTAAATAGTGTGAAAGTAATGTTTCATGGTGTGGTGTGTTTCCTTCAGTGAGATCTTCCCCTACCTGGTGGTGCTGATCGGTGTGGAGAACGTCCTCATCATCACCAAGTCTGTTGTGTCGACACCCGTCCATCTTGATGTTAAGATCAGAGTGGCTAAAGGTAACTAATATACTATTTTCCATTTGTCTTTTTAAATTGAAGTCTCCCTCCATGGTGCAGAGGGGCGGTCGGGAAGCCTTGTGGTTAAAAGCGTTCGATCGTCGCGCCGAAGTCCCGGGTTCGATTCCCGACATGGGTACAATGTGTGAAGCCAATTTCTGGTGTCCCCCCCCACCGTGATATTGCTGGAATATTGCTAAAAGCGTAGTAAAATCATACTCACTCACTCACTCCATGGCCCAGTACAAAGAGTATCGGATGGTCCGTGGTTCGATCACTGGCCACGTCATACCCAAAGACATTAAAAGATGGTACTTGTTGTTACCCTGCCTGACTGCATTAAGGGGATAAAATAAAGATTAGTCAGGTTAGAATCAGTATACAGACCGCCGTCATATAGCTGGACTATTACTGATTGCGGCGTTAAATAACAAACAAACAAAGGAACAAAACTTGCCTATGTTTTAGAACAGGGCCCCGTTCCACCAGCTGATCTTAGCGCTTCGATCATCGTAAGCCTATGTTAAAGTATGGGAGTTACGATCATCTTAGTGCTAATATTGCTTTGTGGAATGGGGCCCAGTACAGGTACTTCTCACTGCTATTGTAGTTGTTGTACCAATATTGCAGTTGTGTCACTAAAGTGTTTTAACTACAGTAGAACACGGATATAACAAACATGGATAAATGGAACAAACGGATACAACGAACATGTTACAAAATCCCCATTTTTATCTCCTATATAATATCATTTAAAATTACGTACATAACGAACTCTCTACAGCAAACTAACGTATAAAGCGAACTGATATCTGATCCCCGACAAGCCCATCTACCACTAATTAATGACGTGTATAGCGAGCTGAGAAATCTCACTCAGTGTCAAGTGTCACAGACAACTGGCTATATGCAATCAACACAATCAAATGTGACGATGCAACCTTGTTAAACTTGCCTTTTGTTAATCTTACATGTAACTGGACTAATCTTGTCTGTAAGACAAATTACGTGTATTGTTTTGTTACATGTTTTTTTTTTCCAACATGGTGGATGTTTCCGAGCAAAAATGTATGTAACGAACAACGTTTAGAACAAACTGATTTCTCTGGTCTCTTGTTGTTCGTTATATCCATTATATTTTTTAACTTATCCTGCATTACTCCGTATTGCATTTACTGCTATGTTTGACAGAGAGACGAACTGTGTGAGATCCAGCTGCTGAAGAAAGTTGTCCCAACCAGCCCAGGAGGCAGCGCCCTCTCACAGTCGGCACGTGACCCGGAAGTCATGACGTCACACCAAAAGACATAACTGCTTTGTCACCTCCACGGACGGACGTACTTTGTATCCCTTGTGGAAATTAAAGCTTATTATTTGTTTTTTATATTTTGCGTGTTTCTACATTCATTATATGCTGCTACATTGTTACCTGTTATGGGCCGTGACCTTAGGGTCTTCCCATTCGTAAATTGTAACGTTTATCGCTCGTCTGTGGCTCACGTCACAGTAATTTACGGGCGCAATGTTGTTCCCGCCATTTTGTTTTCTTTCCCGCCATTTTGGCCATTCACCACGAGGCCACGTAATGTCGTGTTCTGCGTTTTGAATTCTCTCTTTGGCTTGGGTAATACATTACATTTATGTATGTTGTTTGGTGTGCTTAAAGCCTTGCCTTTTCGCTACCGCTCAGCGTAATTGTTTCTTCTCATAAACTTCAATATAATACGAAGTTTATGAGTTACATTATGTCTCCCGTACTCTGTGGTTTTGCCACATGGTTACGTGTTTGCTTAAGGCTTTGCCTTTTCGCTCCCTTTTAGCGTACTTGTTTATCTCATAAACTTTAATAAAATATACTGTTTTTGAGTTACTTTATGCTTCCCATACTTTGTGATTGGCCACACATTATGCTTCCCGCACTTTGTGGCTTTGCCACATAGTTATGTTTTGCTTAAATTCCAGATTTTCTGCCTCGCTGCACTTGTTTCCGCGGGAACAAATCTGGTCGGGGCCGCCCCTTTCTGCCGTGATTGTACGACGCCCTGTACTTTCACAAGGCAGTGCCGATGTTGCAGTCATTCGTCGCTGTGATCCTTCAGCTCATGCGAGTATCCAGGACACACCTCGCTCAACGTGCTCGTCGACCCCCACCTACGTTGACGGCAGCAGCGCTCAGCGGAGCTTCACGGCGGCTCCCAACGTAGAGTCTGCCTCCCATGGCACGACATACGACCGTTCACGGTCTCCTACTCCACCGGCGGCTCCAGCGCTCCCAACGTAGAGTCTGCCTCCCCTGGCACGACATACGACCGTTCACGGTCTCCAACACCGTCAACGCTGATGTCTCCGGCGCCCCCGGCGCCTCCGATGACTCGGCGCCTCTGATGATGACTCGGCGCCTCAGGCGCCTCCGGCGCCTCTGATGACGCGGCGCCTCCGGCCCTTTGATGACTCGGCGCCTCCGATGTCTCGGCGCTCCCGGCGCCTCTGATGACGTGGCGCCTCTGATGACACGGCGCTTCCGGCGCTCCCGGCGCCTCTGATGACGCGGCGCCTCCGGCGCCTCTGATGACACGGCGCTCCCGGCGCTCCCGGCGCCTCTGATGACGCGGCGCCTCTGATGACACGGCGCTCCCGGCGCCTCTGATGACGCGGCGCCTCCGATGTCTCGGCGCTCCCGGCGCTCCCGGCGCCTCTGATGACGCGGCGCCTCTGATGACTCGGCGCCGCTGATGTCTCGGCGCTCAACAAGCTTCATGACTTGTTCATGACAAGCTGATGACTCTGCGCCGCTTATGTCTCGGCGCCTCCGATGTCTCGGCGCTCCCGGCGCCTCTGATGATGCGGCGCCTCCGGCGCCGCTGATGTCTCGGCGCTCAACAAGCTTCATGACTTGTTCATGACAAGCTGATGACTCGGCGCCGCTTATGTCTCGGCGCCTCCGGCGCCTCTGATGTCTCCGCGCTCCGGCGCCTCCGCATCCTCTGATGTCTTCGGCGCTCAACAAGCTTCAGATCAACAAGCTTTATCAAGCTCAGATCAACGAGCCGACCATCCGATCTTCTACTGCGGCTTAAGGGGCACCATCGGCAATCGCCTCCCCGGCGCCACTGCCCTCTTCTCTTGCTGCCGTCTCATAACTCGTCACACGGAGAAGCATGGTGAAACAACTGTCGCCGCTCCTTTCGCTACTCTCCCGTCGGTCTTCGGGATCGTGACTATCGTTCTACTTCCTGGGTGGAATCATTTCAACCAATAGACAGTTGGTCTGATTCAACTTGCCCACTGAGACGTTATCCATAATCCCGTCGTTTAAAGCGCTATGATTCCGGAGAGATGACCTGCGGGTTTCCATCGAAACAGAGCGTCATGTGAACAGCGTCTGTATCAGATTCGACGACGACATCCACTTACAAAGAGTTTACTTCGTCGACATCGCAGACATCAACGCTGTTCTACCCTACCCTAGCGCCAGCGTTCCTGAGAGAGACTCTTCCTCGGCGCTCCCCGGGTTTTCCACGACGCCCATGGGGTTCCGTGTTTTATCGCAAAACTCGGGTACACCACTTGATCGTCTCTCACACAGTTCATTGAGGATTGTCTGTGTGTGGAGTTTACACCTCAGTTCCGACTCCAAGGTGGTTTTCTCGGCTACTGCGCAGAGTGATTTACATGTCACGTGTCAAGTACTCGGACTGTCAACAACTCCGACCGGATTTAGGTCAACTTACCATGGCAAGGGGTGCCATGTATTTCTACAGATTGGTTTCCATGTCTACCTGTACGCTTGGTGATACCACTCAACCAGGCGCCTGTCGCAGTCCATCCATGCACGGATGTTGGAAACAATAGACCTCCTCTACCAACACGGCTGTCACGAGGAACCTTGTTTCATCAACCCTTCGCTATAAGAACGATAGCGCCTAGAGGCGTTCAAGGGATGGAAAAGATCGCCTTCCTTCGTCCGGTTTGATCTTTTCGACTACGACACCTTCCTATCTTCCGCCTTGACTACCGGACACGTGTCGATTTGATACTTAAAGTCCCTCGGCCGTCCCACTGACCCCTGTTGCATACCTGCCTCGTATCGTGTTGTCGTCCTCCATCGTCACCTCGATATAAGAACAGGAGTACTTATACGCCGCTTCAGGGATGAAAACGATCTCATTACTTCGTGCAATGGCCATATTGCCTCGACTTCCTACTACCCGGTTACGTCGATGCCCCGGCGGTCGATTGTGAAGCTGGTTTACTTCGTCTACTTGAGGTTGGCTCGCAGGCGATCACACCTTTTTCCGAATCGTACCGACGGTACGCAATCGCAGACCCCTGTTGCTGACGACCTCCCCTGCCACCTTGTCAGTGGCTAGTGGCCCACGCCAGCCCACATTGTGACCACCTGTGATCCAGAGATCAACACCATTGGCACAGCAACAGCCTCGAGATAAATGCTTATCCAGGACGGCACTTGCTGATAGTGCATTCTCGGTCACGCCCTGTTGATCGTGTCCACTGACGACGTCACCGTAGTGTGGTGTTTGCGGACCCAGAGTTCTCGCCCCTCTCCCGGCGCCACAAACTCGACCGGCGCCCCCGAGAATCACCATCTTCGGCGTTCCAGGCGCCTCAAGCTCTCCGACGCCTCACGCTCTCCGGCGCCTCGGGCCAGACTATGTGAAACGGTCGACACCCCAACCCTAGATCTGTTTGCCTCATATCTGAATGTGGCCAGCTGTCGTCTTCCATTCCACCTGTGCCGGATACGACCGCTGTGGCAGTCGAAGCCTTCCATCGTTCCTGAGAAGGATTACGCGCGTACGCTTTTCCGACTCCGGTTCTCCCTCCCACGGTTCTTCAGAGATCCAGGCCACTCGACACCTGCCATTGACTTTGGTCTCGCCTTATTGGTCAGCCAGAAGTTGGGTTATCGACCTCCGAAACATAGCCAGAGACAACCCCTGGAACTTCCGGTGTGGTCCAACCTTCTGCTCCATCCACACGGTCTGTTGCCACACCCTCATACCCGCATGTTATCGTCTGCACGCCTGACACACATGCAGAAAGCCAAGGGCTATTCGGCTAGAGCGACCAAGGCTATTGCTTCAGCCCACCGTCCATCTACAGGGGGACTGTATGCTGATAAATGATGCTTGTTCCAGGCATTTTGTTCTGACAAACACCAGGATCCGATGACAGCGTCACCGCAGATCCTGGATCAGTTCCTTCTGTACTTGTGTAGCACCCATCGGTTGAAGGGCTTACCACCCCCACATACCTGGTCGCCATCTACTCCTTTCTGGCCATCCCGGACGATCGGAGAAAGACGAAAATTCCCGACCCACGGGCCTGGCTGCGCTCGTTCAGTCTTGAAGACCTGAAGACCAAGTTCGGACCGCCTGCGTTGGATCTGAATGTGGTCTTCAATGCCCTTCGAACCACTCCCCTCGTCTTCCTTCTTCGACCTTAAGTAGAAGACGGGTGTTTCTACTGGTTTTGACTACTGCCGCTCGAGTGTCAAGTACTCGGACTGTCAACAACTCCGACCGGATTTAGGTCAACTTACCATGGCAAGGGGTGCCATGTATTTCTACAGATTGGTTTCCATGTCTACCTGTACGCTTGGTGATACCACTCAACCAGGCGCCTGTCGCAGTCCATCCATGCACGGATGTTGGAAACAATAGACCTCCTCTACCAACACGGCTGTCACGAGGAACCTTGTTTCATCAACCCTTCGCTATAAGAACGATAGCGCCTAGAGGCGTTCAAGGGATGGAAAAGATCGCCTTCCTTCGTCCGGTTTGATCTTTTCGACTACGACACCTTCCTATCTTCCGCCTTGACTACCGGACACGTGTCGATTTGATACTTAAAGTCCCTCGGCCGTCCCACTGACCCCTGTTGCATACCTGCCTCGTATCGTGTTGTCGTCCTCCATCGTCACCTCGATATAAGAACAGGAGTACTTATACGCCGCTTCAGGGATGAAAACGATCTCATTACTTCGTGCAATGGCCATATTGCCTCGACTTCCTACTACCCGGTTACGTCGATGCCCCGGCGGTCGATTGTGAAGCTGGTTTACTTCGTCTACTTGAGGTTGGCTCGCAGGCGATCACACCTTTTTCCGAATCGTACCGACGGTACGCAATCGCAGACCCCTGTTGCTGACGACCTCCCCTGCCACCTTGTCAGTGGCTAGTGGCCCACGCCAGCCCACATTGTGACCACCTGTGATCCAGAGATCAACACCATTGGCACAGCAACAGCCTCGAGATAAATGCTTATCCAGGACGGCACTTGCTGATAGTGCATTCTCGGTCACGCCCTGTTGATCGTGTCCACTGACGACGTCACCGTAGTGTGGTGTTTGCGGACCCAGAGTTCTCGCCCCTCTCCCGGCGCCACAAACTCGACCGGCGCCCCCGAGAATCACCATCTTCGGCGTTCCAGGCGCCTCAAGCTCTCCGACGCCTCACGCTCTCCGGCGCCTCGGGCCAGACTATGTGAAACGGTCGACACCCCAACCCTAGATCTGTTTGCCTCATATCTGAATGTGGCCAGCTGTCGTCTTCCATTCCACCTGTGCCGGATACGACCGCTGTGGCAGTCGAAGCCTTCCATCGTTCCTGAGAAGGATTACGCGCGTACGCTTTTCCGACTCCGGTTCTCCCTCCCACGGTTCTTCAGAGATCCAGGCCACTCGACACCTGCCATTGACTTTGGTCTCGCCTTATTGGTCAGCCAGAAGTTGGGTTATCGACCTCCGAAACATAGCCAGAGACAACCCCTGGAACTTCCGGTGTGGTCCAACCTTCTGCTCCATCCACACGGTCTGTTGCCACACCCTCATACCCGCATGTTATCGTCTGCACGCCTGACACACATGCAGAAAGCCAAGGGCTATTCGGCTAGAGCGACCAAGGCTATTGCTTCAGCCCACCGTCCATCTACAGGGGGACTGTATGCTGATAAATGATGCTTGTTCCAGGCATTTTGTTCTGACAAACACCAGGATCCGATGACAGCGTCACCGCAGATCCTGGATCAGTTCCTTCTGTACTTGTGTAGCACCCATCGGTTGAAGGGCTTACCACCCCCACATACCTGGTCGCCATCTACTCCTTTCTGGCCATCCCGGACGATCGGAGAAAGACGAAAATTCCCGACCCACGGGCCTGGCTGCGCTCGTTCAGTCTTGAAGACCTGAAGACCAAGTTCGGACCGCCTGCGTTGGATCTGAATGTGGTCTTCAATGCCCTTCGAACCACTCCCCTCGTCTTCCTTCTTCGACCTTAAGTAGAAGACGGGTGTTTCTACTGGTTTTGACTACTGCCGCTCGAGTCCATGTACAGCACGCCCTCGACGTCTCCCATGCCTGGTTCGAATGCGGTACCCAGGGCGCCGCGTTCATCCTGGACCGTACTGGGACGTCAGCGTAAAGACTCAACTCCCAGGACAGCCTGATAGATCATTCCTTGTCCCCTCCCCCCTCGTCCAGTGTGGGTGCCGAGGATGAGGATGAGCGTCATTATGCCCAGTAAGGGCACTGAAGGTTATTCTACGATCTAAAGACTGCCGCAAGTCTAGGAAACACCTTTTTCTGCCGGTCTCCCCTTCGTCGCTGTCGTTGGTCAGCCGGAATACTTTTCCCTGTGGCTCCGGGCGGTCATCCTTAAAGCGTATGAGCCGCCGGATTGGACCCTCCCCCCAAAGGCTATTACCTGAAATAAAATGAGATCAGGGCGATCGTATTTACACTGGTTCTTCACGGTATACTGTTCCATCCCGTCGTTCAGGGAAGCCTGTTCGTGGCGATCGGACACCGCCTTCACCAACCACTACTTCCGTGATGTAGCCTTGAAAGTTGTCGCCGGCGTTCACAGTTTTGGTCCCTGGTTGTAGCCCAACAGGTCATCTATCTCCGTCGCCACTGATTCTCCGATACCCTGAGCGGGGCCCGTCGACCTTTCTGGTGTTTATCACCCCAGACGAGACGGCTCTCTTGCGTTCCGCATTCGCTCTTAGGTCAGTTTTAGTTTTGGGTTACCCGACTCATTCTATTGCTGTCACCTATCCGGGTTTTACTTTTTGCATCAACTCTCGTTTCCTGACGACAGGAATGGTAGTAGATGTGGACACCGGCGCCGACGCCAACGCCGCTGCTTCTCTGGTACCTGAGCGGTGCCCGTCGACCTCACCGGTGTTCCTTGCCTCCAGCCTAGAGGGCTCTCCTGCGTTTCGCATTCGCTCTTGGGATTGGTCGTAGATTTTGCCGCCGACGCCGCTGATTCTTCGATTCCCCGAGCGGGGCCCGTCGAACTCTCTGGTGTTTATCACCTCAGATTAGCTCTAGGTTCTACTGCGTTTCGCTTTCGCTCTTCGGTAAGTTATATATTTTGGCTACATGCCTCGGTTACCTATTCGGGCGTTTCGTTTTTGCATCGACTCTTGTTTCCTGAAGACAGGAATGGTCGTAGATGTTCCGGTCATCACTTGTATGCGGTGCGGATTCATCGGACCTTGACGAGGGTTTAATATGGTTCACATCTGCAAGTATGCCCACCGGCCAAGCCGTCTGATAAAGATGCAATACGGAGTAATGCAGGATAAGTTAAAAAATTTAGTAAAATCTAAATATTTTTTACATTTGTATACTTATCCTGCATTACGAAGTCTAAGTTCCCTCCCTTTCGCTACGCTACCTCCCCACGAAGTTTCAGATGTTATGTTTAAAGCAGTTATGTCTTTTGGTGTGACGTCATGACTTCCGGGTCACGTGCCGACTGTGAGAGGGCGCTGCCTCCTGGGCTGGTTGGGACAACTTTCTTCAGCAGCTGGATCTCACACAGTTCGTCTCTCTGTCAAACATAGCAGTAAATGCAATACGGAGTAATGCAGGATAAGTATACAAATGTAAAAAATATTTAGATTTTACTAACTACTGTATGTCAATACCATTATTACAACACTTAAGATTCCTCAATAGTCACTCTTGTTGGAGGTGAGGTGAAATGGGGTTCAATGTCGCGTCCAAGATTATTGCACTTATATAGCGACGTGCACGTGTGTGTGTGTGTGTGTGTGTGTGTGTGTGTGTGTGTGTGGCTGCTTGTACTAGTCCGGACTGATGCCGATTTATAGTGCTAGCTCACTGAGATACCATGCCGCAGTTTAATATGAATACCCCACTCAGACACAGTATACTGACTCCGAGCCGACCAGTCCTTGTTTTAGCCCCTTAATGCCGAGGGCCAGACAGGGTGACAACAAGTACCATCTTTTAACCTCTTTTGGTATGACACGGTCGGGGATTGAACCCCGGACCTTCCGCTCTCCGGGCGGACGCTCTACCACTAGACCACGGAGGCGGTCCACTCTTGTTGAATAGTACTTTGGTGATTGATCAGGGAAGACTTGTTTGTCATTGTTGTTTGTTGTTAAACACCCATCTTCCTGAGGCAAGGGAGTTAACTGACTTTAAAAGGGTGGAAACTGGACTTTTATAGCCAGTTAACTCCTTTGCCTCGGGAAGATGTTAAACACCAGGCTCAGCAATATTGCACCTATGATGGTCCATAAATAATCGAGTGTGGACTTGGTGTCATGTTACCTGATAGTGTGGAGTGATGCACGTACTCTTTATATTTTAATGTTATGGTTTCAGGGTTGAGCAAGGAGGGCTGGTTCATCACCAAGAATCTGCTCACAGAGCTCTTCATCATTTTGGTTGGGTTCTTCACCTTTGTCCCAGCTATTCAGGTAAGCCTATCTGACCATACAGTAAGCTACGGGTATAACGTTTGTTTGTTGGTTGGTTAACGCCGCACTCAGCAATATTCCAGCTATATGACAGTGGTCTGTAAATAATTGAGTCTGGACCAGACAGTCCAGAGATTGACCTCATGAGCTTCAGCTCACCGGCTGGGATACGATGACATGCATCAACCAAGTCAGCGAGTCTGACCACCCAATCCTGTTAGTTGCCTCTTAGACAAGCATAGTCCCCTTTTACATCAAGCATGGGTTGCTGAAGACCTATTCTACCCTGGATCTTCACGGGTCACAGTAATAACAATCTCAAAGGGACCACTAATTTTAGTTCGTTATAACCGTAGTTCATTGTAAGTATTTCGACTGGCAGACATCATATAAATGAAATTGAATGCATAACATAAGTAAATACATGTTATAAATATGTTATTGATACTTTCATGGACACACAGACACAAGTGTCATGTTTTAATTAAGGGTGCAATTGAGGACAAGGTCTCAGTACTTTATCCAATCACAAGCCTTCAATTGTTTATTGCCGATTTGAACAGCTCAGTGATTAACACTTTGTTATAAACATTAACATTGTTGTACACAGAGTACACATGAGACCACAAAATTAGTTCACCATATCCATAATGTCATTATAAGTGTGTTTTTTATATCCATCATTCTCTTTCTGATTAAATCCTCCTTGGGGCACTTATTGCATTTTCCTTGCTCAAGAAAATCTATATGACATAGTTGTAACCATTTTCCTTAATAAAAAATGTTACCACACAAAAAACTTCGTTTTTGTATGACATACGACCACCCTTACGGGGCCTCACCCCCAACGGCGCCTCACGCCAGGGGGAGCAACTCTCACCCAAATCACTTTCCTTATGTCATCTGTAAGAGACAGACGTGTTGATTTTTCACACAAGACAAAAATAAGAGAAATCTATCGTTCGACAAGAACCATGGCTGACCAAACTGTATGTATGGTACATTTCTTTCTTTGCAAAGGCGTAATACCTCGCATTGTGAAGTTATAGAGTTGTAATAATACGCCACGTGCACGGTACCTTTGAATTCAAATGGCCGTAATGGCGTCCATATTGTAGTTCCACGGGCTGATACATGTAACACCAAGGCCATTAAGAAACGGCTTGGGGTTTTGTTATATCATACAGCATTGGTCTACAATTTTTTCCTTTACAAAACCCAAGGTGGTGTGTTAATTCATAAACTACACTTACCTTTTTTACGGGTTTTTACACCTTAGCGCGTAACACGCCCCTTTGGTGTTATAATTATACTACACATTGGCTATTAGTATCGCGTTACAAATCGCATTCTACATTACGCCTTTGCTTCTAGTTTCACAATTTATGCACGTTTCTTTCCGATCTTTATATCGCACTGATACACGTTGATACCCTTCCCGCCCACCTCAGAAATTACGGTCTTGTTTACAAGACCTTCAAACTGTGTACGGGTTGTTCTAAGACAGGCACGAACGCTGCCGAATATGTCTGGCGGAGGACATTGCCTTTACCCCCCGGGGCCCCCAAAAGAGACAAGTTGACTTGTTCCACTTTAAAGAGGTCTATTAAAGGCGGGGGTAGATATCAGATCTACTAAGACATCCCCCCCTCCCCATCTAAAAAGGGTAAAAAAGCTGCCGAGATTGTCTCCCCCGCTCCCTCTCCGGGGGCCGGGGGAGAAGGCTCGAGGGTCCCCGTAGTAAGCACTGCACCCTCTCCTGCACTGTCTTTGGCAGACTTTTCTGCGTTACTTAAGTCGCAGATGGCGTCGATGATGGAGGAGGTAAAGTCTCAGCTCCGAGAGGAGATGCGGACCGAGCCTTCCCCGTTGTCGGCGCCGGACGCGGCTTCGAGACCTTGTGATATGCCCGGCGTCGGCCGAGGCAGGCAACTTGGTCTCGGGGACGATCTCAGACCGGGCTTCGGCGCCGGCTCGAGGTCGCTCCCCAGCGGAGGGGTGGCGGGCGCCGGCCCGTGCACTACCGACGCACAATTTTTCCCTAGCGGAGCCAGACGCCTCTTCCGAGGCCGAGGCTTTCACTAGTGGATTCGTAGCCCGGAGCCAGGGGGGTTCCCTTGGTCTCGGGGACGATCCGAGACCGAGCTTCGGCTCCGGCTCGAGGTCGCTCCCCAGCGTAGTGGTGGCGGGCACCGGCCCGTGCACTACCGACGCACAATTTTCCCTAGCAGAGCCAGACGCCTCTTCCGAGGCCGAGGCGTCCACTAGTGGATACCTAGCCCGGAGCCAGGTTGGTTCCCTTTGTCTCGGGGACGATCCGAGACCGAGCTTCGGCTCCGGCTCGAGGTCGCTCCCCAGCGTAGTGGTGGCGGGCACCGGCCCGTGCACTACCGACGCACAATTTTCCCTAGCGGAGCCAGACGCCTCTTCCGAGGCCGAGGCGTCCACTAGTGGATACCTAGCCCGGAGCCAGGTTGGTTCCCTTTGTCTCGGGGACGATCCGAGACCGAGCTTCGGCTCCGGCTCGAGGTCGCTCCCCAGCGTAGTGGTGGCGGGCACCGGCCCGTGCACTACCGACGCACAATTTACCCTAGCGGAGCCAGACGCCTCTTCCGAGGCCAAGGCTTTCACTAGTGGATACCTAGCCCAGTGCCAGGTGGGGTCCCTTGAACCTCCGGCACCTCGGCACCGGGACTCGGCCTCGGGCCGGGTGCAGAGACACGTGCGGGACAGGATTGTCCATGTACTGCCTCAGGTTGCTGCGCCCATGCCAGAGTCGGAGACACCCAACTTGACTAAGGTCAAGCAGGGCCGGCGGTTGCCCCCCCTTTCCCGTGTGCGGTGCGGAGTTGAAGGCTGCTTACATATGCTTCGAGGAGCAATATCATAATGCATGCCAACAGCTCCGTGTGTCCGTACACTCCGCGTATCTGTCGGCTGTACAGAGGGAGTTAGCGGGAGAGGGGCCGGCCGACTCTTCGGAGTTGGCCGCGCAACTAACATTATCTTGCGCGGGACGCTATTCGTAGCTGTGCATCGCAGATGATGTGCGCTGTTATGTGCATGCGCATGCGGTGGATGTCGGTATCTAAATACTCGACTTACACACGCCAAGACCTACTTGCTTTGCCGTATAAGAGGGTGCCACCCTCTTCCCTGGGGCTCAGCAGGCGGTCCGAGAGGCTGCTCAATTGTATACTTCCATCAAAGACTCATAAGGCCTTGTTGGAGGTACCAAGCGTTAAAACCGCGTAAGCGGGCCTCTCCAATTGTCCCCTCCTACGCTGACGCACGGGTCAGACGTCCACACCTGCTTGGAAGCCGCCGCTTCCTTCAAGTATAAGGGCGCCGTGAGGAGCAAGAGAGGCACGGGCCGGGGCAAGGCAGCTGGTCGAGGCCAACAGCTTTTTCGCGGGGCTGGGAACGATGGGTTCCCATTAGCGCCCGAAGAGCCCCGGGTGAACCCATAGTCGCAAGTTATCGGGAAAACTCATCCGCTCCTCCCCTTTTCCGGGATAAAGCACACACCGGTGCCTGCTACCCGAGAGAAGGCGGAATTCCTCCGTGCCGAGGTCGACGCACTTCTTATGAAAGCTGCGATCGAACCGGGTCCCGAGGGACAGGAAAGCGAGGGCTTCTACTCGACTTGTTTCCTAGTCACCAAACAGTGATCTCAACTGTCGAGACAGGAGAATGGCTAACGTCAATAGACTTAAAATACGCCTATCTCCACATACCAATACATCCAGAGTTCAAGAAATACCTGAGGTTTTCTTTCGACGGGAGGTGTTATCAGTTCAGGGTTCTACCATTCGGGATCTCCACGGCCCCGAGGGTGTTCACCAAGCTGATGTTGATTCCCGCCCAAGTGGCCAGGTCAAAAGGTCGGTTCTGCCATCCGTACCTCGACGACTAGGTTACTAAGAGCTCTATTGCAATCCCTGAGTCAGATAGCTACACAACAAGTGATAGATATTCTGATCACTCTAGGGTGGATGGTCAATCTCAAGAAGTCAGATCTGAGCCCCACTCAGAATCTAGTCTTCCTAGTGGCTAATTTCAACACGGTGAGAGGACGTGTATCTCTGTCACAAGATATCAAGTCCCTTAAGCGCAAGTCACACTGCTCGTACATGGCTCCAGTTACTGGACAACATGGCGGCGACAGTGGATTTGGTCTGGCGGGCGCGCTTGAGAATGAGTCCCATTCAACAAGCACTCCGTCGACTTTGGGCGAACTCGGAAGATCTCGAGACTCCGTAGTGGCTCATTACACACCTCCAGTGGTGGACCGAGGTCGGGAATCACTCCCGTTCCGTCTCTCACAGTTCAAACAGACGCGTCACTCTCCGGCTGGGGAGGCGTTCTGAATGATCACACTGCCTCGGGACTATGGTCCCAGCAGGAGATCAAACTGCATATCAATGTGCTAGAACTGAGAGCGGTCAGGTTGGTGTTCCAATGCTTCCCGGATCTGCTTCGTGGCCAAGTGGTTCGTCTAGAGATGGACAACCAAACGGCGATGACTTACATCCGGAAGCAGGGGGGAACGGCGTCTCCGTCGCTTCGACGAAAGACGTGGCAGTTCCTACTATAGTGCGACTCTCACGATATCAGGGTGCTACCTGTTTATCTCCCGGGGGTGGACAACGTCCGTGCGGACGCTCTGTCTTGCCGGATCCTCGCTCCTCACGAGTGGAGGCTCGACCCGGGGATATTCGGGATTTTCTCCCTGTTATACAGGTCGTTACAGGTGGATCTGTTTGCGTCTGGGTTAAATAACCAGACACCAACGTTCTGCTCCCGAGTCCACGACCCGAGGCCGGTGGCACCGGACGCCTTTCAGCTAGATTGGACGGACAGTTCTGTGGGCATTCTCCCCAGTACCTCTGATTTCCAAGGTCCTGTCTCAGCTAGGCACTCAGCCTGCGCGACTAATTGTGCTCCTGGCACCTCTTTAGTCGGCGCAGAGTGGGTTTCCAGTAATACTCAGGTTTCTGGCTCAGCCTCCTGTTATATTACCTTTACGACCGGACCTCCTATCCCAGAACGGGGCCCTCCACCCGAATCTCAGGATTCAATGGGTGGCTTGGCCACTGTCAGGAATCGCCTCCAGAAGAGCGGTATTCCTGCACGAGTTGCAGACACAATACTGGCTTCGCGGAGGGATTCGACAAACGTTCAGTACGATAGATAGGCCTGCTATGCGCCCAGGTGTGTCGATAGAGGGATTGCAGATCTTTTTTCTGCAGATCTCGTATCCGTGCTTGAGTTTCTCCAGTCGCGACTAGATGACGGCCTGGCCGCATCAACAGTCCGAGGGTACTCTACAGCTATCGCAGCTTTTCACGTCCCTGTCGACGGGGCACTTCTGGGTGCACACCCATTAGTGCAGCGCTTTTTAGCAGGTGTGGACAGGATCCGACCGCCAGTCCGGCGGATCAGTCCCCCTTGGGACTTGTCAATCATTCTAGATTGGCTGTCCGGTCCTTCCTTTCGGGATCTGTCGTCTCTCTCTCTTCAGCTGTTGAGCTGGGAGACGGCGTTCCTTGTGGTGGTAACGTCCGGCAGACGGGTAGGCGACATTCGTGTTATGTCAGCCGATCCCAAAATAACTGTCTTCCATGGGGTCGATAAATATCACCGGGACAGTCAGTTTTCGTCTACCGGACTATTACCGTCCTAGGGTCGCACACGATTCCACGTGAACGGCTCCTATTGAGCTACCCGCTCTTTCACAGCCTTCCTCGTCGGGGACCACTGCAAGACATGCTCATGTCTTGGATGTCCGCACGACTCTCAAGGCCTATATCAGCAGAAATATGGGTGTCCGTAAGGATAACCAACTATTTTGCTATTACTGCGGTAGGAAGGTTGGCTCACCTGCGAGTAAACAATCTATCTCGAGGTGGATAGTTTCAAACATTTGTACAGCGTATACGCTTACAGGCAGGGACCCCCCTACCAGGTTGAAGGCTCATTAGGTTAGAGCAGTGGCTGCGTCAAAAGCGTACGCCGCGGCTCTGCCCATTGAGCAGATCTGCTCCGCGGCTATTTGGAGCCAGCCGAGCACGATTCATCAAACCTTACCAACTCGACAAACACTCAAGCGAGCGTACTCGGTTTGGTCAGTCAGTTCTCCGAACTGGGCAAAGTTCTAATCTCTAGCTGATTGAGCATTCGAGATTTTAGACAGTCTTCCGGTTATACTGCTCAGTAATGGTCCGGATTTTATCTTCTGCGGTCGATAAATATCAGTCCTTACTACTCGATAATACTCGTATTTTGCGCACGCACTCCTTCGATCCTCGGGGACCCTCTGGCCTAGCTCAGCGCTGGTTATGGTCTCTCGTGATCTACGCCCTTATATCAATTGTTCAAAAAAGTGTGGGGGGGTGGGAGGTGTTTCGAGTTCTCAACTTATGACAAGCCGCAAAAACAGGCTTTATCATAATATATGGTCGACCACGCCCTGTCTCTAGCCCCCGCCTTTCGACGGTGGTGCCTCACGATAAGGTTGGTTCCATTTATTGAACTCAATATTTTATTCTGTTGAATAATCAAATACGATGTATTTATTTACGCCTGTTGCTGACGGATGCCACTTCCTAGATTATCTTTGGGAGTCTGTCTTGATGCAATAAGTGCCCCAAGGAGGATTTAATCAGAAAGAGAATTTTACAAACCTGTAGAGGTTATGAATTCTCTGATGAAATCCTCCTTGGGGCACGGCCACCCACCTCCCCACATTCCGTCAGCATTTGACATATGGAAAGTGATTTGGGTGAGAGTTGCTCCCCCTGGCGTGAGGCGCCGTTGGGGGTGAGGCCCCGTAAGGGTGGTCGTATGTCATACAAAAACGAAGTTTTTTGTGTGGTAACATTTTTTATTAAGGAAAATGGTTACAACTATGTCATATAGATTTTCTTGAGCAAGGAAAATGCAATAAGTGCCCCAAGGAGGATTTCATCAGAGAATTCATAACCTCTACAGGTTTGTAAAAATTTTATATGATAAAATATACAACAAATGGCTGAGACAAAAAACAGTCATGTCCGTCAGTTCATTATAGGCATGTTCGTTATAAACATAGTTTAGTATATGTATGCAGATTACTTAACATGCTTGATGACAGATTTGTCAAGGGAGTGTTTCCATGTGAATTCCACAGTCCAGTTTTGTCCCAGTAATCCATGCTTGTGTAAAGTTAAAATCAGATGAATTTGAGTCAGTGCATTTGATTATGCACTTCTTTGAGGGACACTGGTTTTCAGTGATTTCACATCGACCATCATTTGAAAATTAATGTACCGGTGTATATAAATGTTGATATATTGGGGGTTTTCTGAGTAACCATGGTAAAGAACCCCAAATGACAGTGTGTTTCTGTAGCATGTTTAGTTATATTTTTGGACAAAGCTAGTAAATTTATTGCAACAATGATGTAGCAGACACTTTTTTTCACAAATAATGAAAAAACCCATTAACCTGTTTTGTGGGATTCTGACATTTTTCTGATATCCTGTATTTCAACTGATATTGGGGCAGTCGGATAGCCTGGTGGTTAAAGCGTCTGCTCCTCACGCCGAAGACCTGGGTTCAATTCCCGACATGGGTACAATGTGTGAAGCCCATTTCTGGTGTCCCCCAGCCGTGATATTGCTGGAATATTGTTAAAAGTGGCGTAAAACCAAACTCACCCCACTAATATTATTTTATCAAGTTCCTACTAACCCTGCCTTTACTGAGTTTAGAGGAGGCCAGTTGCAAGAAGAAATAGGTCATAAATTGTTCCAGGATTCTAAACTTTGAGACTTGTCTTATTTTTCTGTGTGACATTGATGTTGATGTTAAAGTTGATGTTGATGTTGATGTTGTAGGAGTTCTGCATGTTCGCGCTGGTTGGACTGCTGTCCGACTTCTTCCTGCAGATGGTGTTCTTCGCGACCACGCTCTCCGTGGACATCCGGAGAATGGAGGTGAGATAGAGGCTCTGTGTCCATCCATCGCATTACTGTCAGGTTAACAGACCGTCGCATTACTGTCAGGTCAACAGACCGTCACATTACTGTCGGGTCAACAGACCGTCACATTACTGTCGGGTCAACAGACTGTCACATTACTGTCGGGTCAACAGACCGTCACATTACTGTCAGGTCAACAGACCATCACATTACTGTCAGGTCAACAGACCATCACATTACTGTCAGGTCGTGAGACTGGGATTTAGGAGTAGAATTTGTACCCAGGAACCTATGCTTGTCTTAAGTGGCGACTAAAACGGATTGTAGCTCAGACTCAGTGCCACGTGAATTACCCTGACAACATGGAATATCAATTACTGGTTTGCCTAGTTTTATTATCTACTGGCTGCCGTATCATTTGAAGGTTATTGACTGCAGTGCTGTGTTCACCATGCTGTGCTTGTGTTTTAGTCCAGGCAAATGGTCCTTTGCACAGGTCATTAATCGGGCGAAACTAAGCGAAGTTGGTCGCGAGAGTAGCTGGATGAGTGACCACATTCTGCAGGCAGACTCCTGAGAGTTCCTGGTGTTTCAGTCCTGCCCCACACTGAAGCTCATGGGGTGTCTCCGTATGTGACTGTTAACCCTTTAGTGTCTCACAGGCAGCTTGGGTTGTATACTCCCCAGGGAGCTGAGAAAGAAAATCGAGTGCACAATGATCTATTGACCAGGGTAATAATGGTGTCAGCGCTTAGAGCATGCTTCAGCCGATTGGCTAGAGTGCATAACAATTATTGTTTAGTAGTAGTAGTAGTAGTAGTAGTAGTAGTAGTAGTAGTGAGTGAGTTAAAATTTAACGTCGCATTATTTCAGCCATATAGCAACAGTAGCAGTAAGTGAGTTAAAATTTAACGTTGCATTATTTCAGCCATATAGCGACAGTGATAGTAGTAGTAGTAGTAGTAGTAGTAGTAGTAGTAGTAGTAGTATGTTGTTATTATTAGTTGTTTTTTTATTATTTTTATTATTATTATTATTATTATTATCATTATTATTATTATTATTATTATTATTATTATTATTATTATTATTATCATTAGTTGGCCGATCTGCACAAGCAGAGCATCCACCAGAGGTGTTCGGAGGACGACACCAACATCAACATTGAGCCCCTGCTGCGATGTCCAGTCATGTCCAGAATGACCCCTCCAGGGTCCCCGCCTACCTCAAAGATGCATCGGTCCAAGTCCGCCCCGGGGCTGGACGTCCAGGGCATCACGGGACACCCCTCGCCTCCCCCATCACCTAAACTCCCCGAGCTCGAGATGTTCTTCCCTGAAACTTTTGATAATCCTCGTCGATGGAAATTCATCTCGTTCTGGGCCAGAACACGCATGTTTCAGAGGCTGATAATGGTTGGTCTTGGTGTTTGATAGTTTAAATATTAATAGTGATACAATCGCAAGAGGCGACTAACGGGATCGGGTGGTCAGGCTCGCTGTCTTGGTTGATGCATGTCATCGGTCCAAATTTGCGTGGAACGATGCTCATGGTGTCAATCACTGGATTGTCTGGTCCGGAGATGATTATTTACAGACCGCCGTCATATAGCTGGAATATTGCTGAGTGTGGTGTTAAACAGCAAACAAACAAACATGGGGCCGTCCACCATCAGACACTCAATATTTTGACGGACAAACAATGTTTCAAACCTTTGCAGCTTTCACAAGGCCCATACCAAAGATACCGAGCAGTCTGAGTGCTGACTCAATGGATCAGGGGCTCGGGCTTGGAGACTTGGTTGAGTGCATGTCGTACCCTGGATTGTTGTTCATAATATCAGTCAATGGTTGGTCAGTCCTGACTTAGTTATTTACAGCCCATTGTCGTATAGCTGGGATATTCAGTGTGACATTAAGTAACAAAGAAACGTGGTATTGAGGATAAATCAGGAACTATGTGATAATGTTATTTTCCGGCTTCCAGCTGTGTACCGTGATCTGGATCGGCCTGATTGTGTACAAGACAGGCCTGGTTGACCAGCTGACCAGTCCCGAGGGAGTGATCCTCCCCACCGGCAGCCCCTCCAGCCCGCACCATCTGATGAAGCAGGAGATCTATGCAGACAAGGCCCAGATGAAGGGGGTGGCCGGGGTGTATCAGGGCAGGGGGGAGGAGGAGGCTTACACGGGGAGGGTGGGGGACGAGGAGGAGACCCAGGGGACTCAGGAACACAGGAACCAGGAGTCCTACTTCCAGCTGTCCCCGCAACACTGGCCCACGCTGTTCAGCTACTATAACATCAGTCTGGCAGGAAGGTAGGCCCAGGGGTGTTGGTGGAAGGAGGGAGCGAGTGAGTGATGGGAGGGATGAGAGTAATGGAGGAAGTGAGTGATGGAGTGAGTGAGGGCTGAATGGAGTGAGTGATCGGAGGGATGAGAGTAATGGAGGAAGTGAGTGATGGAGTGAGTGAGGGATGAATGGAGTGAGTGATGGGAGGGATGAGAGTAATGGAGGAAATGAGTGATGGAGTGAGTGAGGGATGAATGGAGTGAGTGATGGGAGGGATGAGAGTAATGGAGGAAGTGAGTGAGGGAGTGAGTGAGGGATGAATGGAGTGAGTGATGGGAGGGATGAGAGTAATGGAGGAAGTGAGTGATGGAGTGAGTGAGGGATGCATGGAGTGAGTGATGGGAGGGATGAGAGTAATGGAGGAAGTGAGTGATGGAGTGAGTGAGGGATGAATGGAGTGAGTGAGATATGAAAAGAGTAATGGAGTGAGTGAAAGGAGGAGTGAGTGAAGGATAAACGGAGTAATTGAGTGAGTGATGGAGGGAGGGAGGGTGAGATAGAGAGAGTGATGGGAGGGATGAGAGTAATGGAGGAAGTGAGTGATGGAGTGAGTGAGGGATGAATGGAGTGAGTGAGATATGAAAAGAGTAATGGAGTGAGTGAAAGGAGGAGTGAGTGAAGGATAAACGGAGTAATTGAGTGAGTGATGGAGGGAGGGAGGGTGAGATAGAGAGAGTGATGGGAGGGATGAGAGTAATGGAGGAAGTGAGTGATGGAGTGAGTGAGGGATGAATGGAGTGAGTGAGATATGAAAAGAGTAATGGAGTGAGTGAAAGGAGGAGTGAGTGAAGGATAAACGGAGTAATTGAGTGAGTGATGGAGGGAGGGTGTGATGGATGAAAAGAGTGATGGTGTGGGTGATGGATGGAGAGAGTGAATGAGAGTGTGATGGATGAAGAAAGTGATGGAAGGAAGGGGTTAGAGTGATGGGATTAGTGAGTTGACACGTCTTGATATAAAAGAAATACTGTTGAAAGCAATATCAACTCTAAAACTCAATTCCTCACATCTCTCCTACACTGAACAAGTTTTGGTCAGACAACCCTTGGTTTAGAAAGTCTATGATTTGTCAACAGCACCAAATTCAAAGATTTTATGCATGTGACATTAATTAGAATGGAAACTGAAGGTAAGATGACTTTAAGTTTTGACAAATTTGAAATTTCCATGTGGTGTATTTCAGATATATAACTGTTCTTCCACCAATCCGTCTCTCTGCGATCATTGACCCACAGACGGCAGTAGACCTACGACACTCGGCAGAGTTTGACTACTATGCTCATCCAGGACCCGATGGTGAGGGCCACACACATCCAATCAAAGACACCAATGCTTCCGATATAGCCAATCGAATTCCATATTACATGTATGACCCGGAACACCTGAAGACGTTCTACCCAAAGTCCAAGAAGGAGTTCACCATCACGCTATGCCTGGCGTTCCTCAGTGTCATTGTCATCTCGTATTTCATGATCATGCTATATAAGTGCATGTGCTCCAGGAACTACTCCAAGTGGCGCCGGTCGTGGACCAAGGTGAAGAGGAGAAAGAAAGGCTATTATAAACAGATTAAGGAGTCCGTGCCGCTAGTGCTGAAGGGGCACAGACAGGTATGTACCACTAGTGTTGAAGGTGCACAGACAGGTATGTACCACTAGTGTTGAAGGTGCACAGACAGGTATGTACCACTAGTGCTGAAGGGGCACAGACAGGTATGTACCACTAGTGCTGAAGGTGCACAGACAGGTATGTACCACTAGTGCAGGAAATGACCTCAGTGGTATTCCTGATGCACCCATTTGTTTGTTTGTTCGTTGTTTAACGCCCCACTCACCAATGTTCCAGCTATATGACGGCGGTCTGTAAATAATCGAGTCTGGACTTGACAATCCAGTGATTGACAACATGAGCATTGATCCACACAATTGGGATCAATGACATGCATCAACCAAGTCAGCGAGTCTGACCACCCTATCCTGTTAGTCGCCTCTTATGACAAGCATAGTCTTGTCCAAACTCGATTATTTACAGACCGTTGTCAAGTAGCTGGAATATTGTTGAGTTCAGAGTTAAACAACAAACGAACAAACAAATCATGCAGTTCAGCTTCCTGCTTCGATATCTGTGCTGCATTTGAACTAGGACGTTTATTCATATTGCACATGCATTGTGTGCGATTTGATCGTTGCAGCCAGCACATTCATACTGCACACGCTTAAAATTAATGCATAAGCTTAACATTTGCATAGGGCGGTCGGGTAGCCTAATGGTTAAAGCATTCCTCGTCATGCTGAAGACCCGGGTTCGATTCCTGACATGGGTACAATGTGTGAAGCCCATTTCTGGTGTCCCTCGCCGTGATATTGCTGGAATATTGCTAAAAGCGGCATAAAACCATACTCAGTGTAACTCACTCACTCACCCACTAACATTTTCATAGCAGAAAGTAGGTCAGTAAACTGTCAATCTGTTACAGATGATATACAGTTGAAACAATAAAGGGACATCCTAGCTGTGTATTAAGTGATAAACAGCAGTTGTAACTCAAGCAGAATATGTTGCCGTGGGGATAAAGGATTGAGGGGATCCCTAGCATGAAATGTTTCTCACTCAAGCAGCAGTTTGTGAATCCAAAATCTGAAGACTCAAGATAAACCTATAAAAGATTCATGTCAGTGGGACCCAGTTTGGGAAAACACCAAAGGTCATCCTGGAGTGTATGACTTTAACCACATTGCAACATGTAATGGAATGTGTTCCCATCTCTATTGCTTGAGGTGACTGGATCGGGGGGTGGTTTGTCTCATGGCTCATTAGGTAGAGGCTGCCATGATGTTGCCAGACTATTCCTGACTGTGGCGTAAACAATTAAAAAAACATAATTTATATGGCTTATGTGACTAGTCACAGACCTGTGAAGATCCGGGGTAGAATAGGTCTTCAGCTATCCATGCTTGCCGTACGTGGGGCCTAAGCTTGTGGTAATGGGATCGGGTTGTCTGGCTCGCTGACTTGGTTGATACGTGTCATCATATCCCAATTGCGTAGATCGATGCTCATGATGTCAATCACTGGTCCAAACTCGATTATTTACAGACCACTGGAATAGCTGGAGTTCAGCATTAAACAACAAACAAACAAATCAGTCTGCAAAATGATGACACTTTGGAAATAACTTGGAAATATTATGTGCAACATCCAATGCCATCAAGGAACATTGACACACAGTCAACCGAGTTGACATTCTGATCCATGAAGTCACCAAGTCTGACCCCCTGATCCATTAAGTCTCCAAATCTGACCCCCTGATCCATTAAGTCACAAAAAATCTGAACCCCTGATCCATTAAGTCACCAAATCTGACCCCCTGATTCATCAAGTCACCAAGTCTGACCCGCTGATCCATTAGGTCACCAAGTCTGACCCCCTGATCCATTAGGTCACCAAGTCTGACCCCCTAATCCATTAGGTCACCAAGTCTAACCCCCTAATCCATCAAGTCACCATGTCTGACCCCCTGATCCATCAAGTCACCAAGTCTGACCCCCTGATCCATTAGGTCACCAAGTCTGACCCCCTGATCCATCAAGTCACCAAGTCTGACCCCCTGATCCATTAGGTCACCAAGTCTGACCCCCTAATCCATTAGGTCACCAAGTCTGACCCCCTGATCCATCAAGTCACCATGTCTGACCCCCTGATCCATCAAGTCACCAAGTCTGACCCCCTCATCCATCAAGTCACCAAGTCTGACCCCCTGATCCATTAAGTCACCATGTCTGACCCCCTGATCCATCAAGTCACCAAGTCTGACCCCCTGATCCATTAAGTCACCAAGTCTGACCCCCTGATCCATCAAGTCACCAAGTCTGATCCCCTGATCCATTAAGTCACCAAGTCTGACCCCATGATCCATCAAGTCACAAAGTCTGACCCCCTGATCCATTAAGTCACCAAGTCTGACCCCCTGATCCATCAAGTCACCAAGTTTGACCCCCTGATCCATCAAGTCACCAAGTCTGACCCCCTGATCCATTAAGTCACCAAGTTTGACCCCCTGATCCATCAAGTCACCAAGTTTGACCCCCTGATCCATTAGGTCACCAAGTCTGACCCCCTGATCCATCAAGTCACCAAGTTTGACCCCCTGATCCATTAAGTCACCAAGTCTGACCCCCTGATCCATCATGTCACCAAGTTTGACCCCCTGATCCATTAAGTCACCAAGTCTGACCCCCTGATCCATTAAGTCACCAAGTCTGACCCCCTGGTCCATTTATGCACCAAGTCTGACCCCCTGATCCATTAGGTCACCAAGTCTGACCCCCTGATCCATCAAGTCACCAAGTCTGACCCCCTGATCCATCAAGTCACCAAGTCTGACCCCCTGATCCATTAAGTCACCAAGTCTGACCCCCTGACCCATTAGGTCACCAAGTCTGACCCCCTAATCCATTAGGTCACCAAGTCTGACCCCCTGATCCATTAAGTCACCACTTATGACAGGCATAGACTGCTTGGGACCGAGTGTAACCCAGAATGTTTGGTATGGGTCTTGCGGAAGCTACAAAGATTTGAGTCATTATTTTTTCAGAAAATCGAGTGTCTGGTGGTGGACGGCCCCCTTGTGGTCAGCTGTTGCTGGGGAGGTCAGCTGAGGGTGTGGGACTCTAACACAGGAGAGTGTCTGTCGGCAGTCAGGCGGAGAAGGTAATACAACAGTTAATCACTGTGAGATCAACCTTTGTGATGTGAGAAATAACAAAGCAGGTGATATATGTAAGGATTATCAGGTGGGTGCTTTTTCAGAACAAAAGAAGTTTAAAGGGATTACAAGCATTTGGGTAAATACAAATTAGGGAATGAAAAATAGATGAAATAGATGCATCTCATGTTTATTCACATGTAACAATCTTTAACGAATTGTATCACAGTTTTAGTACAGTTGTCACAGTTTAATTTGTGCTTTTTGGGGAAAGACAGCAACTTGAAGATGTTAGAATGTGCCTTCTGTATTAACTTCTTCAGTCTTCCATGCCATCCTTCCAACATCTTCCCGAGGCAAGAGAGTTAACTGACTTAAAAAGTCCCGTTTCCACCCCTGCCGAACTAGGCTGGAATTACTGGGCTCGATCGTAGCGCCACCAGTGGCTATTACCAGTTATGTCCCTTCTATGCCTCTCCTATGGACCAATCAGATTCCACCTCTCGTATCACTTGCATTTGCTTCAAACAAAGACAATCTGATCGATAATCAAGATCTAATTACATTAAGTAATACGTTACCACTGTTATACCGAGGCTGTTGTCTCCCAGAACTGCTGCTATAGCGAAATCTACCACAGAGATCTCAATTACCTCATGCAGCACGTGCGTAGCCACCTAGCTGCCATGTGACACCCTTCACTCTTGTCTCCTTCGTCTGCTTAGCAAGACGTGTTTTCTTCTGCTGAAGCGTTCCTTGAAAATTTGGTGATATTTCTTATAGTTTATTCTCTAATAAACTGTGCTTTTATGGGTCGTTGCGGTAGCTACGCTTGGTTATAATTTTCCCGCCAAACGGAAAATTTTTCCCGCCCTTTTTTCTATATACTTGCGGGGTTCACGTATGCACGTTGTGTTTTACGTTTCCCCTGTTCTTGTATGTTTTGGGGGTTAACATAACTTATTTCTTTAATAAAAGTTATATGTGTATGTTATATGTTCACATTGCTCGTTTATTTTCTTGTGAAAATGTTCGTTTGTGAATCATTGTGGTGCGTGAGTTGTAACCATGTTTTGTTCTTTGTTTATAGCAAACAATCAATGTCTGACATGGATATGTCCCCAGTATCCACCCCCTCTACCCCTGCTCCTCGGAGTTGTGGGGTGTGCAGAAAGTTTTTGTCGTCCCGGGATCCCCACGATCGTTGCCTGCGGTGCAGGGTTCCTTGCGGGGACACCCGGTGCATCCTGTGCGAAGGTCTGGGGCCTGCAGAGTTTGAGCGGTACCGGCTGTACGTACAGTCCGTCTCCACCCCTGTGGTGGCCGGTTCGTCCGGTCGGGGTCCCCGTGCGGGTACCACCTCCTCGGCTGCGGCGGATCCCCTTGCGGCCCTCGGGCTGTCTGGGGATTCCGTCGCCGCATTGTTGTCGAAACTTGTGGACTCCAAGCTGGCGGCCTTATCGCAAGATAGGCCGCTGGCTGTTCCGTCCCCGGCCTCTTCGGTGGCCGCGGGGTCGGACGCGGGGTCCACCGGTAAAGCGGCGGATCTCTTGGCGACCCGTGTGCTGTCCGGGGATTCCGTCGCTGCATTACTTGCATAACTTGTGGACTCCAAGCTGGCGGCCTTATCTCAGGATAGACCGCTGGCTGTTCCGTCCCCGGCCACTTCGGTGGCCGCGGGGTCGGACGCAGGGTCCACCGGTACGGCGGCGGCTCCCGTGGTCACCGGTCCTTCCCCCGAACCGTTGCTCCCGCTATCGGTTCAGGACCGCGTGGCCATGGTTTATGACCTCTTTGAGGACATGCCCCGGCCGGTACCGCGGGGAATCCACGACTGTGGGTTCCTCCGAGGTATACGATGAGTCTTCCGACACGGCTTTCCCCGCATCGACCTTGATGCGCGGTTTCAAGCCTTCCTTGGAGAACGCCTTCGCGGCGGCCTCTGGTCGGGGTCTCCCGTTGCCTCCGACGTCGTGGAGAAAGGGTTTATTCCCGGTACATGACCTTGCCTTTCCCGAGGCTGGTCCTACCGCGGAGGCCCATGTTGAGCGGTTGGGTGTCCGTGCCCCACCGGCTGCTACGGTAACGCAAGCTACCTTGCACCAGCTGGACGCCCTCGCTCGGCACTCCATGTCTCACGGAGACACTTACTTGGCTGCAGCGGCCCGTCTGGTCGAAGGTTCTCCCACGGACCGTGACCAGCGCATTTACAACTGCCTGCTCAGTTTAAATGCTTCCCTGGAGTACGTTGCCGAGGACTCTCGGCACACACTTGCTCTTGTTGGGTCCCTGCATAGGCGCCTGGGTGCCGCTCCTAACCGGAGCGCGCCCCAGGCTGCTGCGGCCTGTAGGTCTAAGGGGTCGGGTTCTTCTTCCTCTGGGAAGTAGCCCCGCCCTGAGGGCTCCGGTATGGGCAATCAGCTGCCCTTTCGCGGGAAGACGGGGAACTGGGGGAAGCCCAAGTCGTCGACGGACGGCAAGGGCCCCTCCAGGTGACTCTCATTGGAGGGGTTCGTATGCCGACAGCGCCAACTTCGGTTGGCCCTTAGGCGAACCCGAGTCACTTGGCCCTGGACAGTTGCGCCTGCCGCAACCTGTCAGGGCCCCCTCTCCTTCCCCAGTGGGAGCCAGACTCCAGACTTACTGGGAGAATTGGGAACAAGTGTTCGACGACCCGTGGGTGGTCAACACGATTCGGTACGGCTATCGGCTTGATCTCAAAGCGAATCCGCCGCTCACCGTTGCCCCGTTGGCAGGTTTCGATTCGGAAACCGATCTTCCCATCCTCGCCGATGCCATCGGCAGGTTGGTGGAGAAGGGACAGTACGGGAGTTAGCTCTACCAGAAATAACACCGGGGTTTTACTCCAGGATATTTCTCGTTCCCAAGTAGGACAGTGCCGAACTCAGAATGATTCACACGTCCGCTCCCTGGCTGTTCACCCGGTTAACCACCCCCATAGTGGGCGATGATTGCGAAAGTCTTAGCGGTGCAACAGACTGTTCACTTTTGGGAACAGCTGTTAGGGCTACTTGTATCAGCCCAGGACTGCACCGCACGGGGTCGTCTCCAACTCCGCCCGCTGCAACGGTTTTTAATCCAGTTGTTAGCAACGGAGGTGAACAGTGCGACCGTCGCCCTCCCGGATCGGCTCCGACCGCATCTGGAGTGGTGGACGGTCCCTTACATTGTCTTATCAGGAGTCTCTATGCGGCCCTACCGGGCCACGTTGACCCTGTATACAGACGCCTCTCTAGTGGGCTGGGGCGCCCATCTAAAGGGGGAGGTGAGCTCGGGGCTGTGGTGCGTAGACGAACTAGGTCTTCACATCACTTGTCTCGAGTTCAAGGCAGTGATCAACGCAGTCAATCACTGGAAGCATCGTCTCGTCGACGCCCGGTTCATGCTGGCGACCGACAACACGACGGTAGTGTCCTATGTGAACAAACTGGGGGGAACCCACAGTCACTCGCTACTCGATCTCACGTTCGAGTTTTACGCTCTGGTGGACAGTGTCCCGTGCCAGATACGCGCCCGTCACATCCCAGGTGTGCGGAACGTACTGGCCGATGCTCTATCGAGGCCTCGGGATCCGAGCCCCACAGAGTGGATGCTGAACCCAGTAGTGTTTCAGTGGCTGTGCGAACGTTTGGGTCGTCCGATGGTCGACCTGGTCGCAACGCGGTTCAACAATCAACTCCCGTTGTTTGTATCACCAGTCCCGGACCCGAGGGCCATCGATCGCGATGCTCTCGCGTTAGACTGGACGGGCTTGGTCGCTTATGCTTACCCGCCGACAGCGTTGATACCACACATTCTAAGCCGGCTCCGAGGAGTTCGCTGTCGAATGTTACTGATCGCGCCCATGTGGCCGAACAGATCGTGGTACCCCGACTTGCTGACCCAGGTCACGCAGTCGCCACTTCCACTGCCTGTGAGACCGGATCTCTTGATCCACCCTCACACCCGTCAGCTTCATCCAAACGCAGGGCGGTTCAATCTGCACGCGTGGATGTTGTCACCGAGCGTCTGAGGAGTAAAGTTTTTTCTCGCCGGGCGTCTCGGGCCCAGTTAGTATGCATCGCGATTCTACCCAGAAGGTGTATAATGCACGTTGGGTTATTTTCACGAAGTGGTGTTGTAAACATCACATTCATTCGCCAGATAAGGTATCTGTGCAGGATATTGCTCGTTTCATGTCTCACTTGCCAGTGACCCGGAAACTCTCCGGGGGTTCCATTGCCAACTATGTCTCGTCCGTTGCTACGGTACGGGACGTTGCTATGGGTACCAGTCTCTCCAAAGAGCCGGTGATACGGGGTATTATCAAGGGTTTCAAACAGCACGATCTTAAGAAGGGCCGCCTTCGGGCACCGGCCTGGGATCTTTCCCTGGTGTTGCAATCACTTACGGAAGCTCCGTATGAACCCTTGCATAGTGCTTCGTTCCGGCATGTGACTTGGAAAACAGCATTTCTCCTCTCCTTTGCCACGGCGGCACGTGTATCCGAAATTCATGCACTCGATGTCGCCAAGGTACGATTCGATAGGGGTGACGAAGGAGCGGTCCGCCTGGGCCTGCTCATGGGCTTCGTCGCCAAGAATCAGAGTCGGGCAAACGGAGAGAGAATTCACTGTAAGATCACTCAAAGAAATCTTACATCCTGCTGATACCGAGGACAGAGCGCTGTGTCCGGTTAGGGCCCTTAAGTATTATCTTAAGGCTTCGAATGAACGTAGACAAGGGCGTCACCGTCTGTTCATATCGTGTAACCCTAATCGCACGGTTGACATAACTCGCAACTCGATTGCGTTGTGGCTTCGTTCTGTCATCAATCTGGCGTACCGGTCTCGGGGGTTACCGGTAGCGGGGTCAAACCCGCACGAGATCAGGGCGCTAGCGGCAACATTTGCCCTACACTCGAATATCTCTGTTCGCAGAATATTACGAGGTTGTTACTGGCGTTCTGACTCGGTTTTTGCCAATCATTACCTCAAACAGGTCGCTGATGCCGTCGTGGAGAGTGTGCACCGTCTTGGCCCGCGGATCGCGGCGCAAGCGGGCACCTAAGGGGTGTGCCCAGCGCAATTCCGAACTCCTCAGGCGTCTGACCTTGCACGGTTGTCAATCTGGGTCGACTCCAATGTTCCCACTGCCGTGGGTACAGGAGTTGGGGTCCCGCAAACCAGCGCACTCACACCACAGGTGAGGGCGGCTTTTTGTGTGCTTTGTCCTTATTTGTATTTTGACAATTATGTCTTTAATTGTCTGTCATGTATCCCAACCTTGTGATGCATGCTTACAAATACTGGAATTAGGTCACGTGCCTAATGCATACTTTAAGTAGGCTTGCTCTGGGATATACGGTCTGAATGAAATTAATTTCCCTCTTTTCGACTGTTTAACCTGATCTAAGATTAAGCTCACGCGGATACAGTGTTCTCATCCGCTGCGGCGATGAAATACCTATCCAGTGGGGCCGTTGGCAATGACGATTGAGCCTTACGGTATGCGCTTGACAGTGCTTTGGTATTCCTATAGGGTAACGCCTAGCTAGGTGCATGCGCATCGAGTGCTTCCGCCTTGGTGTTTACTTCCGCTGGTCGGAAGGAACGCTAGCAGTCAGGATTCGGGTTGTAGGTGCTCCCCACCGCCTACTGTGGTAGTCAGCCTCAGTATAACAGTGGTAACGTATTACTTAATGTAATTTGTAGAATTTTCCTATTCGGAATATTCTATAAGTAATACGTTACCACTGGGCTGCTGCCCGCCCGTCTCGCAGGAGACAAGAGTGAAGGGTGTCACATGGCAGCTAGGTGGCTACGCACGTGCTGCATGAGGTAATTGAGATCTCTGTGGTAGATTTCGCTATAGCAGCAGTTGTGGGAGACAACAGCCTCGGTAAAACAGTGGTAACGTATTACTTATAGAATATTCCGAATAGGAATATCTACAAAATATTGTGATAAAACGAGTCTTACATCGTGAAGTGAATCAAATCACGTGAGCACCTTGATTAAAAACATGAAAAGATTTAGAAAGTATCTATTGACAACGAGTTAGCGGTCCACATGCTTTGCAAATCGTCCAATCAACCTAAGTCTGCATGACAGTTTACGAACCGGATTTCGATTTCCGAGCACAATTTTGATTGGACTATGCATAGACTCATTAGTCCAGCCAAAATGTAACTCCATAATACCAGCCTAGTTCGGCAAGGGCGGAAACTGGACTTTTATAGTCAGTTAACTCACTTGCCTCGGGAAGATGTCCTTCCAAATGGTTATTGGTGCGTGGTATGAAATTCAATTGTCCTGTTTATTGACCTTTAACACGAATCCGTCCTAACGGAGATACAGACCTCCGCTTGGCGTTGGAACGAACATATGACGTATCAGTTGATTTTCCATAGTTGAAAGTAATAGCGTCTCAAAATTATTTGGGATTTATACCCTAACAACCAAAGTGAGTAACGAATCATTCTGATCAGACTGATAATGACGTCTTAACAATGTGATTATTTATGACTGAAATGTTTATGCCATGCTATCTCCAACTTTCCTTTCAGTTTCACTCCGCCACAGAGCAGGAAGCCATGTGTAGGCCGCAACATCGAGGACAGCGATGCCGACCTCTATGCTGAATATCATGGCGACAGCTCATTCTCAGATTTCAACGAGTCCTCCGAGAGTCCATACACACGTAAGATGTGTGAACGATCACATAGATCTTCCAGTTCCTTCAGTGACGTCAAACCCGACCTCTCCAGCACCATCAACACCCAGTTCTCGTCCATAGAAAGCAGTCCAGGAGCTCGGTCAGCAGATGCATTCAGCTTCCAGGGGTTGTTTGAGGGTGTGTATGAAGAACATCGCCAACTGGTGGCCGAAGGAGGAACTAAGGAGATGAGGGAGAGGCAGCTGCACAGTGCACAAGAGACACAACATCTGCAGCTCCCCGAAGACTCCGCTCGGAACAGGAGCTGGAGTGCAGGTGAGCTACGATGTCTGTCTGTGTACAGGCTGTGAGTTGGTCCTTTTGTATGCAGCATGTCACAAAGTGAGCACCACCTGGTGAGACATGGACATTTGGATATCACACAAAACACGGTAACAATATCCAAAGAAAATAACTATCCTTTAAACCGTGTAATCATTTTCAACTTTGGAAAGAATAACTATCCACCAACATTCCAGTTTATACAGAAGGAGCTCACTGAATTTTATAAGCTAACAAAGTATACTTCTGTCATTAATTGTAATAAGCTTTGGTCAGACTTTCATTTCTGTGAATATATTGTCATGCAAAACAGTGTAAATGCTCTAGAAAACTAAACAAATTATATACAAAAATATTGTATGTAGTGGTCAGGAGTAGATAGAGCTGTCATGGTGGCCTGGCTGATATACTCACTGCCAAAAGAAACGGAACCATAGAAACATATAGAGACGTATGCACGTTAAGAAGAGAGGTTTCACATTGTGTACCAATTAATGACAAAACAAACAGTCAGTCAAATGTTACCACAGAGTGTCTTTATTCTTCCAACTCGGCATTAGTCCTGACTTGTACAAGTAGCCACACCCACAAGTGTCTACACATTGCTAATTAAATGCAATAATCTTGAATGTGATGTTAAACCCCCTTTCACCTCCCTTCCGCCCTCCCCCAGGTGACGCCCCCGGTGCCTCAGACCAGCAGGAAGACTACCCCCTCCTGTATGATGCCTCCACTGCAGTCTGGTGCCTCGCCTGTCAAGATGGATACATCGTGGCTGGCTGCGGCAACGGAAAAATTGAAGTATGTCGAGGACGTGGCTCCGCCCAGCTAGAGCTGTAACGATACGATACATGTCCAAACACTATGGTTGAGATACTATATGCCAAGGCTCGCTAAATACAATGTTTATTCCTAATACAGGATATTAACCATCCCCAGACACACGTGCATGATAACCTCTCGATATAGCATGGAATTCTTTCTGTTTTGATATTATTATACACAGAGAACAGTTTTGTCTTCATTTGAGAAGTACCTTTTGTTTAAGTTTAAGTTGAAATTCTGTACAGTTATCTGTGTACTGATACTCCTACTCATTCAATGAAGATCCGGGGTAGAAGAGGTCTTCAGCAACCCATGCTTGCCGTAAAAGGCGACTGCTTGTCGTAAGAGGCTACTAACGGGATCGAGTGGTCAGGCTCGCTGACTTGGTTGATGCAGGTCATCAATCCCAGTTTGTGTGGATCGATGCTCATGATGCCAATCACTGGATTGTCTGATCCGGACTCGATTATTTACAGACCGCCGTCATATAGCTGGAATGTTGGTGAGTGCGGCGTTAAACAACAAACAAACAAACAAACATTAAGTCTTTGTAGTTTGACATTACTGTGAGAGAGGCAGTGAAAATGCACATGAACAAGAAAATGAGAAAACATGTTGGAAACTCATAACATGCAGAATATATGAAGAGTGTATTACTGCAATCAAGGTCTTTCAAATAGTTTTGAAGACAAAAGCAACAATCTAGTAAGTTATGTATTTTTGTCAATGTTCGTATGTTCTGAAAGAGGTGTCATGTGACTGACGTGATACATTGGTTGGTAACCATGGTTACTCCTGCTACAGATCTGGGAGGCGGAGAGTGTGGTGCTGAAGGGCCAGTACGATGGAGGGAAGAGTGCTGTCATGGCGCTGTGTATCTCCGGGAAAAGGTTACTTTGACAATTATAATCTCTTAGTTCAGCATGATACTCGGAGTAGAACTGTCGGGAATCCGGGTACGAATATGTCCCCAGTAACCTACACTTGTCGTAACAGTCGACTAAATGGGTGGTCAGACTCAATACCTTTGTTTATCATTGTACCCCCACAGCGTGGAATGTTGCTCACAGTATCACTGGATTGTCTGGTCCAGATTTACAGGCTGACTCAGTAACTTGGTGATGTGGTGATTCGGTGTCATCATACTCCAATGGCATGGATCTTCCTCACAATATTAGTCTATTGTTTGTCTGATCCAGACTTGAATATTTACTAGCTGCAGTCATATAGCTGGAATATTGCTGAATGTGGTGCTAAACAAATATAAATACTTCATTGGGGAGATGCACTCTGTATGTTGACCAGATTGCCTCTGTGGTCTAGTCATGCAAGTGGTAGAGTGTCCGCCCGGAGTGTCCGGGGGTTTGATCCTCAGCCGCATCATACCAAATGATGTTAAAATATGGTACTTGTTGTTATCCTGTCTGGCGCTAGGCTTTAAGGGCTAAAACAAAGACCGGTCAGCTTAGAGTCAGTAGACTGTGTCTGAGTGGGGTATTCATGTTAAACTGCGGCATGGTATCTCAGTGAGCTGGCACTATAAATCGGCATCAGTCAGGACTAGTACAAGCAGCCACACACACACTAAAATGCACGCCGCTATATAAGTGCAATAATCTTGGGCTCGACGTTAAACCCAATTTCACCTCACCTCAGTGGGCTAGTGCTATAAACTCGGCATTGGTCCAGACCAGTACAAGCAGACACACACACGCGCACACACACAGGTGCATGCATGTCGCAATACAGGTGCAATTATCTCGAACGCGACATTAAACACCATTTTGTCATGGGAAGATAAAGTGTACAGCAGGAATGACAAGGCTTCTGTGTAAAAGGGTGTATCGATTAATGGAATTTCTCACTCTATTCACAGAATTGTTGCAGCACGTATCGATGGCACACTTGACTTCCTAGAAATTGAAACTTTTCTGAATCCTGTGACTTCCTGTGCTCTTCCTGTCTCGCCAACCAAACAGACGAGAGGTGATGTTGATGTTTATTGTTTCTCTGTTAAATATGTCGTAACTTGATCAACAGTACCATCAGCCGAAGTGACGTCCTGTTTATTGTTAATCAATCAAATACATAGTGACCTGGTAAACAATACTGTCACCAGACATGATGTCCTGTTTATCGTCACTCTATCATTTATATGGGGACCATCAGCCGAAGTGACGTCCTGTTTATTGTTAATCAATCAAATACACAGTGACCTGGTCAACAATACTGTCACCAGACATGATGTCCTGTTTATCGTCACTCTATCATTTATATGGGGACCATCAGCCGAAGTGACGTCCTGTTTATTGTTAATCAATCAAATACATAGTGACCTGGTCAACAATACTGTCACCAGACATGATGTCCTGTTTATCGTCACTCTATCATTTATATGGGGACCATCAGCAGAGGTGACGTCCTGTTTATTGTTAACCAATCAAATACATAGTGACCTGGTCAACAATACTGTCACCAGACATAATGTCCTCTTTATTGTCACTCTATCATTTATATGGCGACCATCAGCAGAGGTGACGTCCTGTTTACCATTCTCCAGCATAAGTAATGTCCTGTTTACCATTTCTCCAGCATACGTAATGTCCTGTTTACCATTTCTCCAGCATATGTAATGTCCTGTTTACCATTCTCCAGCATACGTAATGTCCTGTTTACCATTTCTCCAGCATATGTAATGTCCTGTTTACCATTTCTCCAGCATACGTAATGTCCTGTTTACCATTTCTCCAGCATATGTAATATCCTGATTAATGGTACAATCAATGTGGTTGAGACTTCTTTTGTTGCCATGGGAGTTCAAGCAATATTTACCTATTAGCAGCTGTTATCAACTCCCTCATCACTTGACACCCACATTGCAAAGACGACCACAATTTGAAGCAAGCATGTATTGTGATGTAATTCATGATCAGGTGATGGATCAAAAATGCACTTTGCCGAAAATGATTGTTGCTGAACAATTGCTGATTGTTGCTGATCAATTACTGATTGTTGCTGATCAATTACTGTTCCAGGTCATACCAGGGCCCTGAGCAGTGGCAGTGGTTTTACAGGGGAGATAAAGTTATGGGACAACATCCTCCATTGTACATGTATACAGAGTTACAGGGCACACCAGCAGCCCATCAATGTCCTCAAGTCAGAGGGATGTCGTGTAGTCACTGCCAGCCAAGACCACACACTCAAGGTAAGAATCTTTACAGAGTTATCGGACACACCAGCAGCCCATCGATGTCCTCAAGTCAGAGGGATGTCGTGTAGTCACTGCCAGCCAAGACCACACACTCAAGGTAAGAATCTTTACAGAGTTATCAGACACACCAGCAGCCCATCAATGTCCTCAAGTCAGAAGGACTTCGTGTAGTCACTGGCAGCCAAGACCACACACTCAAGGTAAGAATCTTTACAGAGTTATCGGGCACTCCAGCAGCCTATCAATGTCCTCAAGTCAGAGGGATGTCGTGTAGTCACTGCCAGCCAAGACCACACACTCAAGGTAAGAATCTTTACAGAGTTATCGGGCACACCAGCAGCCCATCAATGTCCTCAAGTCAGAGGGATGTCGTGTAGTCACTGCCAGCCAAGACCACACACTCAAGGTAAGAATCTTTACAGAGTTATCGGGCACACCAGCAGCCCATCAATGTCCTCAAGTCAGAGGGATGTCGTGTAGTCACTGCCAGCCAAGACCACACACTCAAGGTAAGAATCTTTACAGAGTTACTGGACACACCAGCAGCATATTAATGTCCTCAAGTCAGAGGGATGTCGTGTAGTCACTGCCAGCCAAGACCACACACTCAAGGTAAGAATCTTTACAGAGTTACTGGACACACCAGCAGCATATTAATGTCCTCAAGTCAGAGGGATGTCGTGTAGTCACTGCCAGCCAAGACCACACACACAAGGTAAGAATCTTTACACAGTTACTGGACACACCAGCAGCCCATCAGTGTCCTCAAGTCAGAGGGATGTCGTGTAGTCACTGCCAGCCAAGACCACACACTCAAGGTAAGAATCTTTACAGAGTTACTGGACACACCAGCAGCATATTAATGTCCTCAAGTCAGAGGGATGTCGTGTAGTCACTGCCAGCCAAGACCACACACTCAAGGTAAGAATCTTTACAGAGTTACTGGACACACCAGCAGCATATTAATGTCCTCAAGTCAGAGGGATGTCGTGTAGTCACTGCCAGCCAAGACCACACACTCAAGGTAAGAATCTTTACAGAGTTATCAGACACACCAGCAGCCCATCAATGTCCTCAAGTCAGAAGGACTTCGTGTAGTCACTGGCAGCCAAGACCACACACTCAAGGTAAGAATCTTTACAGAGTTATCGGGCACTCCAGCAGCCTATCAATGTCCTCAAGTCAGAGGGATGTCGTGTAGTCACTGCCAGCCAAGACCACACACTCAAGGTAAGAATCTTTACAGAGTTATCGGGCACACCAGCAGCCCATCAATGTCCTCAAGTCAGAGGGATGTCGTGTAGTCACTGCCAGCCAAGACCACACACTCAAGGTAAGAATCTTTACAGAGTTACTGGACACACCAGCAGCATATTAATGTCCTCAAGTCAGAGGGATGTCGTGTAGTCACTGCCAGCCAAGACCACACACTCAAGGTAAGAATCTTTACAGAGTTACTGGACACACCAGCAGCATATTAATGTCCTCAAGTCAGAGGGATGTCGTGTAGTCACTGCCAGCCAAGACCACACACACAAGGTAAGAATCTTTACACAGTTACTGGACACACCAGCAGCCCATCAGTGTCCTCAAGTCAGAGGGATGTCATGTAGTCACTGCCAGCCAAGACCACACACTCAAGGTAAGAATCTTTACAGAGTTACTGGACACACCAGCAGCATATTAATGTCCTCAAGTCAGAGGGATGTCGTGTAGTCACTGCCAGCCAAGACCACACACTCAAGGTAAGAATCTTTACAGAGTTACTGGACACACCAGCAGCATATTAATGTCCTCAAGTCAGAGGGATGTCGTGTAGTCACTGCCAGCCAAGACCACACACTCAAGGTAAGAATCTTTACAGAGTTATCGGGCACACCAGCAGCCCATCAATGTCCTCAAGTCAGAAGGACTTCGTGTAGTCACTGGCAGCCAAGACCACACACTCAAGGTAAGAATCTTTACAGAGTTATCGGACACTCCAGCAGCCCATCAATGTCCTCAAGTCAGAGGGATTTTGTGTTGTCACTGGCAGCCAAGACCACACACTCAAGGTAAGAATCTTTACAGAGTTATCGGGCACACCAGCAGCCCATCAATGTCCTCAAGTCAGAGGGATTTTGTGTTGTCACTGCCAGCCAAGACCACACACTCAAGGTAAGAATCTTTACAGAGTTATCGGGCACACCAGCAGCCCATCAATGTCCTCAAGTCAGAGGGATGTCGTGTAGTCACTGCCAGCCAAGACCACACACTCAAGGTAAGAATCTTTACAGAGTTATCGGGCACACCAGCAGCCCATCAATGTCCTCAAGTCAGAGGGATGTCGTGTAGTCACTGCCAGCCAAGACCACACACTCAAGGTAAGAATCTTTACAGAGTTATCGGGCACACCAGCAGCATATCAATGTCCTCAAGTCAGAGGGATGTCGTGTAGTCACTGGCAGCCAAGACCACACACTCAAGGTAAGAATCTTTACAGAGTTATCGGGCACACCAGCAGCATATCAATGTCCTCAAGTCAGAGGGATGTCGTGTAGTCACTGCCAGCCAAGACCACACACTCAAGGTAAGAATCTTTACAGAGTTATCGGGCACACCAGCAGCATATCAATGTCCTCAAGTCAGAGGGATGTCGTGTAGTCACTGCCAGCCAAGACCACACACTCAAGGTTAGAATCTTTACAGAGTTATCAGGCACACCAGCAGCCCATCAATGTCCTCAAGTCAGAAGGACTTCGTGTAGTCACTGCCAGCCAAGACCACACACTCAAGGTAAGAATCTTTACAGAGTTATCGGGCACACCAGCAGCCCATCAATGTCCTCAAGTCAGAAGGACTTCGTGTAGTCACTGCCAGCCAAGACCACACACTCAAGGTAAGAATCTTTACAGAGTTATCGGGCACACCAGCAGCCCATCAATGTCCTCAAGTCAGAGGGATGTCGTGTAGTCACTGCCAGCCAAGACCACACACTCAAGGTAAGAATCTTTACAGAGTTATCAGGCACACCAGCAGCCCATCAATGTCCTCAAGTCAGAGGGATGTCGTGTAGTCACTGCCAGCCAAGACCACACACCTTTAAAGATACAATGTGTGAAGGTATTGCCAAAATATTGCTAAAAGACTAGTACCAGCATTGGAAACTAACAGTTTTAGCCCCCTAGTCGTTATAGTCCTTATAGCAAAAACCTTAAAGAGCGCAAATGTCTACTTGTCCTTGGGATACCTCAACTATTGGGCAGTTTGGCAAGGACTACAGGACTGGGGCCAATTTCTAATGCTGAGAACCCTGCTAATTCCCTCGCTCTGGTTGCAGGTGTTCCGTCAAGAGGACTGCCTGTGTCTCTATACCCTCCACGGACATGTCGGCAGCGTCACCGCCCTCTGTCTAGACAAGGTAACCCAACACAGTACTGGAAATCATGAAATTAATAAGTCTCCAAATTAATGCAAAATTAACCTTTTGATGAGATATTTGACATATATATATTTTTACTTTTTTCATTTTGTGCACATAGTTAAAATGACAGGGGTATCAATGACAATGTCTTCCTGTTGTTTCAATCTCTGATTCACCTGCCCAAGAATGAATTGTTTACAGGATGCCATGATGTAGCTGTAAATTTGCTGACTGCAGCATTAAACAGCAGTCACTCACTCACTCACTCTCTCCCTCACTCACACTCTCAAAACACACTTGCTCACTCACTAAAAACCCACTCACTCTCTCCAAACCCACTCACTTATGACTCACTCACTCTCTCAAAACCCACTCACTCACTCACTAAAAACCCACTCACTCACTCACTCAAAACACACTCACTCACTGTCTCAAAATTCACTCACTCTCTCAAAACCCACTCACTCACTCTCTCAAAACCCACTCACTTATGACTCACTCACTCATTCAAAACTCACTTTCTCTCACTCTTTCATCCATTCACTCATTCACTCACTCACGCACTCACTCACTCACTCACTCACTCACTCACTCACTCACACGTCTATCCTGCCACCACAGGGCCCACCCAACGCTGCCGTCAGTGGCTCCGTCGACGGGGACATTCGAGTGTGGGAGCTCCTCACTGGGATGTGCATACACAAGTTCAAGGGTCATGACGGAGCCGTGACTGCCCTGGACTGTACCGCCAGCTACATTGTCAGTCTGGGCCTGGATGATAGACTTTCTGTGTGGGAGAGGAACAGGGGCCACCCTCTGCACTACCTGGACATGGTGAGACACCTGTATACATGACTGAGGCATATAGGGAGGGAGGGAGTGAGCAGGTGGGGAGGAGTTGGTGGGGAAGGAGGGTGAGAGTGTAGAGGGAGTGGGTGAGGAAAGAGTGGATGGGGAAGGAGGGTGTGAGTGTAGAGGGAGTGGATGAGTGTAGAGGGAGTGGGGAAGGAGAGGGAAAGTGTGAGTGTAGAGGGAGTGGGGGAGGAGAGAGCGGGTGGGGAGGGAGGGTGTGAGTGTAGAGGGAGTGGGTGGGGAGGGAGGGTGTGAGTGTAGAGGGAGTGGGTGAGGAAAGAGTGGGTGGGGAGGGAGGGTGTGAGTGTAGAGGGGGTTGGTGAGGAGAGAGCGGGTGGGGAGGGAGGGAGTGGGTGGGGAGGGAGGGTGTGAGTGTAGAGGGAGTGGGGGAGGAGAAAGTGGGTGGATGAGGGAGGGTGTGAGTGTAGAGGGAGTGGGTGGGGAGGGAGGGTGTGAGTGTAGAGGGAGTGGGTGGGGAAAGAGTGGGTGGGGAGGGAGGGTGTGAGTGTAGAGGGGGTGGGTGAGGGTTGAGGTACGTGTGTGTGTTGTCTGTGCAGGAGGGGTGATGTACGTGTGTGTGTTGTCTTTGCAGGAGGGGTGATGTACGTGTGTGTGTTGTCTTTGCAGGAGGGGTGATGTACATGTGTGTGTTGTCTGTGCAGGAGGGGTGATGTACATGTGTGTGTTGTCTGTGCAGGAGGGGTGATGTACGTGTGTGTGTTGTCTGTGCAGGAGGGGTGATGTACATGTGTGTGTTGTCTGTGCAGGAGGGGTGATGTACATGTGTGTGTTGTCTGTGCAGGAGGGGTGATGTACATGTGTGTGTTGTCTGTGCAGGAGGGGTGATGTACATGTGTGTGTTGTCTGTGCAGGAGGGGTGATGTACATGTGTGTGTTGTCTGTGCAGGAGGGGTGATGTACATGTGTGTGTTGTCTGTGCAGGAGGGGTGATGTACATGTGTGTGTTGTCTGTGCAGGAGGGGTGATGTACATGTGTGTCTTGTCTGTGTAGGAGGGGTGATGTACATGTGTGTGTTGTCTGTGCAGGAGGGGTGATGTACATGTGTGTGTTGTCTGTGCAGGAGGGGTGATGTACATGTGTGTGTTGTCTGTGCAGGAGGGGTGATGTACATGTGTGTGTTGTCTGTGCAGGAGGGGTGATGTACATGTGTGTGTTGTCTGTGCAGGAGGGGTGATGTACATGTGTGTGTTGTCTGTGCAGGAGGGGTGATGTACATGTGTGTGTTGTCTGTGCAGGAGGGGTGATGTACATGTGTGTGTTGTCTGTGCAGGAGGGGTGATGTACATGTGTGTCTTGTCTGTGCAGGAGGGGGCCTACAGCAGCTGCCTGACATTTCTCACTGCCAACCTGCTGGTGACCGGGGGACAGGTAAGTTACACCAACTACTTCCACATGTGGAAAATCCCAACTATCTAAATATAGAATGATGTGTTCCAACCAATCAGATCTTCTTTAAATATGTCATATGGAAAACAATTGTTAAATATAGAATGACTTGTTGAATCAATCAGATCTTCTTTGGTAGGTAATATGGAAAACCCAATTGCACAATATAAAATCACCTGTTCTAACCTATCAGATCTTCTTTAAATAGGCCATATGGAAAACCCAATTGCTAAAAATAGAATGACCTGTTTTTAACTTGTCAGATCTTCTTCAAGTAGGTCATACGGAAAACAATTGTTAAATATAGAATGACCTGTTTTAACCAATCAGATCTTCTTTAAATAGGCCATATGGAAAACCCAATTGCTAAAAATAGAATGACCTGTTTTAACCAATCAGATCTTCTCTGAGTGTGTCATATGACCAATGATAACTCTGGAATCTGTTGTTAAGTACATTCAAATAAAGATACTGAATAATACTCTCCTGCTTCAGTTTGCTCTACAAACATTGCAGCCTCAGAGAAGTATCATGCTATATTTCCTTGCTCGACAACAGTATAAAGAGCTATTCCAAAATGTCACCTTTACTGTAAATAATGAACTTGTTATCCATACATTGTGTCTACTTTATATTTCCTTATCACATTGACACCGCCTCCGTGGTCTAGTGGTAGAGCGTCCGCACAGAGAGCGGAAGGTCCGGGGTTCGATCCCCGGCCACGTCATACCAAAAGATGGTACTTGTTGTTACCCTGTCTGGCGCTCGGCATTAAGGGGTTAAAACAAGGACTGGTCGGCTCGGAGTCAGTATACTGTGTTTGAGTGAGGTATTCATGTTAAACTGCAGCATGGTATCTCAGTGAGCTGGCACTATAAATCGGCATTAGTCCGGACTAGTACAAGCAGCCACACAGACACACACGTACAAGCATGTAAGTGCAATAATCTTGGACGCGACGTTAAACCCCATTTCACCTCACCTTATTACATTGAACTCCACATGGGGATGTGCTGTGTGTACAGAGAATGAGGACGGTCCAACTGATTCATGTCCTTTCTAGGGCCACGGGTGGCCCAGTCGTCTTACGCACCGCGATTCGCTGTGCAGAGATGCATCCCTTGGGCACGCCAGAAACCTATGATTGTGGGTTCAAATCCCAGTTTGACCCGATTATGTTTCTATGTTTGTCAGCCCCATACCGTGCGCATGGGTTTCACCGAAGTGGTAAAAGCCTAAGACCTGCATCACTTCGGGCTTTCCTCCCACATTAAGCTGACACGCAGCGATATAATTGGAATACTGTTAAAAGCAGCATTAAACCCAACACACTCACTCACTCTCTGTTCCAGGGCTGCCTGTATCTCTGGGACATCTCTAAGGGGGAGTTGATGAGGAGGATCGGACTGGAAGATTCAGAGCAAGCCTCCCTAGTCAGCCATCTGGAGGTGGTCGGCAACATGGGCGTTGTCTGCGACTGTGGTGTCGACCTGAAAGTCATCCAGTTCCCCACCATCCTAGAAAAGTTTGAGTAGTCGAACGTTCACTTCGATATGTAGGTCAGTCAGATACATCATCGGTGCAGTGCATCGAGTGGAGGAAGTCATGACACACTGACATGAAGGAAGTTGTCTACTTTGGGATCACATGATCAATATGGTCACTTCAGATGTTGGTAAAGTCAAATCAGTGTTTCTGTTTGCCTGGTGTAACTTGAATCAGATTCCTTAAATCGAGCAATGTGTATTGGACATTATGTTTATCCAGTATCCAAAGCATCTAGTTACCATAGTTACCACCTCAATGACATATTTCCTCTCCGAGAAGATACGAAAATTGCTTTGTTTGATGGCAGCTACGGAGTTTGACACAGGGGAGGATGTACAGTTCCCAACCGTTTGACATTTACATGACATTCACTCATTGTGCAACCTTGCGATAGTTATGAAAGTCACAATATTATGAACAGATACCTATCCATTGTCTGTTCTTTCATATCAGTCCCCAAACATGCATTTGTACATAGGCTACTCTACCCCTCCCACCCCTCCCATGAAGTTGTTTTTTGCTCTCTCCCATTTTTAACTTGCTCACCGGGGGCCCAGTCGCCTAGGGCACCGCAATTTGCTGTTCAGAGTTGTGTCCCTTGGGCACGCCAGAAACCTACGATTGTGGGTTCGAATCCCGGTTCGCCCTGATTATGTTTCTAGGTTTGTCAGCACCATACCCGTGCTCCTGGGTTTCACCGAAGTGGTCAACGTCTGAGACCTGCATCACTTCAGGCTTTCCTCCCACATTAAGCTGACACGCCATGATATAACTGGAATACTGTTAAAAGCAATGTTTAACCCAACTCATTCACTCACTCACTTAACTTGCTCACCAAACCTATGAAAGAAGGAAAGGTTCATTACCGGGATGCTATGATTGCTTGATGTCGGTGATATTCCCCAAGCCCTGCTGTGAGTTTGGTGGTCGACAGGGTTGCTTCCCTTGCATCAGGTCCAGGTTCAATGCCAACAATGGTAGTATGTCACCTCATGTCTGCAGTGTTGGTGAGGGCAGCACGACACAAAACAGCCCCCCTTGTTCTACAGCACCAGATGGGAGGAGTATTGGAGAGGAAATATGGTATAAATTATTGATAACATTAGGGCTGGGACGAGTCAAAATGTACTACCCGACCCCCTGTCACCTGATCCTACCCAGGTACACGCTGTAGGTCTCAAGAGTTTGGAACAAAATGTGGGATTGGAAATTTGCTTTACCGCAGCCCTAGCCAAAACTTTTTAGATACATTTATCAAATGATCAGATGCGTTCACTGAAGTTGACTGTAGCTTTATCTTAACTCAAGCATATACAAGTCAAAAGGAATGTGTGCATCGTCAGATCAAATGCAAACATTAGCGACTTACGTGTAAACACTGAGTTATGGTGCGTTTTTGTCAGTAAACAATATATCACGTGACTAACTACGGATCCAGGTAGTCCTGTGGGTACATGGTCCTACTCAGTACCCGAGTTACCCATCCCAGCCCTTTTTACCTATGTGTGGTATTTCAAGTACAAATACTGCCTATTGATGTCTAACGACAATCAGTATTGAAACTAGTGGTGGGACAATACACTGATGCATTGATGGATCGCGAGTGTTTACTTCTCGCTACAAGTACCGATCACAGTCGCACACTCAGTAAAATAGTGTTTGCTTTAATACCTGTTACACCAAACACTAATTAGTAGGGAGAAAAGTAGTTGTGAAAAGAACTTTCATCCATTGTGCCATACTTGACACTGCCAACTTAATTGTCAATTGGGGGCATGGGTGGCCCAGTCGTCTAAGGCGCCGTGATTCGCTGTGCAGAGTTACGTCCCTTGGGCACGCCAGAAACTTATGATTGTGGGTTCGAATCCCGGTTTGCCCCAATTATGTTTCTAGGTTTGTCAACACCATACCCATGATCGTGGGTTTCACCAAAGTGGTAAACGTCTGAGACCTGCATCACTTTGGGCTTTACTCCCACATTAAGCTGACACGCCATGATATAACTGGAATATTGTTAAAAGCGGCGTTAAACCCAACTCACTCACTCACCATTTCTCATGGATGTAAGCCACCTGATAACTGTGCCTTTGTGTGTACAGCCAGCCAGATATGAGGTCTAAGCTACGTCTCCCCGACAGTATATTTGCACCCAACTCACTCACTCACTCACTCACCAACTGTCAATGTGCCAGGTATTTGGCCATCCTGTTTATGAAAATGATGGCTTACGCACCATAGGTAAGAGCACATGCGAGTATGGTTATATGTATCGGATTGTGAGCAAGGTGTCGTGATACATATCGGATCGACAGTTAGTGTATTGTCCCAGCCCTAATTGAAACTAAATAAAAAGCATTTCACGAAATTGATACAAATATTAGGTAGAGTGTCAATCATTTGATACAAATAATAGAACATTATTGCATATAAACTGTCAGGTATGTAGTGAATGATTAACAGCATTACTTTCGTAATTCGTTCGAATGTTAGCCTACCCCTCTGTGTAGTAAAACACATATTTTCCACTACAAGACAAAATATTGAAATTGTAATGTGAAGTACACTTTTCTATTTTTCTGAAAAGAATTAGCCAGTGCTAATGATTAAGACGTCTTTCCCTGAGAATCATCGCTTTAATTTTTAGGCCTTGTTTGTTTCCAGAAATATTTTATGTGATCAAACTCAGAAAATCCAAGTGTAATTTCCATGTAGGTTCAATGGCTACCTTCTGATTTCAGTCCCTGAATAGACCCTGTGCTCTCTATTTTTCTACGAAATCATTACCGTATTTTCTTGAGTATAGTGTGCACTTTTTTTCCAAAACCACAGAAGGGGGTGCGCATTATACATGGGTGCGCACTATTCTCAAGAAAATAATGGTAGATCCCATCTAATTCTCATGGGGGGCACGGGTGGCCCAGTCGTCTAAGGCGCCGTGATTTGCTGTGCAGAGTTGCGACCCTTGAACATGCCAGAAACCTATGATTGTGGGTTCAAATCCTGGTTGCCCCGATTATGTTTCTAGGTTTGTCAGCACCATACCCGTGATCGTGGGTTTCACCGAACAGGTAAACGTCTGAGACCTGCATCACTTCGGGCTTTCCTCCCACATTAAGCTGACACACCATGATATAACTGGAATATTGTTAAAAGCGGCGTTAAACCCAACTCACTCACTCACTATTTCTATGGATGTAAGCCACCTGATGACTGTGCCTTTTGTGTGTACAGCCAGCCAGATATGAGATCTAAGCTACGTCTCCCCGACAGTATATTTGCACTGGGTTTGTCCATTTATTGTCTCACCAGAAACCGAACTTGATTTCTGTCATCCCTCGAGCTCATTTCACTGGCTTATATTTGAGACTGGCTGGCATGACGAGATTGTCTTCCAGATCTGAAGTCTCTCCTGTGACCTTTTGATTGTGTCTAGTTATGCATCGTCAATACTTCACAGGTTTGTATACACTACCTTCTTTGCTCGTCACGCCGAAGACCCGGGTTCAATTCCCGACATGGGTACAATGTGTGAAGCCCATTTCTGGCGTCCCCCGCCGTGATATTGCTAAAAGCGGCGTAAAACCATACTCACTCACTCACTCTTCCATCACCTGTTAATACATACAGCCGCTTTGCAGTGTGGTCCCTATTTTTCCCAATAAGTCGAAACCATGTTCCTGGGGGATCGAGGAAGTGTACAAACGCATGTCCCCAGGGGATCGAGGAAGTGTACAAACGTGTGGTCTCGGGGGATTGAGGAAGTGTACAAACGCATGTCCCCAGGGGATCGAGGAAGTGTACAAACGTGTGGTCTCGGGGGGATTGAGGAAGTGTACAAACGCATGGTCCCGGGGGATTGAGGAAGTGTACAAACGCATGTCCCCAGGGGATCGAGGAAGTGTACAAACGCGTGTTCCCGGGGGATCGAGGAAGTGTACAAACGCGTGTTCCTGGGGGATCGAGGAAGTGTACAAACGCGTGTTCCCGGGGGATCTAGGAAGTGTACAAACGCTTGTTCCCAGGGGATAGAATAGGTGTACAAACGTAAGTGTTCCCAGGCAATGGAGTAAGTGTACAAAAGTGAGTGTTTCCAGGCGACAGAGTAAGTGTATAATCGCGTGTGTATCCAGGCGACAGAGTAAATGTACAAACGTGTGAGTTCCCTGGCGATAGAGTAAGTGTAAACGTGTGTGCATCCAGGCGACAGAGTAAGTGTACAATTGTGTGAAGTGTTGATGATGCTGGTCTTCCCACTGTTCATCCCACTCCACTGTAGAGCAGCATGCTGCTATTGTTACAGCTTTCATTGTTATCTTGTTTGTGGCTGTCATTGGCTGGAATGGAATGTATTGATATGATGACATCTTGTTTTACTCATATATACTACTCAAAAGAAGTGAAGAACACCCAAAATTTTAACATCTTTTGAGTAGTATGTTTAGGGATGAAATACATTATTTATCTCATTTGAAATATCACGTTTGCAGGAGTTGCTTCCAGTCAGTGTCAATGGCACTATGGTTTTCTAAGTTTGGTAAGAAAATACATGTGTTTTATGCTGATAAATACGCATTAGCAGCACTGATGATTTTTGAGCTGTGCCACACATAAAAAGATCCAAATATCTTCCATGTTTAATACATCCACTAATGAACCTGATCAGGAAGTAAAAGAAAAAATAGGCTCGCTATTAAGCCGTTAAAGATTTCAATCATTGTTAGACATTTTCAATTGTTATATTGCTAATTATTAATCTTAAGAATGTGTACAAGTAATTTTTGTTGAACAAATTGTTGGCAAAGGTTTGCCAATATTCTAATGGTTATGTCATTGTTTTTCTCATCCCCTTGCTTGTATCAGTGGACCCAATCGGTCAATGACAGCCCGATCTTATGTTAAACACACCCACCAATTTTGTTACTGTTGTTTTCCATCTTTGTAGATCTCAAGCAACTTGTTAGTGAATATTGCATTGAACGTATGTTGAAGAACCTCAATGTCAAAACCTGAGCAATATCATTACAATCAGATCTTAGTGCTCGCTACTGCTACAAAAAGGTCTGAGGATATCCTTTCATCCATTCAATCAGAGCATTGCTTATGCTATAGGGAAAGTCCAAATGTGCGTGACCTCTAAGAGATTCAGTAGGTCAAGGGGCGGTCAGGTAGCCTAGTGGTTAAAGCGTTCGCTCGTCACGCCGAAGACCAGGGTTTGATTCCAGACATGGGTACAATATATGACGCCCATTTCTGGTGTCCCCCGCCGTGATATTCCTGGAATATTGCTAAAAGCGGTGAAAAACAACAAACCAATATCAGTAGGTCAAAAATGTCATCTATATCTTGCTTCAATGGGATAAACATTTGAAATGGTTGTGTAAAATTCTATTTCACATTCCAGAATTATCATTTGTTAAGTTTGAAAATTTTGAATTGAGAACTTGAGGACAAAATATGTTTTAAAGTGTATAGTCTGGAATGGAAGTCACCATTTGAAACTCAAAACGTAAAGCTTGAGAAAGCTGCTTTCTGATTGGCTAACATCGACTTCCTGTTAGTCATTTGATTGATTGTTTAAAGTTCATGAGATGTCATTCTCAAGTGGCCTGTAATGTGATGTCTTCAGATCATGGGGGGGGGTGCATGGGTGGCCTAGTCGTGTAAGGCTCCACGATTCGCTGTGCAGATTTCCCCATGGGCAGGCCAGGAACCTACGATTGTGGGTTCGAATCCCAGTTTGCCCTGATTATGTTTCTAGGTTTGTCAGCACCATACCCGTACTCGTAGGTTTCACCGAAGTGGTAAACATCTGAGACCTGCATCACTTTGGGCTTTCCTCCAACAGTAAGCTGACACCATGTGATATAACTGAAATTCTGATAAAAGCGCCGTTAAACCCAACTCACTCACACTTCAGATCATGTGTAGCGGTAGAGAGCAATAAGATCTGATTTTAATGAGACTAAAAGCTGGGATGTGTTCAAATAGATTCCATGACATTTGTACCATTGGTATCAGTAGGTGTGAAAGGATACACATGAGATACACACGACTTACACACGACTTACACACACAGATACTCACCACATACACACGAGATACACACAAGATACACACGACATACACATGAGATACTCACGAGATACACAAGAGATACACCGCCTCTGTGGTCTTGTGGTAGAGCGTCTGACCGGAGATCGATCAATCCCCGGACGCGTCATACCAAAAGACGTTAAAAGATGGTACATGTTGTTACCCTGTCTGGCGCTTGGCATTAAGGGCTAAAACAAGGACTGGTCGGCTCAGAGTCAGTATACTGTGTCTGAGTGGGGTATTCATGTTAAACTGCGGCATGGTATCTCAGTGGGCTAGCACTATAATTCGGCATCAGTCCGGACTAGTACAAGCAGCCACACAAACACACACACGTACATGCACGTCGCTGTATAAGTGCAATAATCTTGGACGCGATGTTAAACCCCATTTCACCTCACCACAAGAGATACACATATCAGGATAACCAATTCAAGGGAAACTGTGGATATCTTTTGATTTTGTGATATATTTTTTTCAGTAGAAATCAGTTTGGAAATAAACATGTGTTTTCAGATATTTGGTTGTAATTGTGTACTTAATGTCAGGAGATTTCATTTGGAACCAATGGTGCTAACTGGAGGATTCAAATATCACAATTTTCAGGCATTTAATACTCAATAACAGCCAATAGTCTAAAAATATGTTTATCATTATTTTAAAATGCAAAAGTTATCAGTAATTTTCTGTAACCACTTCCAATTCTAACAGGTGAGACAGACATGGCTAAAACATGACGCTATAAAATCATTGAATTCTTCAAACTGAACCTGAACATATTTCAACTGAATTGTAAGTGAATGAAAAAAGTTAAAAACAGGTTTTAGACCTGAAAAGTGATTGAATTTTGACCTCCCAGATCAAAAACTAAAAAATACCGTTTTTGGAATATGAAAGATTTATGAAACTTATTTCTGTTTTAAAATATGTTGTACTATGAAGTTTGATATTTAGGTGAACTGGGGAGTCATTTCAGCCCTGAAAACAAAGTCATACTTTTACACATCTCATACCGCTATTAGCTATTCAGAACTTGATGTTTAAGCGACTCACCATTATATATTCCTAAGGGACCTAGGAGTGTTGTTAGACGGAATATTATTTTGGTCACTGCCGCAAGACACAGGATGTTTTCCTTGGAAAAGAGAAGCCGAATTCTTTTTTTCGCAGGACCTACAGCAAAAGTGTGTGGATGCATGTCACTGTGTGTGTGTGTATGTGTGTATTTGCATCTACATGTGTGCATGAATCCTTGTCTGTGTCTGTCTATTTTTTCTAATATTTTGTAACCTCACCTGCTGACCAATGAACATTTTATCATCAATCCAGGGAAGACAAAATATGTTAAAATAACACATTACCTGTTATTGGTTGATATAGAAATATGTGGGCAGAGATGGTTTGTGATTTTCGGGTGAAACTGCTTTACCATGTCTATATCAACTTACCAATATTGGCAGCTAAAAATACAATTAAAGGTTTATAAAAATAGGTTTTCGTAGTTTCTCAAATATCCTATTTTCAGTTCAGAGGGACACCATGATAAGTCCTGTACACTTAGATTGACCATATCCCTGCCTTCATTCCAAGAAAGCGTCCTTGATCAGGTGTTCACAAAGGAGTGGTCCGAAAATACCTTCTCTTAACCACAATCTGTTCCCTGAAGTGTTCATTCCTTTCTGTGTTCTCTTATGCATTCAATAATATACTACTCAAAAGAATTGACAGAAAACCTGATTCTTCATAAATCATGGCATGACATTAACTGTAGTAAATTGAAAGAACTCCATGCACTATCCCATTTTCTTCTTTACCCCTCTTCTGAAGACATAAAATTTAGGGATTATGTAATCTGATTGGGTACTTGTTCATAAAATCAAAACATTCAAATACAAGATATTCAATATTAGGGATGTCACGATTCACTGATTGTACCGATTCTCACGATACGATACGAGATAATGTAAATATATATCGGTACGAAATTTTATTGAAATCGGTATCCATTTGTTCACGTATCGTTTGATTTTTCTTTTTGTATCGAAATGTCATATTTTCGGAATTTGACACATACGAAAACTTGTTAGTGTCTGACACTTGTTTGAATAAACAGAATCAACCTTTTCTAAGTATTATTATTTTACAAAATAATCTACTGAGAGTGATTAGAACACATAATTGTGAATGTGATATGTAATTAAAACATTTGCTTCTAAATTTATGCATTAAAGGCCCGGTTTGCTGTATCAAGATACGTATCGTATCTTGACCTCAAAATCGAGATACGTATCGTATCGTGAGGTACCTGTATCGTGACACCCCTATTCAATATTGAGCTGTTACTTCTGTTTTCCATGAAGAATTATCTCCCTTCCTTCATACTTATCAAAAAGAGACAAAATAAATATTGACATCAGACAAAGCACAACTTAGGAATCTTCTACATGCATAATTTGATGTGTGTAATCTGAAAGAACACGAGGTTGAGGTTCAGAAAATATTGATCATGGAACGTATGTTGTATAATGCTTTAAGGATTTTACATTATTTTCTGACGTATCCATCCACCAGATTTGATTAGATGTGTGTACATATCAGTAACCTGCTTATCATTATCACAGAAGGCACAATGTTACCTGCACGTGTAATTTATCTTTGCCTTGTACTAGTCTGTCATTCTGATTGTTATTTTCTTTGAGAGGTATTTAGAAGTTGGAGAGTAAGTAAGGATAAGATATATGGATGAACAACTTCTTTATTAGAATTAGGAGCGACGTTTCGGTGTAGGTTCTAACACCGTTATCAAGCAAGTGATGTACAGAGTATGGTTGACAAGTATATATACAGGAAAGGAGGCAGTGTTTATACAGTGGAGTAGGTTTAAGATGCAGTTACTCTGGAGTGGAGAAGGTCCTAATTGTAATAAAGAAGTTGTTCATCCATATATCTTTTCCTTACTTATTCTGATTGTTATTTATAGACTTGATAGATCTTATATCAAGCAATCATCTCCAGATCGGTTATGACATCCATCATGGAAATAGAGAAGCATGTTTTATAACTTATGCTATTTATTAATTCTGTTTAATAGTTAAATATTTATTTGAGTTACTTAGAAAAAAGTACTCTTTTCTATACAATTTTAGTTTGTTATTTTGGGTGACATTTTAATAAAAAATAATTCCAAGGATAACTATTGAATACAGAGTATTTTGTTAGAGTGTACATAAATATTGCCCCCACACATGCAGCCAGCCAGTCATGGTCCAGTCACAAAGGAGACAGCGGACGAACAATAGGTTTTATTGGTTTATTTTTACTGTGACAGTATTGAAGTGTATTATCATACAGAGATCCTGAGGTTGTGTGTGCACACACACACCCTCTTTTAGCATACTAATCATGTTGACGTATAAAAAATATACAATTAAATCATTTGGTAACATATTTAACAAAAATGTTAATAATTATCATTATATAATATATATATATTGGTTCTAAATGTTGTAACGATTCCGCCCAAATCATGATTGGCATATCTGGTATTAGATGCTATTACTAGAGGAAGAAACCTTACTACACTTAGTCTTTGGACCATTGATTACAGCTGTAGACTGGACCTAGGATTTGGTCGGACCATGTTGTGGGGGATTTTGTCATCTGCTGTACATAATGGCTGCAATATCACATGTGTACATGTTGAAGTGTCAGACAGATCACGAATCATATGAACATGTATATTTTGTATGGATGTTTGTGTATTACGAATGTTTGATCAAAGTCATGTCTATATTTCTCTGTAAAATAAACCTTTTGAAAACAAATGCCATGAAGTTTTAAGTGTTTTGTGAACAGGTAATTTGACAGAGTATTGAGACATTATACATTGTTCAGTCATTGGAATACCAATATTGAAAAGGATTCCAGCACTTCTCCGATTGGGTTGGTTGGTTGGTTTGTTGTTTAACGCCGCACTCAGCAATATTCCAGCTATATGACGGCGGTCTGTAAATAATCGAGTCTGGACAAGACAATCCAGTGATTAATATCATGAGCATCGATCCACGCAATTGGGATCGATGACATGCATCAACCAAGTCAGCGAGCCTGACCAACCAATCCCGTTAATCGCTTTTTACGACAAGCATAGTCGCCTTTTACGGCAAGCATGGGTTGCTGAAGATCTATTCTACCCAAGATCTTCACGGGTCTCTCTGACTGTGTAAAAAACACTGAGATATCCAAACCACATAATACCTTTACCACCTGTAAAATCATCAGGACAAACCTGACGAAGAAAGGCACCAATGCCTGTTAATTACAATTTGGTAAGCTAACATGAGGTAGGCATGCTGAAAGAAAACTAAGCAAGCTTTGCAAGGCTTTCGTTCTACACCACACGTCACCATTATGACGTCATATTGCGCATTGTGACGCAAAAGATATGTCGTCACAGTAGCACCAAATTCCGAGCTCTTGGTTGTCTCCAAAACGTAAATACATTCCCTTTGTAGATTTCTATCGTGTTTCCTGCACAAAATGTATTGCCACACATCCTTTGAATATGGTAGTAACCGTATCTCTGCATTTTTTAACCTGCAATTGTAGATATAACCATGTAGTCGGTCACCATGACCCAAGAGAATAAATTCAAAAATATCCAAATTCAAGTCTAGATTGATTTGGCAAGTCTAGACTGCCTCAGCTTTAATCATTGTTCTTGGCTTCTTTTGGATTTGTTTTGGATTTTTGTAGATATATATTTTCAAATTAGAGAACTTATTTCTGGGACTAAACATTAGTCTATGAACCATGCTGAGGTAACTGATGGTTATTGAAATTTCTGATGTTTTTGGTTTGGTTTGGTTTGGTTTGTTGTTTAACGCAACACTCAGCAATATTACAGCTATATGACAGTGAGCCTGACCACCCGATCCCGTTAGTCGCCTTTTACGACAAGCATAGTCGCTTTTTACAGCAAGCATGGGTTGCTGAAGACCTATTCTACCCCGGAATCTTCATTTCTGATGTGACTCTGTGAATAGTAATTCAATGGCATGGTGCTTTTACTCCTGCTGTCCATCCCTGCTTTGTCTGGTCCAGACGAAATCATCTACAGTTCTTTATGACACCAATATCGCCAACACCATTCAACAACATTCACTCATTACAAACTGGCACAAGTTGTTTAATAAAACCTGGAGTTAAGTAGCCAAGAAAAGTAAGAAATAACTAATTTGGTGAATAAAGGTTTATTTCTTTAATAAATATCACAAATGCATAATATCATTCACTCATTCAAATGGAAGAATGAAATTGAAAACAAACCCTGAATTGTGTAACAAAACAAACAAATAATATCACAAAACATATATACCTCTTTCAGTGTGCATAAGGATAAATATATTTATTCTGGAGAAAGAATAATTACTTTTGGCAAGTGTCATAAATATCAAGCAATAAATAAGAAATTGATATATAAACAAGAGGAACAAACTTCAAAGTGGCAATAGTTAAATAAATAGGTATCATCTAAGAAGTAATATTCACTTGTCAACAAATAACAAATATTTCACAATATCAAGCAAGAAGGATCAAGGCACTGTTGTGTGACTTATCACATACTTAGGAGTACATCAGCTGTTTGTGTGTCTTCTGTGGTCAAACCATTGGAATGGCATCAAATGAATGATTCTGTTTAACTCATGGACTTGTCCAACAGAATACTTTTACATTTGGACTTCAGGCTACTGGTCAAATGAGAAATTAGTCGAGTCCGACTCCGCTTATACATTTGATACCACATTTCTGTTAAAATGATAACATTTTTGACTGGAAGTTTTTTGACATCTTTAATATCATGGGGTAAAGTTACACAGACAATTTCAGTATTTGTGCACTTTTGTCTTGACTCAATTATATTATTATCAGGTTTCTACCATATCCATTGGCCTAGAAGAGGTCAGGTCCATGTCAAGTCTAATCATTCACATCTTCTCGGGGCAAGGGAGTTGACTGACTACAAAAAGTCCAGTTACCACTCTTGCCAAACTAGGCTGGAATTTTGTGGCTCGATCGTAGTGCAACCAGTGACTATTACGAGTTCTGTCCCCATCTATGTTCCTTCTATTGTTCCTCCGATTCCATCTCTCATATCACATGCATTTGCTTCAAACAAAATGACAGCAACAAGTTGGCAGTACACATGCTCTGTTAATCCTGCAATCAAACTCAATCTGCATGGCAATTGCCGTGTTTATGAACCGGGTGTTGATTTTGTTACGCAATTTTGATTGGATTAAGCATAGGCTCTTTAGTCCAGCCAAAATATAACCCCATAATTCCAGCCTAGTTCAGCAATGGTGAAAACTGGACTTTTATAGTCTCCTTTACCTAGGGAAGATGGATGATTTATAGTATTGACTTGAGTTTCTAAACATAGAATAAATACCAGAATTAATTTCATAGTGTATGAAATGCCTATAAGTGCTGAGCCAAGCTTACTAAATGCTTCATACAAGGTGTTTCTCATGTCAACTAAGACAGACCATTTAGTGTTACATAGCAAAGTGATTATTGTTCAACAATTAATTTTTTCTAGCAGCTACTATGATAACACACCTGGTTCCAGGATATAGAAAAACAAGTGTTTTCCTTCAGCAATTAAGTAACATCAAAGCAAATTTCAGACAAACTGACTATCAGGATCCCTAACAGTTCATTCTCCCAAGCCAAACCCACAAGGTATTATCTGATTCACATCCCTCAACAAGTAATCTACAAAATGTCAGTTTGTTTGAAATATATAAAATACAGAAAGTGAAATGCTTCCAAACTCACATTGATGAAATTTTATGACAAAATCTGATAATAAATTTATCAGTGTTGATTGATAAGTTCTGAGCCTGACACAGAAGGAATTGCACAATAGTAAAATCTTTTGTTGCGGACATTGCATGATGTCATTCAAGTATACTGACAAAAACCTGAGTAGCTGGTTTGCTGTCAGAAGTCAGTTAAATAAGAAGGGATCTGTGACCTTTGGAAAATGGACAAACTTGAGGAACGTGCAGTGATCAAGTACTTGCAGGTTGTTGTTTGGACTGAAGTGGTGAACCCCAGGTTTCATCCATCGTCACAAATAGTTGTAAGAACCTTTCTGGATCAGCTTCAAACAGAGTTGGATTATCATGTGAGTAAGATTCTATGTATGTGAGGCTTAAAACTTATCAATCAACCCTTGTATCATGGTCTTATTTTAATTTATATAATTCAAAAAGACATATTCCTTCTCCTGAAAACCATCATCTCTGGAATAGAAACACTAGAGGCCCTTTACACACTTTGATTCCCTGAGTTGAACACAGACTACTATGATATGAGGAAGATGAAGATGAAGACATTTACATGGGATGATCATGCATAGCAGTAAATTTATAAGAAGTCCATCTCCCCAGCGACAAGGTCGATGCCCTCCTGCAAGGCCTGCATCTCATGTAGCAACTGGTCCCCTTCATGGCTGCTCTGTGAACTACTGATGGATATGTCAGGCACTTCTTGAGCTCCGTCATTGGAGTCTGGGACAGAAGTACTTGTTCATTATTGTTTCGGTGCACACTTTTCAGAGCAACTTTTGCTAGGATTTTGGTCACAATATTTGAGCTCCACAAGCTCAGTGGTTTCAGCAGAGATTTAAAAAATGCAGTCTCTGTCGAAACCTTTGAGACTAGCCTGAACATGGCTCTTAGCATCAATTTCAGTAGAATTTAGTGTTACTATATGTACTACTATTACCAAAACTTACACGACCAAACAGAATGTAACTAGACTTGCGCTTCAGAATAATGGCTAATGTTGCAGACCGATATTTGTTGGCTTACATGAATGTCAAAGGTGATGACCATGTTCAATATTAGACAACTCAACTCAGTGTTAGCTTTCCTGAACATTTTTGTTTGTGATATTAAAAGTCGCCATCCAAAGTTTCATTAAGGTACTTTGAATTGTTTTAAAGATGACACAGTGAATAACACATGTTACACTTACTAGGAATGGCAGCATGTCCAAATTCTGATGCAGTGTCTGCCACTTTGATGTGCTGAGATGATCGACCAGGCCGTTGAGGTGATTCGTCAAAGAATGTGATGTCAATGCCAAGTTTGGTCTTACTCATCAACACATCTACAAAGATGACAATTTCTGTCAGCTGAGTGAGTGGTGAAAAAGTTAGTGAGTGAATGGGTGAGAGAGTGAGAGAAAGTGAGTTTAGAGTGAGTGGCTTGAATGAGTGAATGGGTGAGAGAGTGAGAGAAAGTGAGTTTTGAGAGAGTGGGTTAAGTGAGTGAGTGGGTTGAGTGAGTGAGTGGGTTGAGTGAGTGAGTGAGTGGGTTAGAGAGTGAGAGAAAGTGAGTGAATGAGTGATTTGGTGAGAGTGTGAGAGAAAGTGAGTTTTGACTGAGTGGGTTGAGTGAGTGAGTGAGTGAGTGAGTGGGTTAGAGAGTGAGAGAAAGTGAGTGAATGAGTGAGTGGGTGAGAGAGTGAGAGAAAGTGAGTTTTGAATGAGTAATCTCTCTAACCATCCTCCATTTAGTTTAAGACACAACTAAACCTTCCTACCTTCCTCTAAACAGCACAGGTTGCCGCTGGCCTCCAAGTCTCCCAGCATCTCCATCAGATCCACAGACTTCTCCGACACAACTGATGGCAAATATTCAATACATTACACAATGTCAGGAACTAACACAAAAGCTTCATAAGCCATGCTGGCAAGAACTCGGAAGTATTTACAGCCCTCATGAACTTTAACTTGCCCTTACTCAATTCGAATAACAGTGGTAAAGAGATGTATTCATTCTTGGTGAAGTACTTCGAAGATGCAGTTTTTCTTGAATCACAAATAACTGCATTTCTCACTGTATTGGATAGGTCAAAAACCTTTGGGGAAATAGCCTAGTTCTACAACTGCGGAAACTCGACTTTTACAGTCAGTTAACTCCCTTAACTCAGAAAGATGATTGGGACGGGGCCTTGAGGAAACGTCCAGTGGTTGGACACTTAATACAAGACAGTATATGTTAGGGACATATTCAAGTACACATTACCAAAAACATGTGAGCACTTCTACCCCATGCATAGGACGATCTCCTTTCAAACCCCTATTGAAACCCCCTCATTTTAGGTACCAAAAACTCAAACTATAGACAGTGATATAGGGTATGTTTTTTTCCCCTGTACGGAGCAGCCGCTCTACTTGATGCCCCATTTACTGATATTTGGCTGTTGACTTAAGTCACAGTCAGTAATAAGCGGTGAGTGAGTTAAAATTTAAAGTCGCATCAGCAGTATTTCAGCCATATAATGACAATACAAGAACATACATTAATAAGAAATATATTTAGACTATGTAAACATTTGTCAACAAAGGACAATAAAATAACTAGACTATCATAGATATTGATCTAAAACCAGTATGTAACCATAAAAGTATGACAACCCATAACAATACATCATAAAAATGGGCTATAGATCACAAGCAACCAAAGTTAGACCACCATACTGGGGACCTTGGTGACTTATGGTACTGCATGGTACTTGCATGGTACCAGGATTAACACCATCCCTCTGGCTTCTGGCGAATATCAGAAAGTTAAGCCAAACAGTTGAAACCAACACATATACTACGATTAAAACCCAATATGTAAGAGGCCTGTAACCTTATCAAGGGTCGACACAACTCAGTAGTCAGATCAGGTATGTCATGCAATGAACAAAGTACCAGATGCTGACTACCCAATCCAATTTAGTCCCCTCTTATGACATGCAGATGAGTGCTGGGGACCCATCCTGACACAATCGCTGAATACTCGGCACTATATAAGTAGCAAGCAAGCGAGGATGGTTTTCCGTCGCTTTTAGCAATATTCCAGCAATATCACGGCAAGGGACACCAGAACTAGGCTTCACACATTGTACCCAAATGGGGAATCAAACCCGGGCCTTCAGGGTGACAAGCGAACATTTTAACCACTAGGCTTCTTTACCACTCACAGGGGGCGGTCGGGTAGCCTAGTGGTTAAAGCGTTTGCTCGTCACGCCAAGGACCCGGGTTCGATTCCCGACATGGGTACAATGTGTGAAGCCCATTTCTGGTGTCCCCCGCCGTGATATTGCTGGAATATTGCTAAAAGCGGCGTAAAACCATACTCACTCACTCACTCTACCACCCACACACTATATAAGTAAATCACATAACACTATTTACATATAATCTAAATGTTTGCATTGTTTTGGAACTAATGCAATCAACATGACGTGTGGCACTCACAGGACCCGACAGAGCTGCTTCCTGGGTCCACACGAACACAACTGTCATCCAGTCTCAGGCTTGAGTCTCTGAAGGGCATAGACTCCGCAAGACTTGCTTCTTTGGCAACGTTTTTTGTCTTCTTATCACAGTGTTTGTGTTTGGATGGCAGTATTTTGCTAAAGTCCTTTCCTCTGATGAACAACTCATATGGATATAGATTTCTGAAAGTAATGGGTCAGAAAGAAAGGAAATTATTAAAACTAAATATGTTTGAGACAGCTGTGAGTTTTGAAAAATAATAATTTTTAACATGAACTTCAAATGTGCATCTTAGGATTGCTATAAACATTTCACTCATCTACTACATCAACATATGTGCTTGGTGAACTATTTCTTCAAGCTAAAGGTTTAACAGACATCGGATCTTAACAAGTTGGCATAGACAAATTCAAATCATCATCCAATAGGTAATTTCTGTCACTATATAATGTAGCATCTGGTATTTGTCTCCACAAACTCCCGAAGCACCTCCTATAGTATCGCTTGGCGACTTCTCCACTGTTCGCACACTCTGTCAGCTCCTTGTAAACTTGCACCCAACCACCACGTGTTGAACACACCTGCAGAATAAGTCAGTCAGTCAATGAATCTAAACTCACCACTCAAAAGATGAAATAATATCTTAAAGTAACAAATGTTATATTTGGGATAATACTTTCTGAGTAAAGCACAGATTCTCGCACTTTTTGGGGGTTGAGTCCCTTTCAGGTGCCTCACTCTGGCAGTGTGGGTTGGAATCACGGACGGGACTCAACCAAAAAAGCATTTGTTACATTTGACCACTTTCTGAATGGCATTGTGTGTCAATATCTTAAAGGAAATTTCTATTGAGTCTGTATGTTACATGTATTTCATCAAGTATATGAACATACATGGATTCTTTCTTAATTTACCATAATTTTAATTCAAAGCATTAACAAAAATGACACACATAATTGCAAACTTTAGATTTTACTTCTTTGAATTTTTTTTTTTTCATTCATGAAATAAAAATTGACACACCAAAACCTTGTTGCTGACCAACTGACAATATGAAATATTTCCTATATGTCACAAATTGCAAGGTCAAGAATGATACCAGAGTAAAGAAAATGTCAGCGTTGGGCAGTTGAGGAAGTAACTCCTTCACTAATGTCATTGATAGCTTCAGACTAAAAACATGACAAAAGTAAAAGAAAAACAATGGAATACAAATTTACCTTAATATACAGAAGAAAAAATATCATTGTCTAGATTCAATATTTTTTATCGGAATACAGTAAAGTTACAGTTATAAAGACCTCAAAAGGACAATTTATTTTAGTTTGTTATAACTGTTGTTTTTTGAAAAAATATACACAGCATATACACAGCAACTGGCCGGGCCAACAAAACAGTTTGTTTTATCCGCCAGTTCGTTATAAGAGTGTTTGTAATAAACATAGTTTACTGTATATCCAATTCTTCGTACATATAAATTTATGAAGAGAACCCAACAACAGCCTGAAGCAATTACTAATGCCAACATTTTTACCATAATGTTTAGAAACAATTAGGAACAAGGAAACCATTGCTCTAGCTTCAAGCAATTCCCAAAATGTAGCTGATCATATTTTGGCTTGTTGGGCAGGTATGACTCACCTGGTCGTATCCACCCCTCTCATGAACAGCCAGGAACAGCTGGAAGAGGCTGATGGAGGTATTCTGCCATTTTGGTAAACCCCTGAAGGCAATATCATTGCGCTTCATGAACCTCAGGACATCGTGTTCAAATGCCCGCTCATTTCTTTGATACATCTGTAACAAAACAATTCGTAACACATAATCATAGGGTGGGGATTCCCCTTCAACCTATACTGGTCGCAAGAGGCGAACAAAAGGATAGAGTGGTCATGACAGGTAACTTGGTTGATGGTGTGTCAGCGTAACACATGGACCATTGGTCATAACATAAACCAGTGGATTGACTGATCCAGACTTGATCATTTAGCTGCCATCATATAGCCAAGTGCTGCTTTAAAACATACACGCAGACACACTTTGGATGTCCTGTCAAACACAGGTTTCCTTTGATGGTAACATGCTAACAGTGATGTCACTACTAGCACATGAATATCATTACCAGGGTAATATGTGCATTTGTAACTTGGAAAAGTGAGGTTGAGATTTGTCTTGGAATTAAACCTTCTATCGTAAAAAACAATGCTGTTAGGTTGGGTTCATAAAGTTCATATATTAATATGTTTCTGTGTCCCTTGGTTATAAAACTGCCAATCTGAAACTGTGAACATTAAGACTTTCAAACATCATGTAGAACAGATATGGCATATATTGTTATATGTAAGATAGCTTCACAATAAATCATGAAGAAAGAAGGTTGGTTCATTTCATAAAACATTGTTCTATCAAGATGTCATATCTGGAGATTTGAACATTTGCAACTTGATGACATCATATTTTGGACATCAATATTTTTGAGAGGGAAGTGTCTAGTAAGTGGTTCCATATAGATGTAGCTGGGCAACACAGATAAACGCGATGGCCGAACGATCACATCCAAAAGCGAGAGACACTTGACAATCGGAACTGGGAGAAAAGGTACAGGTAATCGACGTTAGGACTGTGAGAATATGCAAGAAATATCCACCTGTGCATAAATAGACTTGTCCAACACTACTGAGGGCGGATTCTATTGAGGGAGTCATCTTTAATAAAATATGGGTAAGTATTTATAAAGCTTGAACATTTTATCATCATCCTTGAAGAGGCTGTAAATAATGTTGATATCTAATATATGAAATAAACGACTCGTGGTCATTATTTATCATACAATAAAAGACTGCAGGGGAATAAACTACTTCCGGATGCGCCCCTCATGGTTTATTCTCCCTGCAGTGTTTTATGGTACGATAAACAACTCCAACACATCGTTAATTTCATAAATATTATTATGGGTCATAAATATCACAATAAATACACTAGACATGTATATATATATATACATATCAATCCCTTATTACAACCTACCTGTACATCAAGAACTAGTTTTTCCTCTTTGGAATGGCTGACAAGAGAATCTGGGAACTTTATATCTAGGTTTGCTAAGCTAGGCCCACCACACACGTTAGCTGAGACTGGGGAGTCAGGGAAAGCAAAACTGTCCTTCACAGCACTGACAGTTTGTTTATGTTGACTCTGCTTTTGGTTATTTTGTCTGTTCTTCACAAAGGACTTCGTTTGGTTGGTTTCCTTTATGGCACCATCTGGAAATAATGAAAACATATGCCAGAATAAAACAAGAGTTTGCCACTAACGTGGCTATATCCCCCTCCCCTGTTGCAGAATTTATGACATAATTAAATCTAAACAAACCCTAACCTTTTTAAACCGAGGTGAAAATTGTTAAAAAAAGAAGAGATTGGTACCCAAGTCCATCTTCTTGCCATGGAAACGTAAAAAATAAAAATTTCTAAAATTTCTAAATAGCAAAAGGCACCAGTTGAGCATGTACCTGACAGACCTGCAAAGTTTGATGAACGGTTTATGAGTTATGTTCCGGAAACGAACCCTACCCTCACAGAACCTCAGTCCATCTTGTTGCCATGGAAACGTAAAAAATAAAAATTTCTAAAATGTCTAAATAGCAAAAGGCACCAGTTCAGCATGTACCTGACAGACCTGCAAAGTTTCATGAAAAAATATTGAACGGTTTATGAGTTATGCTCCGGAAACAAACCCTACCCTAGGGTTCTGCATACTCCAAGAAATACCTATAGTTTTTTAAAATTAATCCAGCTTTAGAAACTGGCACTAGTCCTGTAGTTCTTGCCAAACTGCCCAGTAGTTAAGGTATCACAAGGACGAGAAGAAATTTGCCATTTTTAAGGGTTTTGCTATATATTACCATCACAAGGACTAGTGCACTAAAAATGTTATCTTCTACCGCTGTTATCCCTGCTTACATTGATTAGTCCTGCACCATGACTGTGGAATATAAATATATAGTAAACGTTGCAACTAAAATATCTCGATTTTGGAATATATTATTTCTGATAAAATAAATTTAAATGGTAAATTATGTTCAGTGATAATTTATCTCAAATTTCATGTTTTTATTGACCAAGTTTGTTATCACCTGTTTGTTTACCTGGATGCTCTGAAGGGATACCATATTCAGTTTTTTATCGTACATAATATGATGTTGACCAATAGCTTCATCCTTTCAAGTCATGTATGCATTAATCAGCAACAAAAACACATGTCAGTTTGGCTGCAGCTCCTTATTGTATACCTTTGTTATGATATAAGGCTTCTCATACTTCGATCCTCTGACAGCGCAGCGAGAACAGCGCTGAACACAAATAAAACCAGTCGAACTATAGGCCTTAATATGCAAATTTTGAATCCACGAAGAAAAACCTGATCCATATTTCAATACTTTCAAACTTGGAATGTTGTTTCCCTATAATTTACCCCTCAACCTCGGGGTGACCACACCCACTTTGTCAGCATGCTCAGCCTCCTCTATGAAAACACTAGCCGTACTGATGAAGGTGCACTTGGAGATTCTCTCTTCATTACTGACTGCCAGGAGCTTGCTGGCTTCCATACATGCCTGCTCCACAGACACATCTTTCATGTAACACTTGCGCTGTGGGTGTTTGCTGGTGGAGGAGGTGAGGGCATTCCTTCTACCTTTCCGAGCCCTACACCGACCTCTACCTTGTTTCTGATACAGTCAACAAATGGAGAACTTGAGATATTTTATGTTATTTTTTTGTACAATGCAATGAGAACATTTTGGTTGGTTGGTTTGTTGTTTATGCGGCACTCAGCAATATTTGAGCTATATGACAGCGGTCTGTAAATAAGTGAGTCTGGACAAGACAATCCAGTGATTAATATCATGAGCATCGATCCACGCAATTGGGATCGATGACATGCATCAACCAAGTCAGAGAGCCTGACCACCCGATCCTGTTAGTCGCCCCTTACGACAAGCATAGTCGCCTTTTACGGCAAGCATGGGTTGCTGAAGACCTATTCTACAACGGATCTACACGGGTCGCAATGAGAACAAAATACCCCTCCTGACCTTAGTAAGTATTGGTGCATTGGGCATGGAAACTTTACATGTTGTACAATGCAATCAGTGTAAAAGATTCTTTCTGACTCCCAAAAGAGTTGTTGCAAGGCGTGGTGACTTTCAATGTTGTACAAGGCAATCCGTGCAATAGATTCCTCCTGATCCCAAAACATGTTGCTGCAATGGGTTGAGACTTTACACATTTGTACCCACACTTTACACAATTGTACCCACTTTACACATTTGTAACCACACTTTACACATTTGTACCCACACTTTACACATTTGTACCCACACTTAATACATTTGTACCCACACTTTACACATTTTTACACAGACTTTACACATTTGTACCAAGACTTTACACATTTGTACCAAGATTTTACACATTTGTACCCACACTTTACACATTTGTACCCACACTTAATACATTTGTACCCACACTTAACACATTTGTACCAAGACTTTACACATATTTACACAGACTTTACAAATTTGTACCCACACTTTACACATTTGTACCCACTTTATACATTTGTACCCACACTTTACACATTTGTACCCACTTTATACATTTGTACCCACTCTTTAAACATTTTTACACAGACTTTACACATTTGTACCAAGACTTTACACATTTGTACCAAGATTTTACACATTTGTACCCACACTTTACACATTTGTACCCACACTTTACACATTTGTACCCACTTTACACTTTTGTACCCACTTTACTCATTTTTACCCACACTTTACACATTTGTACCCACACTTAATACATTTGTACTCACACTTAACACATTTGTACCAAGACTTTACACATATTTACACAGACTTTACAAATTTGTACCCACACTTTACACATTTGTACCCACTTTATACATTTGTACCCACACTTTACACATTTGTACCCACTTTATACATTTGTACCCACTCTTAAAACATTTTTACACAGACTTTACACATTTGTACCAAGACTTTACACATTTGTACCAAGACTTTACACATTTGTACCCACACTTTACACATTTGTACCCACTTTACACATTTGTACCCACTTTACACATTTGTACCCACACTTAATACATTTGTACCCATACTTTACACATTTGTACCAAGACTTTACACATATTTACACAGACTTTACAAATTTGTACCCACACTTTACACATTTGTACCCACTTTATACATTTGTACCCACACTTTACACATTTGTACCCACTTTATACATTTGTACCCACTCTTTAAACATTTTTACACAGACTTTACACATTTGTACAATGCAATGAGAGTAAATGACTCCTCCTGACCCCAGTGCGTGGTGACGGTGTCCTGACCGTGTACAGCTTGACACCGGTAGCCCTGATCCAGCTGTGAGTGTGACATCTCCCCAGGAACTCTACATGATACCACCCTGGCTTGTGATCTGCATCCACCAGACAGTGAAGCTGGATACTGGGGTCCTTGGTGATAACTCCAGGCCATCTGCACAGACAATACAGCATCCGTCACAAACACAACCGTTCAGACACAAATATACATAGTACTATACTAACTCTAAATCAACAATGAATGATCAGGAGGCCGTTGTACAAAGCGATCTTAGCACTAAGGTGATCGTAACTCCCATACCTTAACATAGACTTACGACAGTCGTAGCGCTAAGCTTGGTTTGTACAACGGCACCCAGGACATTAAATAGATTTGAAAACATAAAGGTCATGTTAAACACTATCTGTGAAAATGATGGCCCTGATTTCAGAGACATCAGGTATCAAAAGAGCTAATAAATTAACACAGGTGATAATAGGATAATAATGATAATAATGAGCATGATAATACATTCACATCTATAGGGCAGCCTACATACTACTGTTTGCTCCATGCACACATGATGCAGATTTCATCCACTAGTCCTTATGATGCTGACATATAGCAAAGCCCTTAAAAAGGGCTAATTTCTACTGGTCCATATGATACCTTAACTACTGGGCAGTTTGGCAAGGACAATAGGACTAGTGCCATTTTTTAACGCTGTGATGCTGATAATAATAGAAAGGATAGCGGAGACCAGTTAGGAAATGAGCTGTTGAAAAGTAGAGATTTAGATTTCAATATGAAAGAGTACACTGAAAAACTGTTTCACTGAATATTTACAAACACTACGTTTTGAACCATAAGAGGTACATTTTTAAGTAACTTTTAGTACCTGTGGCCATAGTATTTGAAATTAAAAAGAATTGCCAGGTTGACATCAGGACTCACAGACATTAGAAGCTGCATGCCGTGACTTAATTCTTCAGGCCCTCATTTAAAAACTGCAGGTTATTGTCACAAATAAATTGACACGTAAATTTACTGCAGGCCATAAGCACCCATACAAATTTGAAACTACAGGGCCGACACGAGATCTACCGGTACCTGCCTGGGGCCTACGAGCAGGCACTTATTTCAAACACTGTGCGCCCAATAGCAATACTAACAGTACCCTTGCAATTGTAGCATTAATTTAGCCCTTGACAGTCTGCACGTTAGCTGGAAAGAGAGTTCACTGATACCTACTTGCAATAGCCAGTCATCTTGGCCCAGACAAGTGAACCCTCTGCTATTGGTGACTTGACATAGCATAGCCCAACTCTCTTGGCTGCCTTGTCATACCATTCAGTGTCTTCTTCAGGCACTTCACAAACTGCAAAGTCTCTGTTGTGATTCATGTAGCAAAACCAAGGGGTGTTCTCCGTGACACCTTCCAGCTCCGACACTGTCACTCTTCTCCACTTGTAGCAGTCAGGATTGTCACACTGGACCCATAGCATCGACTCAAGCTACACAGAAAAATAGCAGTTTAGTTCAACGAACATAAAATTGAGTTTTTCATCTCTTTGCTTCAAAATGATGATTGCATGATTCAGTAAATTATATATTAGATCAGATGTATCATGTTTACACTTAGTAAAGGCAAGACAAAAGGAACTTTATTTTATCTGCACCAGGTACCCGTGCATGTTGACATGAAAACCTAGTTGCACCAGAAAAACAAAAAGTTGCATTTGGTGTATGAATATTATGTTGCACTTTGCAATAATAGGTTGCACTGGTACATTTCATATATAGCCAAATCAAGACCTGTTAGTATACTCAATCCCACATAAAATTTGCAAATGAATAAATGAATTGTATGCTGAATAAATCATTTTCAACAACTGATCTGTACTGCTACTTCACATGATATTTTTTCAAATGTTTTTTGTGTATTAACAGAGAAACAGATGGTATTAGGTTTCAATGTTTATAAATCAAATGGCTATTCAAAATAATGATGGTAAGATAAAAAGCATTTGAAACAAGTGACAAAACACGGAACCAAATATGCTTCGAAATATTTCCGTTTTAACCTCTTGTTTGAGCTCAGCGGTGCTCCCAGATTTCCGGGAGATTTTGGAGTGAGACGACTGACTTGAAGTCAATAAGCTTTTCTGAGAAGCTGGGGTGTTCAACTTGGTTATTTTCAGAAGTTGTTCCTGGGTGTCTCTATCAAGTAGCTGAACTTGGTCTGGATTATTCAACACTGTAAAAAGAAAACAAATATGCCTTGTTTATTTGTTTCAAACATCACACAATATTCCAGCTATATGACAGCAGCCTGTGAATAATCTAATTTGGACTAGACAAACCAGTGATTGTACAAGTACTCCCTTATCTTTGAGACGACCAGAGTACCTCTGTGACAATATTATGAGCAAAGGTCACCCAATCAACCAAATCACAGAACCTGATCAACAGATCCATTAAGAAAGTTTGTATGACAAGCATAGGTTGCTGGGGACCTATTCCAACCTGGAAACTCCACGGTGGTCACAAAATCTGCAAAACAACTGTAAATCCTCTTTAACTAAGAATATGGTTCTATTAGGATATCAAAGGTTGTATTAATAATTTACCTCAACAGTACGGACAATCTAACAAGATGAAAAAATAATGTGCCTCATCCTGGTTTCGATGTCAATATAAAGATGAGGGGTGAGGTGAAATGGGTTTTAATGACACGTTCAAGATTAGTGCACTTATATAGCAACGTGCATGCAGGTATGTGTGTGGTTGCTCGCACAAGTCCTGACTAAATTAAATGCCGGTTCTATAGTGCTAGCCCACTGAAATACCGTGACGCAGTTTTAACGTGGATACCACACCCAGACAAAGTATATGGACTCCGAGTCGACAAATCCTTGTTTCATCCCCTTATTGCAAAATGCCAGGCAGGGTCACAACAAGTACCATATTTTAACATCTTTTAATATGGCGTGGCTGGGGATTGAACCAGTGACCTTCCATTCTTCAAGCACTAGACCAAGGTTGGTTGGCTGGTTGATTTGTTGTTTAACGCCGCACTCAGCAATATTCCAGCTATATGACGGCGGTCTGTAAATAATCAAGTCTGGACCAGACAATCCAGTGATTGATCCACACAATTGGGATCGATGACATGTATCAACCAAGTCAGCGAGCCTGACCACCCGATCCCGTTAGTCGCCTTTTACGACAAGCATAGTCGCCTTTTACGGTAAGTATGGGTTGCTGAAGACCTATTCTACCCCGGAATCTTCACGGGTCCACAAGATCAAGGAGGCAGTCTGGTAAAATAAAAACAATGACAGGGTTTTTAATAAATGATAAAAACAAAACAAATGTGCATTTACCTGATCGCTTCACTCCTCTTGTAAGCATTCTTCCTTTTGCTGTCGTCATGTTGTTCCATTAGTTTAGATACTAATAACGCAAATATAAATTTGACGATGATCATAGGCTGAGGAAGGAAAACATCATAGCTTGGATAAAGTCTGATTGGGCTGGAGTGCTTTAAAGGAACACAGATTTTCAGATTTATTCATGATGATCCTATTTGCAGTTGTGATCATGACAACAAAGATAATCTTCATTATTTATTCAAGTATTTGAATTATTGTGACATTAGATCAACATGTTATTTTCATGCCAAGTGCTTTTCAATATCAAGACTATGCTGTTTTGGAAATACTAATCTACAAGATGATATTAATATTAAATTATTGAAACTGTACATAACTATATTACCCTCACAAACAGATCATGCTGGGCTAATTTAATATATTGTAATTATGATAATGTATTGTTTCAAATTTCTGTTACATTAAAATTGTACTTATCTTCAGGATTGCTGTACTTTCTTATTTATGATTGTTATTTTGACCAATCCCATTTCATTTTTAAATAAATATTGTTCAAACCATTAGCTATGCAGTTCTAGGACCCTGAAAATTTATGTGCATATGTAACATCACATCAATTAACAAATACCATTGTTGAGATATGAAGTGGCAGAAATGCCGATTTTACCACTAAAACAATTTATTATGACATGATTGTTTTTAGGCTATGAATATCCAAGTTCTATCTTTATTTTTTTCATTTGATTCTTATTCTGCCAGTCTGAGAACCGAATTGGGTTTTTCTTTTTCTGCTGGGAAAATTCTCTGCTAAATGAAATTTCAGGTTTTCAGTTTGATTCAGAGTGAGTGAGAAGGTACTGACCAAGTCAAGTGGCTGGCAACTTACAACGTGTAAGACTGGCTTCCTTTTTTTTTTTTTTCACATATGGCCAAAATCATTAAAGATGCCAGGACTCCCCTTAGTTTCTTATCATAATCTCATTGGAACAGCTGTCTTTTCTATTTGACAGGAGCTAGGGCTTATTAATCTGAAATCACATCGGTCAGTAAATGGTGCAGGGGTCAAAGGTGAGGTGAGGTGAGGTGAAATGGGGTTTAACGTCACGTCCAAGATTATTGCACTTATATAGCGACGTGCATGCACGTGTGTGTGTGTGTGTGTGTGTGTGTGTGTGTGTGTGTGTGTGCGGCTGCTTGTACTCGTCCGGACTGATGCCGATATATAGTGCTAGCTCACTGAGATACCATGTCGCAGTTTAAAATGAATACCGCACTCAGACACAGTATACTGACACCGAGCAGACCAGTCCTTGTTTTAGCCCCTTAATGCCGAGCGCCAGACAGGGTAACAACAAGTACCATCTTTTAACGTCTTTTGGTATGACAGGGTTCGGGGATCGAACCCCGGACCTTCCGCTCTCCGGGCGGAAGCTCTACCACTAGACCACGGAGGCGGTCACAGGGGTCAAAACATTGTTAAGGGGGCACTAGACTTGGGGCAGTTGTCAGTCCTAGCATTTTTTATTCAAGTTGTTAGCACATTTTTCTTCGTTTTTATGCTAACTCAAACGTTACAACTTATATGGTTTGTCAGTTGAGCAGTTGAAATGTTCTCTCTGTCAGCAATATTCCAGTCTGGACCAGATAATGCAGTGATCAAGATTATGAGCCACGATCCATGCCGACAATGTACGATGACTTGTTATCAGCTAAGTCACAGAGTCTGACCATCTTTTGACCACCATACGTTGGTGGGGACCATCTCTAATTAGGTTTATTGAAAAAAATTATGTTTCTCATGACCTCAGCGTTAGAAATTGGCACAAGTCCTATAGTCCTTGCCAAATTGCCTAATAGTTATCATAAGGTATCATAAGGATTAGGAGAAATTTGCCCTTTTTAAGGGTTTTGCTATGTGGTGTCATTATAAGGACTAGTGGGCTAAAACTGTTAGTTTCTATCGCTATAACCTGCTACCCATAATATTGCAATTTTGGACATAATACACAAGTTTACAGGTCAAGGTGTGTAGATATGGTTGACAGGCCAGCTATATGGTTAGTTTTGGTCTCATTTGTTTAAATTATCAGTGATGTATTTTGAAATTTGGATAGTTAAAAAATCAGTAACATTATAGACTTTCAGTATGTATTATTATAATGTGATACAGCAATACTTTAGGGTAAAAATAAAGTTAAGTCTCAGGGCCAAACTGCCTATAAAGTAGCACTTCTGGGAATGTGAATCGAACTCTTTAATCTCTACAGGGGTTGTTGAAAAGTATTCACGAAACTTTGTTTACCAAGTCAATGACGAACACATTAGCCTATAGCACACCTTTTACACCTGAGATACAATGCCGGGAATATTGCGACAGTGACGTAACCAGTACTGTTTTAAAACTATTGAAACCTTTACAGTAACAATTCAATTTACCTATAGGCCAAGCATAAGAAATATTCACGTCTTTCTCTTTGCAGACGACGGCCCAGTCTGAGGATTGTGGGTAATAAAGTAAGCTGGTTCTAGTGTTTCTGTGAAAATATGAGTCAGGTGCGCGCGGAAATACAAACGGAATACGCATCAAACAACCGAAACCGCATGTAAAACAACAATTCTTAAACTATGTAGGGACGTTTTACTATGGAATCTCCATCTTAAGATATCATTAATTCATTGATGATATAATTAGTTATTAAACTTACAAAATTTATTAGAACTATACATTATGCTGAATGATGATTGACATATTAAAACATCATACGATGTCAATTTGATATCAATAATTCTGATATCATTCACTGGTAAATAACACAAAATAACTGACTTATGTCATAAATTCAAGTTGAATTAATATTTACAATAAAATTTACTGATGACGTGTGGTTTTTGGTTAACTTCTTTGTTTATAAATGTCAAGTTTTGAAACTTGAAATATTATATTCACAACAGATATATCATTGAAAGAAATAGTTCTCACAGCAAAAGTCCAACAAGCTTAAGTCTAGCTGTCATGAACTAGCTAATATGATGTCTACTTCTTAACAATAACTTCTGAATCATATAATAACCTTAAATTGTTTGATAGGCATTACGTAGAAGTTGACGGATGACAAGATAGACACAATTTTATGGATAACAACTTCTTTAATCCTGTAAAAAGCGATTCATATATCTAAGACTTGCTTGACAACGGTATAAGGATCTATACCGAAACGTCGCTTTTAACAGTATAAAAGAAATTGTTATCCATAGAATTGTGTCTACCTTATAATAACCTTGCTAGTCTTTTCCTAAAATCGTTTGTATATCTTTTCTTACGTGGGCCAGGCACTACCCTGGGTGTCTGGTCTATCTGTAGCAGGGACTTAGTAATACAATATTAATATCAAAACATAAATATTTACAGTAAACTACGTTTATAACGAACACGCTTATAACGAACTGACCGATATAACGAACTTATTTTTTAGTCACGGCCATTTAATGAATATATGCTGTATATATGCATATAACGAACTACATGTATAATAAAATAGCTTACAAAGTTACATCGAATCCAGGTTTCTATGTTTGTTAGCATCATAGCCTGGTTTTCACCAAGTGGTAAACGTCTGAGACCTGCACCACGACGGTATGGCAAGCCGTTTTCACATTTATTACGTAATTACAGATATCTTCGATTCTTTTAAAGATATCGGTATTTTATTTGAAGATATCAATAATGTTTTTAAGATATCAAAAAAAAATTAAAGATATCTGAAATTAATTTCTGATATCCATAATACAATTATTGATATCTTAAAATGTTACAGTGATATCAACAAATTATTTTGTGATATCTCTAAATGTATTTAAGATATCATTAAACAATTACCACCCTACTATACATAAATATATTAGAAATAAATTCAAGATATCTTAAATTCAATTCAAGATATCTTGAAATAAGTTATACATATCCACAAATGCATTACAGATATCTTTAATTCAATTAGAGATATCTTTATTTCAATTAGAGATATCTTTAATTCAATTCAAGATATCATTAATTCTGACCGTTACTGATATCAAAAATCCAATTAAAGATATCATTAATAATTTTAATGATATCTTTATATCAATTATTGATATCAGTTATCTAATTTAGTAATATGAAGGAATTACACGAATTATTCCAGTCCCCAAAATGGCGGGCTTTCCTCCCCCATTTAACTGACACGTCGTGATATGACTGGAATATTGTTAAAAGCTGCGTTAAACCCAACTCACTCACTCACTCACCTATCGGTATTCTCGCCCGATTATCTAGTTGTCCACATAGCTGTGTCATAGCTTCGTACAGAACCGTCAACATCCGGGTTAGAATTGGTCTTCAACAGCCCTGCTTGTCGTAAGAAGCGACTAACGGGATCAGGTGATCATGATCGCTGACTTGGTTGATGTATGTCATCGTATCCCAATTGTGTAGATCGTTGTTCATAATGTCAATAAGTAGATTAATAATTAAGTAGATTAATAATTGTCTGGTCGAGGCTCGATTATTCACAGACCACCGCCATATATAGCTGGAATAGTGCCGAGAGCGGCGTTAAACAAAGAAAGAGAGAACGATTGGGTACGTAGTTTCAATGGCTGCTAAAGTGAGTGCGGGTGTACTTGGATAGACAACCACCATTACAGACCAAGTATCCCAGGTGAATGTGTAACACCATGAATCACTCGGTTGTCTATTCATGTCCCTATGCGATATGGCTGTGATGGTGGTGCCTCGAGTCTTATGACATGTGTACGAGTTCGCCTTTACCCTTGGTGAAGTGCTGAGAACACGTTGAGACTTCTTTTTTTAAATCAAAAGAAAAGTACACGCCTTTTTTTACAGACATACACTCATCAATACATTCGTAGCAAGATGATTATAATTTCAAAAATAGAATCTCTGATAATTGACGGAAAGTTCAGACCAAATGGGAACATGGGAGCGTGGTTTAAGGGTTCTACAAGCGCGCGCGCTTCCAATACCACAGAAGATATACATGCATGCACATGTAAACATGCACGCGTCCACACTTGTCAGGATTGTCCAAACTGTATGTTGGAAGATGGGTGAGGTGTTTTTTGTTTGTTTGTTTAGTTTAGGTTTTTTTGGTGTTTGTTTGTTTTGTTTTTGTTGTTGTTGTTTTTGTTTGTTTTTTTGTTTTCTGTTTGTTTGGGGTTGTTGTTGTTTGTTTTGTGTGGGTTTTTTTTTTTGGGGGGGGGGGGGGGGGGCAAAGATATTGTCTTTACCGGTTTTGTGTCTCAAATATTATTGAGAAGCGACATAAAATCCTCAAAACTGCACCGCGTGTCCTCGTGGGGTAATATTCATTGCTGCTATCATCAAATACACCAATGGACTGCAAATAAGACAACAATAACTTAATTGTAAGATATTCATATGCTTCAAATAATGTAAGTCAGGAGACATTTTGTTATATTTCTTCTAAATAAACATATCACCACATATGTGTGTATTAACGTTGGCGGTTTGATTCAAATAAAGCACGACTATTTGGTAGGTTTGCGTATATTGTGCATTTCATCAGAAATAAAATGAAGTACCGTAGCGAGTTTCTTCATCTGTCTGTACTCAGGAACAATAAAATGACGTGAGTCAGTGTTTGGTGGTGAGACGGGTGGGAAAAGCAATATAGTAGCACCTATATTGCGTCCTAATAGTGCTTGGACTAGACAAGTGGTTGATAACAGAAACAACATTCGACTGTCTTGGTATGTTTTGGAATCTATTTTGCCCATGAATCCTACGGAACTAAACGTGAAACACGTATCGATTATGTTATATCGATAGGTTGCATTTATATTTGAATCTTCATTTCTAATAGTTGTCATATATTAATTATACTCATACTATAAATGATCT